AATAGGCGCGGTAAGTAAAGGCATCTGTCTTAAATCGTAAAACAAAAATAACATCTTTCATTTTATTCCATAGAATATTGGATTTGAGCATTACATTCGAACAGATATCATCGCTGCATTACGGTACTCCCCGTCACGGCCGCTCGTGTGTAATACTTGACAGCGAACTGGACCGTAGCAGACATAGGAAGATGAAAATCCAATCCTCTTGCCAAACAATTCTAATAAATGCCTAATACAGCGATGCCAATATTAAGGAGGACCTAAAAGCCACGATCTAGATACTGAATACCCGGCAGATGACCTATCCACTGTAGACTTGATTGAAAATATACGGGCTGAATACCCGCGCGACTGTGAGGCCACCAAATCGGCGCGGCAAAGCCCGGAACTACGGTACCCAAATTTAACAAAACACACGATCTGGGTCATCCCTCTGGAATTTTGCCGGGTGACAAAGCGGAGCCCCTCAGGCCGACTGGTGAAATTTGCGATAGGTCCTCCATATACGGAGGACCTAGCGCAACGGAGGACCTATCGACTCTTAAAAGCCAATAAGTGGAGGACCTAACCATCGGAATCTGTATATATATATCATATCGTTGGAAAGGCAATAAATCACCGAAGTTCTGTAAGTAAAACTGGGTTTTAAAAAAGGTATAGTTTTTGTATAATCGGATTTCGAATTTGAAATTATTCATACACTCCACGTGATTGTACGACTTTGGAAGGTGATAAGTCACTTGTTTGAGAAGATTTGCACGAACTGTTTATCTGATCTGATTGAGCATTCATTACAGATCAGACTCACGTTTATCTTGTGTTATTATCTCTAGAAACAAAAAAGTTATAACGATATTTATGCGCAATTGTAGGTGATTCAGAAAAAAAACGGAAAAACGATCTCGGTAACCGGAGACCTTAGAGCGTCCCTAATCGCCCAAACAATGTTGTTCGTTCATGTCCCATACATATTAAGTCTAAAACACTTTCTAGGTAAAACTGCAAAATAATTGAACTATAACTTTCAATCATGCTTTTAGTTGAAGCATATTTTTATGCAAAATTGAATTATTGCCGACTGCATAACTCATGGCACTATTATGTATGTATCAAAGAAAAAAGAGACTAAATCAAAACAGTGATCATTTCGTGATTATTGCGTGATCAGTACACTGATATATTTCAAGAGAGGGAGCATAACTGTTATTGGACAGAATAGGTCGAGCCCTTACAGAAAACCAATGACAAACCAGAGGGCGGAGTGGGAGACGATACGAACGTGAATGCCCGCTGTCCCGGTGGCTGGCCGAGTAGCCGTACAGTACAGAGTTGGCATCAGATTTATATTGGCATTACTCTGTACCTATTAGATTTGTCAATTTAATTTCGTATAACTCAAAATGTCTAATACGGATACAGCTGGTTGTTGATATAAGCTGCACACCGCCTAAAAAAAGAGCTAAAAGGCTTCATTTTAGCGTTAGCGAAAAACAAATAATTATCAACATTTATAAATACGAAATGCGAGGAAGGAGTGACTCAAGAGTTTAGGACATTGTTTGCAAAGCTGACACCTACATATTTTTCAATACTTGTAAGACGAGGAATTTCAACTAAAATTATATTTTATTTTTGTTTTTGTACATGCTTAAACTATATCGAGATAAGAAATCAAGCAATCATTTTGTTGGGTTTTTAATGCTTTCAGTAGGAACGGTTGTAGTGTCCAAAATGAAGTAAGCGATGGATAATTCGCCACATCGGTAATGAAGATGAATTTGTGTCCGATGCCTCATGGGCATTTGAATCCAAAGAAACGGTAGACTACTCTTTCGAAAATTGGTTCTGAAGTACTCTACCGAAGCTTGAAGATAATTCGGTTATAGTATTAGATAATGCTTCGTTCCACACGAGAAAATTCGAACAACGTCAACAAAAGAATCAGAAATTGAAGGATGGCTTAAAAATAAAAAGATTGATTATGATGATACAACGGTTAAGGCAGAAGTGTTACAAATTGTCAAGACGCATAAAAATAAATATAACCTGAATATAATTGATGAAATCCAAAAAACAAAATAAAACTGTTTTACGACTGGGTCCCTACCATTGTGAGCTGAATCCAATTGAGCTCATTTGGGCAGACATAAAAAATATGTTGCAGCAGAAAATAAATGTTTTAAATTTTCTGACCTTAAAAATATTTTTCATGCTGCTATACAAAGAATAACACCGAATAAGTGGGAAATGTATCAGCATGTAAAAGAAAAGGTCGAACCTTAAATGTGGGAATTAGACGGTATCATTGATACCCACGTTGCCTCTTCAATCATAAATCTTGATGACAGTGGTAGTTCCACGGCCTCAGATCTAGAATGATTTTCATTTTCAAATATATGTATTTCCGGTTGTAGACGTAAAATGCCTGTGCAATAAATTTTTGTATAATATTTAGTATATAAAATTATGTATTCAAATCCTTTTTCTTTCAACTCCACCTAACTATTCATTTTTTAGTCTAATATTAAAATTAACTGTTTGCACACTGACGACCCTGTTCAAGCGGTGGTTAAGTATACTTGTATGCATATGCATATAAAGTTTTGCTTAATAACGCCTCGTCGGTAATCACAATTTGCTTCCAAAAATCAGGTTCAGCATCAACCATGAGAGCGACTGTTTGGGCGTGCGTATTCCAAACGACGTGGTCAGTCAGTTGGCAATATTTTTTGTGTTAACTGCACCTTATAAGGAAACAAATGCAAATCATCCTTCAAAATGCGCCGCAATGTGGTTTCACTGATGCCAAAATGCTGAGCGCGGTGACGATCCGACACTTTTGGGTTCTTGGCAACGATGTCTCTGACCGCTTCAACCAATTCATTGGAACGTCTTGGTCGTTGATGAACGGTATGTTGACGATTTCCCACTGTCCCGTACTCTTGAAAATTCGAAACCAAACGACGAATAGTGTTGTCAGACGGTGCCTGTTTACCACGATAGTTTCGACGATATGCACGTTGCGTTAACACAACTGAACGACGATTTTTAATGTACATTGTGACTATTTCGGCGCGCTGTTTCGGTGTAAAACGATTCATGACTAAAATTGACGTTTCAGAAACACGTATCACCAAATCACTCGGTTGGCAAATATCAAAGTCATTCGATGTTTCAATACCGACATAAAAGATGGCGCACCCGGTACATAATCGGTTGATCAAGAGAACTTCGTTTTACAACTAAATGTTCATCAATACCGATAGACAAAACATCATATTTTCTCATTGAATGGTACTATTTATTACTCCTCCATTCTTGATGTCTGTAATAACTTCTTTAACTCTATCAGCCGTTCAAGATTTTTTAATAACATCTTTCTCCACTTTTTTTTATACTCCAACTACCACGAAGGCCTATGGCCTAAGCACCCATTGGGTACCGTGGGGCTATAGGGGGATACCCGTGTGCATACAACGTGCACACATTCTGGCTCCGCCTACGAGATCCGCCGGGTGGTACCTCCGCGTTCGACAGTCAGAGACCGTCTACCACCTACGGATAATCACAACATCCATAGCGAGAAAAATTTCTCCTGGGACGGGACTCGAACCCGCACAGCGCACGGCGACTGATCAGGAGACCGAAGAGTCTACTACTGCGGCCACCGCTGCTGCCTCTGCCACTCTTTCACTATAGAATGTTTGCAGTTGTTCGTTAAATTGCACTTTCATAACTTCTAAATCTTGTTTTTCATTCACGATTTGCACGTCTTTTCGGTTATCACTCATTTTTATGTGCTTAAACACATTAACATGGATAAACAAAAAAACAAAGGCCACTTTTTAAATTGACTTTGATTTTATGTAATGTTCTATACATAGAACAATCAAATGATAACGGAATATAGTGCGTTTTGACCGACAGCTGTTAGCAAACTGCAAACAAATCTGAAAGTGGCAGCAATTCCTGATAATGCACTATTCGATTGGAAAACGTCGACAGTTATCCCGTTTTGACAGAACCGCTTTCGGCAAATTGCAAAATGCCTAAAAACAATTAGTCACAACGTAATACACATTCTTCTCTTCGTGTTTTGCCGGCACTTTGCCTGCCTTGGTCTAGCCATAACGAAAAATGCTTTGTACGCTCGCGTTTGGTCAGCTTTTTATAAAATCACTAGGAAATTTATAAAAGCCTAAATTTCCATTATGCCAACGACATCTACGACATGTTTTAATGAAGTATATTATTTAGTTCATAAGATAATCACTATAACATTTGCATGAGCTCTAATATTATACTTGATATTTTTACGAGAAACAAATTTTTAGAAACGTTTAGCAAATGGATCGTAAGCCCTAAGGGCATTAAAATATCACCTCAAAATTAGAAGAAGATCTGCTCTGGTTTTTGTAACAATTCATTGATATATTTCAAAAAGAAAAGAATATTTTAAAAATTCTCCTGGAATGTGGCTAGCCTATAACATAAATTTTGTTATATTTAAGTTCGGTATAGAATCAACCCAATTTCGAAGCTGTAGAGCATGTTATATGAGGTTTTGCGACGAGCGGCTATGGGGAAATTTTATTTCTGGTACACTCTGGCGTATTCCGGGGGCTTTGAGGTTGAAATGCCCTCGCCCACGAACCCCGCGGCTTGACGTTTTTCCTTTTATGTATAATGCACGTTATACCTTTTGTGAAATGTAACCCCTCCCCTCCGAGCCCCCTAGACGGATATCTGTCTGAATATGAATCCTGAGCTCCCTGACCCCCCCCTCCCTGCCCGACCTTTTTTCTGGGTACGGCAGTGTTTGTACGCGCTGGCACTCGTTAACTAATACACATAACGTGTTTACAAATCGAATCAAATTATTCTTACGTCAAAAAGACCGAGACTTAATCGATGATAATGATCCATATTCCAATCTTTTAGACTATACATCAGTACCCCCAGCGAATATGCTTTTTTAATTTTCCTTTGTATCTCAGCAACCTAGAGTCGTCTCGTACGATGAGCTTCTCCGCGCCGAGCGCCATCAATATGGAACACACGGTGGTGAAGTTCGACACCGAAGTCGAACAGTTCATTACCAACGGTTCAGAGAACCGGAACAGTATTGATGAGAGTGCCACTCCTCATGATTGGCAATCTCTTAGCAACCTCACGGAGAGCACTGAGCAGAGTGCGCCTATCAATTTTGATATGAGCAATAGGGTAAGTAAAAAACAAACAATTTTCACATTAAGAGCCCCTAAGTTGAACATATTATGCACGTCACATGTTATGAGTTGCTACAACTTTATTAATCGATTTACAGGCCAAATTACCTAGGGGCATAGATAAAATCAGACCGCATATCGAATTAATAGATAATGTTCCTTTATTAGTTTCTCTGTTTACTGATTGTACTCCGAGTGCCACTCGTGAGATGTTGCACATAATGCAAGATTACAAGGAGGTTGTCTGCATTATGGGATCCTCTGAAAACTGTGATAATGCTGGGACATTCATGCAGGCCGACGCGAGGTGAGTAGGATATAAATATTATCTGCCTAGTGAATGAATGTGAGCCAAAGGAATATGGGCGGTATATAGCCTTTATATATACAGGGTGACTTCGAAGTTGAGTCATTTATTTTAACAGTGATAAGATCTGATCAAAAGAAATGTTTTTTCCTTTACCATTTTTCTGGTAAAATTAAAGTAACAAAGTTATAGCCCTTTGGAAGTTTGAGTACCGCCCTGTCTCAATAATAATATCATGTGCTCGCGTTTGGCAACAACGGATATAATCCGCCTTACCGGTTCATCGCATCGGAAACAAAAAAGCGAAAGAATTTGGAACGATGTTTTTACAATAAATTATTTTATTCAGTTCAGTTATACATACAGTCAGTGTCAGTCGGTTAGCGTGTGAATAGTGTCTGTTGCGTGGCTCAAACGAAATAAAAAATGGCACATGTTTATGCGGATCGGTTTCCCAATCGAGTGCAACCAACCCCTCGTGCCTTTTGTTAATGTAGTACAACGGGCTCGTGAATCAGGTGACTTAAGACCTCACAGGGGACCTCACGATCAAATACAGGTCCGCACTGAAATACTTGTCGGGAGGATACTTTATAAAACAAGGTAAAAAAATTTTTTTAATTTTTTTTTATTTTTACACACATATTCTGGTTTATCTTCCTTCTACAATCATTATCTGAAAATTAATGACTCAACTTCAAAGTCACCCTGTATATATATATATCCTTGAATTTGTTTAGGTAGAAGGCAAGTACTTTGCCTTTTACCCAAAGAAATTCAATGATATTTTCTCCAAACAGTTAAGGCAATTAACTATGAATACTATATATATATATATATATATATATAACAAGAAGTAGGAAAATCATTTTCTCTTTATATATATATATATATATATATATATATATATATATATAAATTTAACAAAAAGTAGGAAAATAATGGGCAAAATCCGCAAAAAGGAGGAAATTAGATTCCACTTTCTTCCTTTTAGTTTTTGTTATATACCTTTCTCTGCACGATCATTTTCTTTTATATACAGGGTGACTTTGAAGTTGAGTCATTGATTTTCAGATAGTGATTGTAGAAGGAAGATAAACCAAAATGTGTGTAAAAATAAAAAAAAAATTACCTTGTTTTATAAAGTATCCTCCCGACAAGTATTTCAGTGCGGACCTGTATTTGATCGTGCGGTCTTGGACGGCCCTCCCCTGAGAGGTCTTAAGTCTCCTGATTCACGAGCCCTTTGTACTACATTAACAAAGGCACGAGGAGTTGGTTGCACTCGATTGGGAAACCGATTTTGTAAAGACTCCCCCCCGTAAATAAGAATCATGACCACAAGTTCAGCATTTTCGTAAACATGTGCCATTTTTTATTTCGTTTGAGCCATGCAACAAACACCACTATTCACTCACGCGTTACCGACTGAATCCAACTAAAAACATCGTGATAAGCGTTTCAAATTCTTTCGCTTTTTTGTTTCCGATGCGATGAACCGATGCGGATTATAAAGGGTGTCTCATAAATATTTTCTTATTTTATGCCATAAATAAAAATACTTAGAATATTTTTACAAAGATAAATTTATTACCAAACGAAAGCCTAAACATTAATTTTATTTATGGAAAAGAGTATCGGATAAATGAGCACCGTTCATGTTTTCACACTCTCTTAATCTCGAACTGAAGTTTTCGATCACTCTCCGAAGCATTGCTCGAGGAATGGCGTTTATTTCATCTGTTATTTTTTGCTTCAACTCTCTCAAATCTTGTGGCGGTGGGGTGTATACCTTACTCTTCAGGTATCCCCATAAGAAAAAATCTGCTGGTGTCAAATCGGGACTTCTCGGTGGCCAGTTAATGTCTCCTCTGCGACTGATGACCCTCTCTGGGAATAACTGATGAAGAGCATCCAAGGATTCATTCGTGACATGAGAAGTCGCTCCATCTTCCTGGAAAAACGTGTTTCTATTGTAGCCACCATGGTTCTGTATAGCTGGAGTTAAAAAAGTCCTAATCATGTGGCAGTAGCGCTCAGATGTTACAGTTTGAGCTTGGCCACGATTGTCTTCAAAAAAATACGGGCCAATGATTCCTTGCCCTGACAAAGCAGCCCAGATGATAACTTTAGGCGAGTGTAATGGCGTCTCATGAAGATTTTGCGGGTTCTGCTCGGCCCAATATCGGCAGTTTTGTTTATTAACATGCCCGTTAATGTGAAAATTTGATTCATCAGAAAACCATATGTTGTTGTAACCGTTAAAATGCTCTCTCATTGTTCTACAGAACTCTAATCGATTAGCGGGATCTTGTGGTTTTAATTGTTGTGTAACAACAATCTTGTATGGGTGAAAATGCAAATCATTGCGAATAATGCGATGAACAGTTGACTTATGCAAAGTTAGAGACGCTCCACGCAGTCTTAATGATTGCCGGGGATCCTCGTTAACGGACTGGCGCACACGTTCAATATTTTCGTTCGATCTTGCTGACCTTGGCCGTCCAGGCGGTTTACTAATACACGTGTTTCCAGTGCTCTCGAACTTTCTTACCCAATATTTAATTAAATTTGCGCTTGGGACATCTCACATTCTTGCTATGTTATAATGATTTCTGTACAAACGACGTACAAGCACATAAGAATCCTTGTTTTTATAGAACTCGCGAACACAAAAACCACGTTGCGGCCCTGTAAAACGCTCCATTGCAACTAAAATTTAACAATGTTGCCAAACGTTTGTCAACTGTCTCGTTTCTCCGGAGCATGCGTATTCCGCCAGAGGACTGATCTAAAAACGAAAATATTTCTGAGACACCCTTTATCTGTTGTCGCCAAACACGAGCACATAATATTATTATTGAGACAGGGCGGTACTCAAACTTCTAAAGGGCCATAACTTTGTTACTTTAATTTTACCAGAAAAATGTTAAAGGAAAAAACATTTCTTTTGATCAGATCTACTCACTGTTAAAATAAATGACTCAACTTCGAAGTCACCCTGTATATAAAATAACACTGGTCAACAAATTTTAGTTTTTTAATTGTATCTTGTGGGAAAAGCGCACTTAATTAATTTTGGGGCGCTGAATCCAAAAATGACAATGAAATAAAAAAATTAGTTGCGGTTTAGAAAAAAAACTTTTTATTTTTAAGGATATATTAAAAAAAGTAACAAGATTCATATACTTATAAGAATCACTATATGCGCTGTCTTTTTGCTGTTCTTTTATGGATCGTTTCTCGAGCATCTCTACCAAGAGTCCAACAGTAGTCTGCAAGCATGGAAGGATTCCACTTTCCCTGGTACCTTTTTTCCATTGTTGAAATATCCTGATGAAAACGTTCGCCGTGCTCATCACTTACGGCTCCACAATTGTCAGGAAAAAAGTCCAGGTGTTAGTGTAGGAAATGAATCTTAAGAGACATATTACAGCCCATCTTTTGATACGATGACAGCATATTTTTGACAAGGGTTTTATAGTTGTCAAGCTTTTCTATTTCCCAAGAAATTAGTGACCACCAGACGGAAATCATTCCAAGCAGTTTTTTCAATACCTGTTAAAGTGTTTTCAAACTGTGTATCTTTCAAAATATTTCGAATCTGCCCAATCGGCCCAACAAAAATACCTTCTTTAACCTTTGCCTCACTTAGTCTTGGAAATTTCTGACGCAGGTATTGAAAAGCTTTGACAAAGTTTTTCATTAGGCCCAACTTGATATGCAGTGGTGGTAATAAATTTTTTTTCGAATCTAATAATGGCATATGCTGTACATTTTTTGACCTGGCTCTAGGAATTGACGAACAGGCCAGTTTTGTCTGGTGTAATGAAGTGCCTTTGCCCGACTGTCCCATTCATATAAAAAACAGCAAAACTTTGTGTAGCCTAGCTGCAGTCCAAGTAAAAGTGCAACAACTTTCAAATCGCCACAAATATGCCATTGGTGCTCATCGTATTTTATGCATGTCAATAGGTACTTCATATTGTCATATGATTCTTTCATGTGAATTGCATACCCTACAGGAAGAGATGGTAAAATATTTCCAATATGCAATAATACTGCCTTTAAACTCAATGTTGAACTGTCTATAAACAATCTCCATTCTTCTGGGTTATAGTTTATATTTAAAGCCGCCAGTAAGCCGTTAATTTTACTGCAGAAAACCAAGTTATTCTCCATATTGAAAAATGGTTCTAAGTCTTTGTGGCGTTTACGAAAAACACATACCGAAACATCGTCTTCTAACAAGTTCCACTGCTGCAGTCTTGATCCAAGTAACTCTGCCTTACATTTTGGAAGTTCTAAATCTCTTACAAGATCATTTAATTCTGACTGTGTTATTTTGTGCGGTTGGTGGCATGACGTGCTCGGTATAAAATCAGGATCTCTTGACGTTGATGGCATATCTTCTTCCTGACGAATCACTCGATCGCCATGATCTGATTCGTTTTCTGATTCGCAAGTGTAGGATTCTGGGGGTTTTGGAATAGGATTTTCGTCACTGTGAGGCACAGGTCTCATCGCAGATGGTATGTTTGGGTAGTTAATAACCGATTTTTTTTCTTGGACATATCTGTGGCTTGTCCAACACAAGGTACCATGCAAAAGTAACAATCATTAATATGATTTGTAGGCTCTCTCCAAACCATTGGGACAGCAAAGCGCATAGACCGTTTTTTGCCATTTAACCAGCTCCTCAGACTTGAAGCACATGCATTACAGCAGATGTGGGGTGCCCACTGTTTGTCTTGATCACCTAGTTTACAACCGAAATAAAGCTGATATGCCTTTGTTATTAGTGGAGTAATAGACCGTCTCTGAGACGCAAAAGTCACATCACCACACACGTAACAAAACTGATCTGGATTGTTTACACACTTTCGAGACATCTTGCATGAACGCTGTCCAACTGAGGAAAAAATGGCTAATATAAAACAATATAATGTACACGTATGTATAACGTAACACAATCATGCCGATTACATCATCTTTCCTTGCCGAATATAAAAATGTAGCACGTGCATTCTTGTGAATTACAGTATATTAACACTGTCACAGCAGGAACACATATATAATTACCGTATCTCTAAAACTTGAACTAATATTGAAAAAATAAGTTTCATTTCGGTTTTAGCACATTAAAAATAGTAATATTTTGTTGATTTTATTTAGGATATTTTTTGGCTGTTGATCAGTGTAATAGGCAAAATCCGCAAAAGAAGGAAAGTGGATTTGAGCAGAAAATAATATAGGTAACCCGAGCAGTTCGTATGTCTGCTTGTTGGCTTCATCAGGCCACGTATTGCTCGGGTTACCTATCCTATTTTCTGCTCGAATTCACTTTCCTTCTTTTGCGGATTTTTCCCATTATTTTCCTATTTTTTGTTATATACCTTTCTCCGCGTGTTTATTTTTCACAAAGTATTCGGTAGGTACGAAGTTGGTGGTGGGGACCGTCAGATCAATCGCAGCGCGCAATGTGGCAGAGGTGCGAAGTGACATGTGTCAAACTGCTATATTTCATGCAATCGGACTCTAAATTTGTTGAATATTTTTATGTCAAAATGATCAAATTTTTATATGGATAATAATGCAGGCTGTGTTGTAAATTATAAAAAGTGGCTTCAAGTAGGTTGTTGTCTCTACAATTCCCACGCAACGCCATCATTTGGCGGATGAGGATGACGACCAACAAAAGTTAGACCCTATCGAAGTAAGACAATACCATAGACCTTATATCCTGGATAGAGGGAAGTTACTACGCTTTCCTTTGTTGTCCCTGAGATCAAACCTAGATCATGCTAATGGATTGCCAAAAAAGGATGAAACAGTTGTCCAGGGTGCATATTCGTAAATACCCGACGCGTTATATGCTCGAAGTAGCTTCATATATACCCGACGCATAGGACTTATGTGCCCGACGCGTTATCCACTCGAAGTAGCTTCATTCATATAGGTGTTATGCCTGACGTACCAGACTAATTCATCATTTATTTACTAGTATAACAAAATGGTTATTTATTTGTCCCTTTACATTTTCTTTTATCATAATTTTTACAATGGGAATGCCCTATGTTACTGTGGCGTATTATTAGTAGATTTGCTAATAAAATAGAAATTAAAAAAAAATTAGGCAGTATTTTTTTATAGTACCTACTAGCAGGAGGTACTCACTTCATAAATTTTGGAAGTAAGTCGTGTACGTAAGTGAAATATGCAATGAGTGCAAGTTCATGATTGATTACAGATTACAAGTTCTGCTTCATATGTTTCAGAATCAGAGGAATAGGTGGAACTGCAGCTGAACAGCAAAATAAAAGAAAATAACTTATTTAAATAGTATAATTTTATTTAAAAAAACATTCTGATTCATAAAATATTTTCAGGTAAATACTCAATCAAAACCAACATTATAGCTATGAACAACATTTTTAACAGACTTAAGTCGTTAACCTCAAACAACCTTTGACGCTCAAAAACCGCCTCTGTTGCTGTTCTATTTTTTGGACTTATTGATTCTCAAAGCCATAATTATTGTTTTATATTGATAGTTTTCTGGTAGGTCACTTAAACCACGCATATTTTCTTTTATTTACTATCTAGATTTCAAAATCAAATCATTAGGAGACGAGATAAATACAAGACGTATCATCACGATACGGTGTGAATAACAGTGGCAATATACCGTACATACGAACTGCTTACACGTGTTTCCTGATTGCAACGTTTTCAAAAAACAGCGTACATACACATTTTGACATTTTTGTTGTTTGCGTTACAGTATAGCAGTAAAACCCCTGTACCCTCAGGTTTGTCAAAAAAGGACAATCTACGAAAAAAACAAAGATTGTATAGGTCCAATAGAATTATCCTGTATGTTAAACTCAGTTCCATGCGCTTTGTCTTTTAAAAGGGAAGATCCTTTGAGTCTTCACCGCCTCATTATGGAAAGCAGGCATTTCGTAGCTACGATATGGAACTCAGGTAAGTAATTTCTGTATTTGTAGTTACTTTCATACCTCGATCTGAAATGAATCTGTTTGCTTTCTGTATCTATAAACAAAACCAAGCGCATACAACATTGTTTCATAATTTTAATAATCCTCAGTACCGTATAAAGGCCTATTCACACTCAGCCGAGACGTGACAGTGCCGTGACGTGCCAGTGATTCTCGCTGACGTGAGAGCACAGTGTTTTCAATTCACACCGGTCAGTATTTTTCGCCGTGCTCTGACAGTGCAGTTGTGTTCATTTGTGGTCGAAATGGCAAAATTTGAAGAAGAAACGAGAAGAAAAGCACATATTTTGAATTTGACTGGTTCTACAGCACAAGATGTGCAAATTGAATTAGGTTTTCATCATTCATGTTTTTGACCAAATATATCAAAGCATTCACGAAATTACATAACACGGTCGTGAAAATCGAAAAATATCTTTCCAAAACAATGCGATGATCACCGTACGGCGTCGTCGAGGGCACTGAGAACACCGCCACTTCCACGTGCCGCTCTAGTGTGAATCAGTTCATCCAAATATCAGGAAGAATCTTTTTAGATTCGCCGGGCGGATCACGTGCCGCACGGGTATCACGTATCTTGAAAAGTGACATTATGCCGATTTTTTTTGACATTATGCTGTTTTTTTTTTTTGACGGTATGTAGGTTTTTCTACAAGATGTTATCTTAGCACTTAGTTGTACGTGTTGCCTAAACATCATGAGGCTTTAGTTTTCAACGTTTGGCTCTGATTTTATGTAAAATCTGCTGAGAGATGACATTACTGGATTTCTAAGCTGTAAGTTGTATGTGTTGATGATAATTACATTGGGTTCTTGTCTCAAATACACTTAATCGAGATTCAAAGCTAGAAATTAATTGCGCAGCCACGTTCTCTTATACATGGAAATTACATATAAAAATTTGCTGAATTTCAAAAATGAGAGAGATCAGAAATAATTATATTCACTGTACACTGTCGAATACCTGCTAACAGTAATTACACACAACGCGGGCGCGGTAAAGATTTCCCGTAATTCTACTCAGTATTTCGTAATTTATAACTTTGAACATAACCACATCATATAAATAACCCGTCATATTCAAGATATTCAGTAATGATTTTCTCACACAGCAAATATCACTGATTTTATACACATGCAGACCAATACACAGAATCATCCAGATGCGATCTTGCTATTCAACCAACTTTCTTCTCAGAGATAAAAACTACAGACACGGATCACTCGGGGCTCACAAAACTATGCAACCAATAATGCGTGTAGTTTAGTTGAGTGATTCTTTCATAGATGGACGTTCACAAAGATACTAGTGAGCAAAAGTGGAATGACTGTTTGTGCCCTAAAAACTACCTAGTCTGCAAGTTGACATCTTATAGGTTTTTTTTTGACGTTTTGGAGGTTTTTTATATGATACCCGTGCCGGTCACAGCACTGTCACGTCACGGCTGTGTATGAATATGCCTTCAAAGAGTGTGCAGAAATTTCTCTTATGAAAGTTAAGTTCCTCCCAATGGACCGTTAGTCAATCTATTGATTTCATATGACATTGAAACATAACTGCCAAAAAGTTTTACAATTAGTATATTTTCAGTGCAATATTGGTTATGCTGCTGTGTGGCCCTAAGTGTCTTACAAACCATAGCTGCACTGTTTATGTTACCAGGACTTATGACCACGTGGCAAGTGTTGTGGTTCTGTTGTATTGTGATACCTGCAATAAGTATTTCTTTGATGGCTAAACCATTGGATATGGATGTAATGAAGAAGCCTCAAGGCAAGATACAGACTGTTGTTAACCTGAATGTAAGTCTTGTTTATCCTAAACATATGACGATTGGTTATACAGGGTGTTTTCAAAGTTGAGTCATTTATTTTAACAGCTTGTAGAACTCGTCAAAAAAAGTTGAGAGTTAGTTTACATTATTAAAAATGATTAAAAAAATCATTATCAAGTTAAATGGATACCGTTTTTACAAAAACTGTTCAAAATTGTCCCCATTTATTCGATTAATGCAAAATCTTGCTCGGAGAATCCATGACTTTTTACAACTGTCTTTGTTTTTTAGGGTGCGATCTTCGTAATTTGGTGTTATGGCAGCAAATTTTTGCTCACATTTGTCGTGGTAACAGCGTCTTATATAGGAACATTAAGCAGTCATTGTAATCAAATGTGTATAGCACTTCCAAATTGCACGTGTGCCTTCCTCTTTCATCCTATATTACTGAATGATTCGATGCTCACAGAAGGCTGGGACGAAAATAAGTGGACTCTCCATGTCTCCAGACTGATCCTGTGTTTCATTACACTGCTACATTTTGGTAGGTTATTTGCATGGTTACAGCATTCTATCTTTTATACACTCGGGTCCAGTATTAACGACTCATTTTGAAAACTACGAACAATCGCTCGTTAGATTTAGAGTTGGGATACAACGTGCTCTGTTATAATGAGCTTGTCGTGAAATCGTTACAAAAAGTAAAACATATCTTATTTTAGACCAACAAGTTTGAATTATTAATGCACTTGGTGCAGCCAGTAGATCATTCAATGCTAACATTCGTATCTATGATATAGACAAATAAAGACAAAATAGGAGAAACATTGAATTAAAACATTCCTAAGTTAAAAGGAACCTAAAAATCGGTTAACAAGGTGTTTGCAATGAAACAATTATCCGCCCATTTGGAATTCAACGATTCCGGTTGCAATGCGAAAAGAAAACTCATTTTGGACTGGCGTAGTGTAACACAGAAAAGATCAAGAAATATTTTAAATATACAGGGTGTCCGCAAAGTTGGGGTTTTCCTTTTCAGAAACAACTACCCTTGAAATAACAAAGGTAATGTGTAGTGAAACGAGGGCGACCAAGTAAAAAAAAATAAAGGAAAAAGTACTCACTCTCCAGTTGACGAGAAGGGCGAAGTACGTCTCTGCCCGAAATCATACCGCTCCAACAGAAAATGAAATCAGCTGATGCGCTACCGAGCAGACGCAGGCAAACAAGGAAGGCAAAATGTTGCGTAAAAAGTCTAGGTATTGCATCCCGTCCAATCGATTTGGGAGAATAAATGGTCCAATGAGCATACCGTTCACCATGCCAGCCCAAACATTCACCGAAAGTTGGGGTTTTCCTTTTCAGAAACAACTACCCTTAAAATAACAAAGGTAATGTGTAGTGAAACGAGGGCGACCAAGTAAAAAAAAATAAAGAAAAAAGTACTCACTCTCCAGTTGACGAGAAGGGCTAAGTACGTCTCTACCCGAAATCATACCGCTCCAACAGAAAATGAAATCAGCTGATGCGCTACCGAGCAGACGCAGGCAAACAAGGAAGGCGTAAAAAGTCTAGGTATTGCATCCCGTCCAATCGATTTGGGAGAATAAATGGTCCAATGAGCATACCGTTCACCATGCCAGCCCAAACATTCACCGAAAATGTTTGTTGAAAATGTGCCCGACGGACAGCGTGCGGATTTTCTACTGACCAAACATGAGTGTTGCGAAAGTTATTCACCCCATTACGCGTGAACGTAGATTCGTCTGTCACCAATATGCACTTCAAAAAGTCCTGATTATTGTCATGTTAATGCCACAACCACTCACAAAACCGCACTCTTGCTGGAACATCGTCAGGTTGAAGGGCTTGTACACGTTGGACGTGAAACGGATACAGGCCCTCTTCACGCAGCGTTTGCCACACTTTAGTTTTTGATACTTGCACTTCTCTAGCCACGTCTCTAGTGCTTGTTGTTTTTTGAAACGCAATCGATTATACGGGTTCGTTTACCTCTACACGCGTGACCGTAACCGTCGGTTGAAGGTCGCATACTGACCTGACACACTGACCCCGACCCAGTTCTGTCGTCGGGTTGAGCTAGTGTCCTAGTACCACTTGGGCATGTCGCGGCTACAGGACGGTATTCAGATATTTTTGATGTTGGTGTATATGTGTATATGTATGTATATATAAAGAAAAATTGCTTATGTTTTCAAGATCTACACGTCGTGTAAAGGAAAACCCCAACTTTGCGGACACCCTGTATATTGTGAACGAAAAACTTCGTCTCTGAGCCATATTATGACTAATAAATATCTGCTAAGTAGTGTTATTTTTGATCATTATTATAAGTTACTTATAACAAGCGAGACCGTTCTACTGACCCTAGCGAAGTTCCACATATAGCATATTATCTTACACCAGCCTCATGGTTATAAGCGGTTCCGGTTGTATTTACTTTTAAATTGTTAATCGCTAAGAAGAACCCCTACGAGCAAGTGCAAAAAACGCCTATACAGGTTATTATTCAGGTTATAAAGTTATAGATAGATTAACGAAATACAGATGATAGACCTAAAACCTATCGAAATAACCCATATATGTTAGATGTTACATTTACCCTATAAGTGTTATCCGAAATTCAATAGATCAAGAGATATTTTCACTTTTGTATGACTCACTAAAGCACTGCTTCCAGAAACAAATCACAGCCGTGAATCTGATGGTTTGGCTGTATTTGCAAAGTTCGAAATCGGAATTTTTATAAATGTCACAACAGAACTATTCTATAGGTATTAGCTATCTGGCTTTTGTAGATCCGTCCATAGCCACCCTCTACATGGTAACGTGCTCAACAATCCAATTTTTTTTGTTTCATATCCATAGTTCATATGTCAGACAAATATACTTCTTTGAGTCGATCTTTCAATTTGCTTTATATTTCACATTTCTAACGCGACTGAAACAGTTGATATTACGATGGCCTTTTCTGAAATAATGAAAGGAACGTACACTGTTTTTATAATATTTTATCTTATTTTCAGTAGTTATATCAACAGGGTTTATCCACAGAGATCATCTCATGTTCCAAAAACCAGCTCATTCAAATTTGTATTGGTTAGCCACTGTGTTCACATTGTAAGTACTAGCAATCAATCCTCACATATACATGGTGCGTCATCTATTACTTTTTTCTGTTTGATAAATCAACACGCTTTTTACGAGGTGAAATCGAATTTTTTTATTGATAAATGAAGGTTGGTTTATGCCATTTATGTATGAAAAATAACATTAGTCATGTGACCACCGCGGCTTCGTTTACAGGCCAACATCCGAACATTAAAATTTTCAATGACTTTTCCCAGAGTAATCGGGTCTATAGCCGCAATTTTAGTCCGAATATTGCGCTGTAGGTCTTGAAATCCCCAAAGAAAATAGACAAGAGGCGTTAAATCGCACGATCTCGGGATCTCGGGGCCCAACTGATCTGAATTTCGTGAAATTATGCGGTCTTGAAATTTCGTGTGCAATAAGGGGATTGTTTGGCGAGATGTGTGAGCTGTTGCTCCGTCTTGATGAAACCAAAGATGATCTGCACCAATACGATCCAATTGTGGCCACAAAAAGTATGTTAACATGCCGCGATAACGTTCTCCGTTGACGGTAATGGCCGTTTCTTTGGTATCTTCAAAGAAGAATGATCCAACGATGCCACCAGCCCATAATCCGCACCAAATAGTCACTTTTTCAGGATGGAGAGGTTGTTCATGATATTGGTGTGGATTTTGAGCCCCCCAGAATCTGCAATTTTGCTTATTTACGTTCCCATTTTGGTGAAAATGAGCCTCATCAGAAAAGAGCACTTTGGCCGAAAATCCGTCTTCTCTTTCCAGCATCCAATTAACAAAAACACGCCGCTCTTGATGGTCTGCCGGCTTCAATTCCTGTGTTAGTTGGATTTTGTATGGATGGAGCTGTAAATCAATGTGTAAAATCCGGCGTAAAGTGGTCTCACTAATTCCCCATTGTTGCGAACGGTGCCTAGTCGAGGTGGTTAGATCTTCTCGCACACTTTCACTCACTGCGGCTATCTTTTCACGAGTACGATCATGTACGACCTTCAGCTGAACCAGTTTTCTCAAAACGATTAACAATCCAATGAATTCCAGGCTCTGTAGGGCGTCCATGTCGGCCAAAACTAGTGCGAAGTTTGCGAAAAGTATTTTTTATATTTCGACCGTCTTCGTAATAAGTTTGGATAACCAAAATGCGTTGTTGTGTTGTAAACGAATCCATGACTATAAATGGCATACCTTTGACACTTCATTTATGCATACCATATGACTTTTGACTCACATTGTAACACTTAAACTTATAGGTAAAAAAAAGTAATAGATGGTGCACCCAGTATTAGTTTTGTGCAGCAATAACTGGTTGGTAGAAATACAACTTTTTTTCGTTTAATTTCATTTCCACTAACCTTGGGAGATTAAAAAAACAAGTCGACAAGAAATATTTAACTTCGTTCTATCAAAGTGCTTCAGTCTTTAGGCTCTACCTTCGCAGCTGCTCCAGGTAATCAAGCATAAATGGCTACCTACGTTTCAGGATTGCGGTACAAAGCGTGTATACGATCATAGTACTAATGGTAGTAAGGGAAAACGAATATGATGAGAAGTATGTTGTACCACTATGGGTGATTATTTTTGGAGCACTGTCTTCGTTTGGAGTATTAATTATAAGTGAAATGGTTAAAAAACAGGAAATCAAGTAAGTTGCATTTTCACTATATAATTTGTAATGTGCTTTGTTATGTCCATGCATTGATTAACGTATTCTCCAACAATGCTTTATTTGGGCGTTCATATAAAATTTCTATCACCACAGCCTTGTTGCCAAGTAGAAATTGTTTTCTCTTAAAAATGACATCAAACTTCCAAGAAAAGATCACCCCTCATCCTCTCGTAACTATTTCGTAACAGTACGAGAGGTAGCGACGCTAACATCACCTCTAGTCTGCAGATGACGGTTGAGACATGCTTTTCAAAAAACACCCCTACTTATTTTTTGAACGAGATAAATTGACAAGTTAAAATTCGGGTCAATATAATTAAATGCACGGATACTATATTTTAAATGGTTTCTATTGCTAAAATAAGCACACACACAAAATACATAGAACTTCAACAAATTCTAGCTGCTTTCCTGGCAATAGATAGAAAGATCTGCTCTTCCGTTTGACAAAAAAAAATAAAATAATTATAATAAAATTAGTTTAAATCCACACTATGTTTGAAAAACAGATAGCACTTTGTGCCTCTGCGCGAGGAAGAATTGTAATCTGAAAAAAAAATCGAAATTAAGATATAGTCTTTTTTGGATGATATATGACATGTACATGACAAAAAACCATGACAACTTATTTCCGATGCTCTGTCGGTCTGTCTGTCCGCTAATCCTTGGCCCATTTTATAAATTGAGAAGTGCTGCTCTGATTTGTGATGATATTTTCAGACAAGGTTACTACTATGCCAAGGGTGAAAAAGGTTTATAGTTTTTGAAAATCGGTACAGTGGCGGCGGAGAAAAATAGCCAAAACGAAAAAAGAAAGTCTGTCAAACTTCGTTTTTTGACGTTTCAGAGGGTCTTGATCATTTCTGAGCCGGGTATTAGGGGTAAAAAATTGGGGGTGGAGGAGGGTGTATCGCAATTGTTTGATACTAGTGTATTAATACACTTCCATCATCGGAAATTCTACGCACCTATCAGACATATTTACATCATAGATTTCTCCGTACATTTCTTCTCTTAAGACGGAACAAAGAAAATTGTTATGGAACAAGTTTATTTCCGAGTTGTTTTTTACGGCACATTCCTATCGCGCAGTATACGCGGATTTTACATTTGTTCAGAGTAATCTAGTAGAAGTTGCTTCTTATGTATGGTGCAGATTAGAGTACTTCCGCGCTACTGCAGTTTTGTTAGAGGTATGCCTGCAACTACCGGGATTAGAGGGAAAGAGTATATATGGACTAATTGTATGGCCTGTTTGACTGACTTGATCCGTTTAATTTCTCTGTTGTACATCTTCGTAACTATTTTTTTTTCTCAGAGGGTTTAACTTGTGCTAAACCCTTTATGAAGTGATGACGGCGTTGCATAGGGAGTGCACAGTCAACCTACTTTTTTGGATTTCAAATGAAATTGTCCATATTTCACCATAAATGCAGATAGGTCCTTCAAAAAGAAGAGGGTTAATATAACATACAGCACATACAGTACATTTTGATAAGTTATTGAGTTATAAGCGTTTCAAGATATGAAATTATATCATATGCAGATGAAACTAACATCTTACTGATCAGTTCTAGTAACATTGAACTTTTTCATAATACTGAAGCAGTATGCACAGCCGCTCAAAAATGGTGGGTAAATAATGGCCTTATATTAAATACAAATAAGACCCAATTAAAGAAATTTTCACTAAGAGATAACCAGTATTTCAGTATTTTGAATAACATTTCAACAATATTGAAACATCTCTTTCTGTTCAGTTGTTGGGTATTACCATTGATTTTCATCTACCTGTAACTTGGGAGCCACATGTGGAAATGCTGTGTCATAAATTACGTAAAAGTATAAAAATTTTATCAAATCACTGCAGCAAGCTAGTTTTACTTACTCTATACTATTCAAGCTTTATCTGTCACTTGCGTTACTGCATTTTATGCTGGGGATGCTGTTCATTGAAAAAGTATTTCTTCCCCAGTAATATGTTACTAGAATCATTGCAAATCTTAATTGGCCTGAATCTTGCAGGGATTTTTTGCGATCCTTAAGAATTTTAACAGTAGCTAGCATTTGCATTTATGAATAATCAATATTTGTGTATAAACCTCTTGAATAACAAAGAACACAATTATCAAACTCGATCTAAAGATATGCTGATACCCCTTCAACATTGTACTGCAGCATATCAGAAACCTTTGGGTTACATGGGTTGTGAAATATTCAATAATTTAAAAGATGATATTTAAAAATTAACATTGAGCAGTTTCAAAAATCAGTTGCAATCAGTCAAGTGCTTTTATAGCTTGGGAAAGTTCTTTGCATGCGAAACTAGTTTTTAGTCTGTATTGTATTGTTTTTGACTTTTGATTTATTATAGTCTGTGGCTATTTAACAATGAAATAAATCTATTATTATTATGTAGTTGTATACTAAGTGGTTGGCGGCAACATGGCACATAAACCCGTTATAGGCACGGTTCAATTAAATTGGGTAGAATATGTTAATCATTGATCTAAGTTTGAACCGCTACGTGATCGCGCATCATATATCGAGTATTTTGTGTTGCTTGTTAATGCTGCTATCATTTCATTTTTGATATTTTGATAACAGCTAACTGCGCCAGTAAGGAAACATTTTTCGATCCAATGTATAACATATTGATGTGAAAATAGGTTCACGTAATTTTCTCAAACTACCAAGTGTTATGATCATTGCCGTGTGTTAATTAACGCGAGTTGCGTATATCTAAAATTCATCACTATATTTGGTCATTATTAAGCTTATCTAATTTTCAGGGTCAATAAAAGGTTTTTAAAAAGAGCTCGACTAGACTTTGGTACGAAGTTGGGAATGAATTCTCCATTTTAATCCATAAATCGGATTTTTTAGGCAATCGGAATACAGTGAATTCGCATTATACAATTTTTATTCGATTTTTTAATATTGTAATTGTGTGACATTTCTACAAGACTTGACTGTTTTTAATCAATAAATGATCAGTATTTCTAGGTTAAACTTGTTTTTAGTTTTGTTCTGTCAAGTGTCGTCAGGCCGCTCCGTTAGCCGTGCACATTCGAATCAGGTGTTGGCTATGAAGTTGTGATTCTCTCGAGGATGAGAACGGCCTTCACTGAACGCCCAATATAAAAATAGGTGGCATAAAGGAGATATATTGAATTGCTTGACTTCTATTTATTTATCACACGTTTTAACAATAAAAATTAAATTTTCATTGATAATGTCAACTTAATAATAAGTGTAAGGTAAATCATGATAAAATAAATAACATTTGAACAATCTGTGATGTTAAAAATTACATTAAAAACAAAATTACGTTAAAATCATAAAAATCACCGGTACAAGATGACTCAAAACAAAGGGTTATCACAGATCTACAAAAAAGATTGGCCAAATAACAAAGTAACAGTAATATGCTACATATATTTTCTAAATCAAGTGACGAATTTCTATTTGGATCACCCTGTACCTAATTAAAATCGTACACTAAAATCAAATATCAATCAACTGAAATTTTTCATGTGAATGAATCAGGTACCCTTTTTATGTTTCTTGAATTTTATTTCTACTAATTATTACTTGAGGATACATATACCACCCTTGATTAAAGCATTCTATCTGAAGATAGCCAAAAAATACCCAGATGAAATGAGATACCATTTATGTTTCTCCTCTACACAATAATTGTAAATATTAATATTAAAAATTAATGTCTCATATATATGAGCATATAGATGGTTACAGCGCCTTCTAACTAACCTTTCCGTAGTAGATTTCTAATTATTGCGGAGAGGCGAAAAAAAAAACTTTGACAAATTCTCAGGGATGACTTCATTTCATCTCGAATAATTTTGTTGAAGCTGAAATACAGTATCAGGTAAAATACGTTAAGGATACCACAGTATTTGTATTTGTAGAAGAAAAATTAACACGACACATTATATAAAAAATTGATTCAGAGAATTGTAAATATACCTGATCATTCCACAATGAAGGCAGCATTACAATTTTTAAGGTACCTACTTACTTTACTACTTGTTTTCTTAGTATGTACAGCACTGCCAAACATTTTTGGACGAGACAAATGTATGGGCTTCATAGAGCTGAACGCATGTTCAAGCGAGCAAGTAATAGTTTTAAAAAAGCAATGTGAAATTATCAAAACTGATTTAAAATCAAACCTTCTTCCTAACAAACATATAATGAACCAGAAAAGAACGGTGTACTTTCAGGGAACTAAGACACATCAGTTGCGTCTGCTATCGACGACTTTATAATTAGAAAAACTGAAGTAGAGTGTATTACGACCAGCTACAATTTTTGCTACTTATGAACCCCACCAAATTAGGGCATGTTCTTACTATATAGTAACTAAAAAGTAGTTAATCATTGTATTGTTTAGATCGCACTAAGCTGCATGCCCATGGAACCGAAGCGAAGAGAATCACGGTCAACTTTGTCAACTCCACACGTTAAACATGACAAGTCGTTTCGCTCTGTGTCGCTACTGTGAGTGGGCTCATATTTGATTGTGTGTAAAGGAATCCAGCGTAAGAATATCGCTTCTCTTCTCTTCGCTTCCCTTTCCCTTAATGGGCATGCACCTTTAGTCACATACAACAAATGACTATCTGTCAGGAGATGACAAACCGTGCAAATAGTAACATGATTGGCATGGGTAGAGCGTACCCTTACAAATTGGAAGAAGCATAAATATCAAATCAATTTCACGGTATTTATAAAACGAGTAATGTTATTCGCACAATAGCATGACTCGATCTTTCGAAAGTTCGATAGGACTCTCCCACAGAGAGAAACGAAAACACGTACGTGATGAGAAAAAATACATAAGGGAACTAAGAAATAATGCACGAGTCTCAGGGATTATCCGGGAGATCTAGTATCTCCGATACAAAACTTGTGATGTCAGTGTTAATCTCCTTATGCTTGACTAGGAACGGATGTTGTAGGAGTTGACTGTAATTCCATCTGAAAATGTAACAAAATGTCAAGTTGCTAAAATATGCAATATCGCACGTTACCGGTTTGGCAATGTTGCGTTGTCTGAAGACTGGACACGTTGCCGTTATACCCGTGGCTAGTCTGATATGTTAAGTTGGCATTTCTTATCGGGTACCACTTCTATGTTACAGTTGTATGAAATGCGTTACTAAGAGGCATGTTTGTAAACTCAATTGTTCGGTCGCGTCTTCTCTACTTTTTTCGATTATTACTAAAAAAATATAGTAATTACACCGGTATGGTCTGCAGTTTTATTTCTCTTATCCCCCAAGGCTTCTAATAATTGCCAACACAAGTCCAAAAATGTCACGCGGGGCACCAAAATCTAAGGAGATAATCTTTCAGGAAAGCTATAGACCAATTGTAGACCATGCTCGAGCATAAATCCCTGTGGGAAAAAGGAATCCTCGCAAAATGAACAAGGTAATGGCAAAATGCCGGTACGGCATTCCGGGATCACAGGACTTGCGCTACTTTTAATTATCAGGATACACAGAATAGCCGTGTTTCTTCGACAATTCATTATGAAACAATCTCTAAGATGACCAATCTGTGCTCAATTGACAAAATTTCCCAATGTCAATCAGATCTTCCAAAAGTGAAGACTAAAGTGGTTTTTTTCTTCAAAAGAAGCAATACAGATGCACATGCAAGTGTGGATGGAAGATTAAGAAACGCACTTCGTAAATTGGTTATTTTCCATTCAGTCTTGTGACAGGAAAACATGACAGCAGTGCAGGCAGTAATGAACGCTCGTATCGGCTAAAAATATCCCACGAGTTTGTCGAAAACTCAACATCAGAATAATTTATGTAATTTGATTGAATAAACATTTCCAGAATAATGGATTTTTCGGTTTCACCATGTTTTGTGCGCGAGTCTAAATATCGAACAAAGGCAACTACGCCACCCTCCTACAAGGAAACTACACTAAATCATATGGCATAACATCAATATATGATTGTTTAAATAATACCTGTCTGTATATTTCTTCTGTAAGCATTTGGATATGAAGTCATCAAACTCTGCTGAAAACTGACCAGCTGGCAACGTCGGAGGATCATCCGCCACTACTTGTTTGAGTTGCTCAAAGGGAGTACCCCAAATGGGGTATGGAAATTTGCCAGTAGACAGCTCTATCAAGGATATACCCAAAGACCAAATATCGGATCTGATATCGTACTGGGAAGGATTTCCTTGTGGATCAATTCTTTCGGGCTAAAAAACAGTGAAATAATAAATATTGCGATATCCATTACACTCATTACAGATTGAACGATTTCTGCTGCAACGACACATTTATCATTGTCGCTCCGGTGGTAATTACTTACCGCCATATAAGGTTTGCAGCCAGCATCTATAGTTTTTGCGACAGAATCCACAAGATATCCACTGATGCCAAAATCACACATTTTTACCTCGCCTTGTCTATTAATCAGGATATTTGAAGGCTTTACATCTCTATGGATCACCTTAAGGCGAGAGTATAGGTAGTGCAAGGCACTAACTACTGCTAAAGCTATTTTACCTATAGAAAAAAGCATCTTGTAGTCCTAAAGTAAAATATATCTGAATAATGATGATATTACATTAATGGTTTATTTTAAAAGCAACCCCCTATACTTTTGCTCAACATTCAGATCCAAATGTGACATTGAGGAAGACTGAATCTGTCCTCCAAAGTACAATAGGGATTCTTGAAAAATGTCGTGACGTCTTTGAACAAGGTGATCTGAAGGTCAAGTCGTTTTCTAAGTGCTGTTCCATACGTTTAGGCTGAAGACAGACACGTCGGTTATAATCGATATCCGAGTTATATGTCAATATATATGTCAACTAACTATAATAGGTTAAAAGGGACACAATCAATGAACTGTCTACACTGATGGAACAGGCGTAAGGCGAATTCATTGCGGCTAGAATGAGAAACGAGAAGGATAGCGCTAGTCAGGGCAAAACATCGTGGTCCATTGTGGTATTTCCATATATGCTCTAAGGATTTTTGGTGAATGTTTGTTTTTAGTGACGTTAAAGATGATAGTTTGCGACAATTATTATAAACATTTGTATGCCGGACAGCCTTCAAGAGCTGTTGTTTTATGTGATATTTGTTTAAAAATGGTTGAATCTTGCAGTGCGGTGAATTGTTGCAATAGACGCAGAAAAGATGTGAAAATGAAGTTTCACAGGTTGGTTTTAATCATCTCATTCATTTTTGTGTGAGAATTACCTGTTAATCGGTAATTCGAGAAAATATCTGGATTTTTAGGATACCTAGAGATCCTAACATGAGGAAGTTGTGGTTACATGCTATAAGAAGAGAAAACTTTGCTCCAAGTACAACAACGGTAATTTGTGAAAAGCATTTCACTCCAGAGGATTATGAAGTTAGTGTTCATGGAAATAAGATACTAAAAAAGGTGGCAGTTCCATCTGTGTTTGATTTTCCAGCCCATCTCAAGAAAGAACCTAGCCATCGAAGGGTGTTGAAAAGAAAACATGAAGAATCCAACTCAAAAGCAACAGGTATGTTCTTTAAAATATTCCCAGTCTAAGCTTAAGGTTTTAACTTTTCTACTTTTAAAAAATATATTTACAATGATGAAGTGGGTCTTAGTAACATAATTATTTTTAGAACAAACTTTGGCTATTGGTGAAGTAGTAGAAGAATCTGAAAATGGCGATCATGCTGATGATGGAAATATATTGGCAGCTGGTCGGTCAAACATAACACAAAAACTAGGATTTTTAGAATCAAGTGAACCTTCAAACATATGCAAGTTAAGGTAATTGTCATGGAACTTTGTGTTTCTCATTTGTTACAACCTCTTTTTGTTTGTAGGGTCAGAAGGTCACCAGTATACTTTGGGGATTTCAAAATTTCTGATTTAAATAATGTGCAGCGTCAGAAGAGATTTTGGAAAACTGCTCATGAAACTGTTCATAAGTACAAAAAAATTAACAAGTACAATCAGTGTAAAATTCGTAGACACAGAAATAAAATAAAAAGTCTGAATAGTCTGGTAGATGAACTACTTAAGGAGAAGAGAATATCTGCAGCTCAGTCAATAGTATTACCTGAATTATTAATTACTTATGTTTATGTTAAATACTCATTTTTATATCTTCAAATGTGTAAAGGAGAATTTATTGTCAAGTTTCATACATATGTATATATAAATAAATAAACTTGGTTTTTTAATTATAATTACGTTTTCAAGATTTTATCTGGTTCCAGTTGCCTGAATAACTTTTAAATCTTCTCTAAGAATCCTCGGTTTCCTATGCAATTCATTCAAGTCCGCGCGCTTTTTGCCCTGACTAGCTCCATCTCTCTCTCGGACCTCTTTGTCGTATGTTGGCCGCATTATCGTTTCATTATACAAATGGGACGGGGCGATTACATCAGTGTTGACAGTTCATTGGACACAAGAGAGAAGTAGAGAATAATTTTTTGGGAACGTATTTATAGTGCTTTGAAAACAATCACAAAATAATACAATTTTTAAGCAATTTTAATATGAACATGTGACTAAAAGCTTACTTATATTCACAAAAGCGTGAAATTATTTTTAGGGTAAAAAGTATTTACAAAAATAACGAAAAAGAGTTAATATAAAATAGACCCTAAAATATCCTATTGCCAAGATGCAGGGTGTTGTAAATTTCTACGCTACTGATGAGACTGAATAAGGACAAAACATGAACATTGTTTAAATAACACTATGGTGAGTTAGGATTATTCTCCAAATATGCAACATACAATTTTTAATGTCACATCTCACTAACTTCAGTATTTCGGGATCAGTTTTTTATACCGATTTTACGTCAAATATTCAATACAACTTTTTGCGAAAAGGAGTAGTCTAACGAAAATTTCTGAAGAGAGGCAATGTGTGTGAAATTCAATTCAAAAATGCAAGAGATGTTCCAAAAATGTCTGCCATATAAAATAATTTTCTTTTTTCTTCTGTAGACGTCAAAATTTCACAATTTCTAAGCCAATGGTATAGTTTCAGGAACATTTTTTTATGTATTGGCTATATGAACAAAATGTTAAGTCAATCTTGATCCACTTCCAAGATATTTTTTTTCTATTTCAAAATTGTAGTATTAAGTATCTCAGTAAGGAGGCATTTCAGGACTCATGTTTATATGACCTTGTTTATTAAACTACCTAAAAAATATTAATAGATTAATTCATTATATATAATTAAATTGTGCTAAAGTTATGGCTGGCGGCGATAAAATTTTGAATGCTAAATTACTGAGAATGAAAAATCAATTGTGCTATCAAAACGAATCTAGAGACACCCGGCATTTCAAAATGCATCACATTGTTTAAGTTGAAGCCAAAAATGTCAACAATGAAGTGAGTTGGTACACTGCCCAGCAAATGAATTGCAGATGCTGTGTACAGGGCAGCTCTCGTGTTTACACTGCACAGAAAATGATTTTCAGGTTCTGGGCATGTGGGATCTCTCTCTCTCTCTGTTGCTGTCATGTGGCTGTCATCATAACTATAAACAACAATTTCAATAGTAATAAACTGGGAAGTAATAAACCTACAAAGCATGACAAAATGTTTGTGAAATGCATATAAAGATTGCATGTAGGTTATGTTGAATTATTTTTGACATTTTTTAATGTGTAGTAGCTGGTGTACGCCACTAGCTTTCCGAGAGCCACACCATCATTGCCGACAGTATTGGTTTCATAGGAGTATGTGAATCCCTTACGCAGTTTAACCTCGTATCTCTAGTCTTCATGGTTTTTGCACTATTATGGCATAGACATATATATATATGTATATTGTGGCAACGGTTGATTGAAACAAACGTGACTGCCAGAAGCCTATAATATTTTTTCTACTTAGATTATACTAATTTTTTCATCTCTCCAGCACCTATCACATTACTGGTTTACTGGTTAGGATTACGAAAATTAAGACCACACTTATATAAATGTTATAAGGAATGTTATCATACCTAGTGCTACTTCTGGAATACTCTTCCCATGTTTATAAACTTTGGCATAGAATTTATCTAAGCTGGTATCCATTACTTCCATACAAATCCAGACATCACCCTCCCTGAACAATGCCCCATAAAACTGCACTGTGTACAGACAGTCACTGCTTCTCATTGAGATGTCTAGGTCCATGAGTAACCTCTTCTGTTCTTGAGTGTTGACTGTTGCTGTTATTCTCTTTACTGCCATTATTGTGCCACTGGGTATGTGTCTCATTTTCTCAACAATACCATAGGCACCCCTGCCCAAATCACAGATTTTTTCAAGGTCGTCTGCCTCTACGTCGAAGGTCTTATCACCAATTGTTATTGTTGTCCTGGTGTCCAGATTTGCTGGGGGTATGCTGGAAAATTTTTGTAATAGATACAAACTACAATCCACAAGGAGGTATACTGAGAGAAGGCACTGTACATAATATCTGGAGTTTACTGGTCACCCTCATAGATCTTGGCACTTTAATTTTTCTGCCACTGCATTACTGGTTGTTTGTTTTACAATAAAAACAGAGCAACCTATGAACGAAAAAGCAAACCAAGTTGCCAGAAAATATTTAGAAACTGCTATATGTATAATGATAATGAGCTGAATGAAGTAACAAAGTTATATTATTGTTGCACACTACTAGATTTAACTCAGCATGGGTTTTAACAATCTCATTTGCTACAATATAAAAGCTGTCAAAATCAAAGTATCTGACACAGTTAAATAAATATAATAAAATATGCAATTTTTCTTCATTGACACTGAAAACACAAATACCCTATATTCACCCATTTACTAGGAAGCTGAAGGAAAGTATTATCCAATATGCTTCTACTGCTGCGGCTAGTAAACACACCCAATGTGCTGCAAGTATTTAGTTTTGCTGAGTTGTGGCCATTATTGTGTCAACTATATAGAGGGTCAAGTTATGATTAAAATGAAGATATATGGGGGCTTGATATAAATATCTGGATGCTAGTTTGAGGAATTTGTCAGTTGTGTGAAGTTTACCAAAAAACAATAAATAAGAAGTATGAGAATTTTCAACTTACACAGGGACTATACTTTCTTCAGGTACATGAAGTTTCAAATTAGGCTTCTTTCGGCTTGCCATCTTCAGTAAGTCTACATATGAAAAGTGATTAATGAACAGAAAGAATGTACTTCCTCATGTTATAGGCAACAATTACAATAAAAAATTACAGACCATCTGATCCACAACTTCACCAAAAGGCACATAAATATTATTTTACCCATGGTAAAAATTTGAATTTGTTTTTTCTCAAAATTTTCACTCAGGTGATCATGATGACACTTGGATAAAACGTAAAACAAAACAGGAGCAAAATTATACTTACTTTTGATTTCCTTTTGCCGACTGAACTTAACCAATGACCATATATGAAAATCAGGAAAATGAAAATAAGAACGAGTTGGTGTTAATTTTTTTTTCTTTTGTGGAGCAAGGAACGAGTTCTCCTAGGGTTTAATTTCGCCATATGGTTGGCAAATATGATGATAGATTTCGACTTGATTAAACTTACATGTAGATTTTACACTTTTACAGACATTCGGACTACATTCGTTTCACGCCAGAAAACGTATTCGATAAATATTTCTTCAACATAAACACTACAAAATTTTCAAAAAATTGCCTCATCTGGGTTCTAGGGTATTTCATCACATGGGAAATTTGGAATAACAGGTGGCATTAGTTTTGACTTGACATAAAGATCCAACAGCCATCTAGCTTATGTATCTATAACTAAGCAGATGACTGCAGCATCTATTGTAGAATAACCTAACTAGAGGACAGAATACCAACTTATCATTTGAGTCAATTTTCAGATTAAATTTATTCAATTTTAACGGATTTTTAACAGACATAATTTGGCATTTGGCGCATCTGTCTAATATCTTCCTATTTGCTGTTTTTACAATTTACTGACACCACCGTGTAGTGCCTTTTACACGTTTATAAACCTTGAATTCTCACAAAACTGTTGTAAGCAGTTGCAATGGCCCAGTTCAAATTTTGGAACGACGTGAACAGTTTACTAGTCATGGATGGCCCAGTGAGCGGCCCCGTTCCACGTTGGGAAAGGAAAAAACAAAATAACTCGAATGGAAGTCTCGATAGCTCGCGGAACAATTCCTTAAAGCCTTCGCTATCCTCTTCTGCGTTAAATTCTACGAAGACCCCAGTAAAAACCAGTGAAAACGAGTATCAAAAGTGCAAGACCCCAGCAAAAACACCTTCCAGAAAAACTCCGAAAAAGAAGACTCCAACACCAAACAAAGGATCAAAGACTCCAGGAGCAGATAGGTTCATACCATGTCGAAGCGCTAACAATTTTGATTTAGCACATTTGAAATTATCTCTGGTAATTATTATTTCAGTCAAGTATTCATTTTTTGTACTTCACCTAAAAGCTATATAAAATGTTTAAGGAATCTCACAATGAGTTGCCAATATGTCACAAAGAGTCAGACATTTTTAAGATGAGGTTCATAAATATTGGTCAAAAAATATCTCCATTGATCATTGCTGTATCAAAGCACATCAGTCAGTTCTTTATTCTGTTGATGAAGATTAAGGGGATGTTGAAAACATATGAGTCATAGAATAAGATGTCAATCTCTTAGATGCATATACAACACAAAAAAGTAATGCCACAAGTTCTAACCATACAGGTACCTGAAGGATGCTCCAGGAAAAAATGTTCTGATTAATAATTGAATAACTTTATAATTTCAATGAAATTGTAACAGCGTAGTAACCAGATGAGTCTTCATATTACAGTATCCAAGTAGGGTCTGATTGAGGCACAATTGGCTGAAACTGGTGTTTTGCTATGGACTTCAGTTGAAGGATGGGTTAATAATGAATAATAAACATTTGTGTATCTACTAATATACAATGTTAAATCAAAATCTGTCCAAATTAGATAAAATAATGATTTAAGGAATATAAATGCTTAAATTTATTAAAGCTTTTACATTTAGATTACAATAATATAAAATTCTTGGTAATTATACATTGGGATATAGAAATTGATGAGAAATAGTGTCGTTGAGTTGAAAATGTCTATGTTTTTCATTTTATTGATAACGAATCTGATATCAGCATTACCATATTCAAAATGGATAATGGAACTTGTCAAAGTTGTTAGAACTGCCAACTGTCATAGTTTTTTTCTTTAAAAGCTGTTTATCAGTACTTCATAATATCCAAATTTTTTATCCATGAAGCAGGCCGGCAGTCATAATTGAGTATTCAGCAATAAAATATTTTGTCATTAAGCTTAAAATAATTGTCAGATTTTGAAATACATTCAAAATGGAATGTTAGGTATTTTATTACATATTCAGATAGAACCTTACAAAAGAAGAAGATATAGCATACTATAGCATTTTGATGATTGGTTGTTGAGGTATAGGATACGCAACTCTCATTGTACAAAAATATTAAAGTTTGACTGCCTAACAGTCCACCACTTTGAAGGATAGTGATTCTATATTCCATGCTTACAATGTACTCATAAGAAACATCAAAATGAGGTATCACATGATTTTTCATCCTGTTTATAACAATGTTGCAAGATTCGAGAAATAAATAGAAGGGGGCCCTTGTTGAAAAGTGCTGTATATGTGTATTGTACTAAGTAAATAGGATGTTTATATTCCATTTCCACATGAGAGCTATCCAGTCACCCAACCCTTTTTTCACTAACTTTTATAATTACAGAACAAAAATATTGAAAAGAGCAAGATTAGATACAAAAATAATGTATAAAAATAAAAGAACATTAAAACAATAATTCAGACATTAAGAGATGTTTGCATCTGTAGCAGCTGTTTTCTAATTGATTTAAATGAGTAAACTTTTTTGTAAAAATTGATTGTATGCAAAAGATCTTTGATACAATGAAGTATGATAGACAGGAATATTGAACTGGTCATCATGACATAACCTTCTTCTCTTTAGATGTCTACAAGGAACTAACTTGTGAGGTGATGATTATTTTGTGTATATGTTACCAGTAATCTGTACAATTCAGGTATTCTATACAAAAACCTAGGCAATATATAGAATAGCTGGGTTGCCCAGGCAATGTATAAAATATTATGAATATTATTATCCATTACATGCTTTACCTAGGTAATGAAGACAATTCCTAGAGATTGTATAGAGTACCTGCTGTTCCACCGGCAATGTGTAAAATAGATAGATCTTGGACTAAATTTATCAATGTTAACAGGCATACCTATAAAATGACGGACAAATGACACAAGTTATATTACATATTTAAAATCAACTTTCGTAAAATTAACAATTAGAGTGCTTCTTAAAAATAAGCTTTTTTTATTGTTAGTGAATCACTGTTTAATGTATGGCGAGAAACGAGAAATTTTTAACGAAATTGCATTGTTATGGATTTCAAGGTTCAGTATTCAACTCATTACAAAATTATTTAATCAATAGAAGTCAAAGAACTAAAATTGGCAATACATTATCAAACATTAAAACATTTTGGTAGGTGTGTCACAGTGTAGCAAATTAGGGCCATAACTTTTTATTTTATATATTTACGATATTCCATCCATACCATGTACAGCATGTTCAAGCTCTTCTGCCCTGGGATTATGAGCCCCGAGTTGCTTTTTGTCGCACAATCTTAGAAAGACACAGGAAAGATCCACAGTTCTTTGAAAAAATGATGAGACCACATTTAAGAAAGATGGGTACATGAACTTGCATAACTTACACGAGTGGCACGTAGCAAACCCTCATTTGATGAGAGAAGATAAATCTCAATATCGCTTCAAGATAAACCATTGGACAGGAATTTTAAATGGTAAAATAATCGGTCAGTTTGAGTTCCCAGAGACTTTGACTGCTGAGGTTTATTTAGGTTTTTTGCAGAATCATTTAGAAAATTTATTGGAGGACTTGTCACTGAGTATTTACAGGGACATGTGGTTTCGGCATGATGGCTGCCCAGCCCACTATGCATTCTCAGTGAGAGAGTATCTCGATCAAAACTTTCCAGGCAGATGGATAAGGCGGTCTGGTACAATACCGTGGCCAGCCCGATCACCTGATTTGAATTCTTTAGATTTTTTTACTGGGGAACTGTAAAAGAAAAAGTGTATTTCAAGCCGATTCAAAATGTAGCTGAGCTACGGCAAAGACTATTGGAAGCAGCTGAGTTTGTTAATAAACGTGGATTCGCTCGTTTAATAACCCGATCTTTTTTAAGAAGATGTCGAGCGTGTATTGCGGCTGAAGGAAAACAGTTTGAGCATTTGCTGTAAAGGTAAATCATCATCAGCAGCATTTTGACGCCCACTGTTGTGCAAATAGTTATCCTTGAGCGTCCTTGTGCGTTTTCATAATCGCTGTTTAATTAGGAAATTTTGAAAAATTTTCATCAGTTTTTTTTCAAATAAAAATTGTGCATAAGTTAACGAGTAATCTTCTAAGTGTCATACCATTTTGGAATCGTTATTAAATGTGCCAACTTTTAAGGTTACTTGCCAAACTCTCGTAGTACATTTTTTCCAGTACAGCCAGTTAAAGTTGAGCAAAGTTTTACTTTGGAATACTTGGTTGGGAAATAAGTGGCAATTTTTCCTGAACGAGAAAAGTTGGCAGTAAGATTGAGACACCAGTTTGAAGATGCATTATTCATCATTGCATTGTAAAAATAAAATCCAAAAAAAGTTAATATTTGTAGTAACAGGAGTTGACAGACTGCCGTAGGGTGTGAAATTTCTATACCTTTTTCAAAGACCTATAATTTTCAAAACACATACATAAAATTTTTTTAAATATTTTTCTGATAGCTGTTATGACTTTGCCTATCACCCGGTTTCGGCTTGACGTCGACTTCTGGGACACCCTGTATATATATACATATATCAAATAAATACATTGAAACCGCAATAGAGCTGTTAAATAATGATATGAAAAACGTAATAAATTTGTTAAATGCAAATAAACTTAAACTATGTGAAACTAAAAATTATTGTGGTTGCAAGTAACATAATGGAAAGTAGCCACATAAATACATTCACCAATTCAAAACCTAATTAATAAAAATGATTTCTTAGCTTACAAGGACGCATTTCGTTTATTGCCTGCCTGCCGGTACGTACAACCCGTTCCTTGCTCTCGTCTGTTACATACATTACCGGCTGCGCATTTGGTATTGTATAGAATACCTAGGCAAAGTATAAAACAAATAATATTTCATACATTACCTACACGGTTTAGGTATTCTATACATTACCTAGGTATTGTTTAGAATACCCGATTATACAGATTACCGGTAACATATAAACTAACATCAAAAATTCAAAAAGATTCTTGAACTTCAGCCACCCCAACTCACAAACCTTAGACATTACTTGGCTGCTTCTACAAATACCAAAACAGAACGATAGCTACAGTTTTGAATTTTTTGCAATCTGGTTTTTGTTATTATATATATATATATATATACGAGCCCCTTCAGTTCGCCCAACTATTGAAATCTTAGTTTTTTTCTTATCAAACACAAATAATAAAAATGTAGCAGGGTGTTATAGGTTTAAAATATTAACAATGAATATTTTGATAATATATAGTAGAAAACACCAAGTTTATCACTCCCTAATCAAATTTGCAGCATAAAAATAACACATGTTGCAATTACAGCATATCAACCTATTTTGATTTTAATGCAAAATAAGTCTATAACGCAAAATCAAACTCAGAAATTGCAACTTTGTTAGACTTATCGCGGTACAGTGTGAGAAATATTGTTAGAAGATATAACGTAATATCACAAATGCCGACCGAAGAGCATTAGGTAAGTTTTCTTATAAAAAAAGTGAAGTAAAAACCCTAAAGTTGCACAACTTGTTTATAGGCCAAAGAAAAGCCACTATTAACTCCACTGCAAAAGAAAAATCGGCTTAGATGGGCTAAAGAACATAGACAATGGACACCTCAACAATGGTGTGCAATACAATGGAGCGATGAGGCCCGTTTCGAAGTTTGTGTTGGTGACAGTCGCAGTAGAGTTATTCGCAAAAAAATGAAGTATTCCATGTTGACTGTCTGAAGAGAAAAGTGAATTTTCCAGCATCCATTATGGTCTGGGGCAGTATGTCATCAAAAGGAGTAGGAAAACTTCATTTTATTGATGGAAGTGTGGATACAAACAAATATTTGGCAATTTTAGAAGAATTGCTTTTGCCAGTGATGGAAGAATGTTTGACTCCGGCCAAGATTTTGTGTTTCAGCAAGATGGTGCAGCGTGCCTTACCTCAAAAAAGGCTATAAAATGGATGGAAAAAAATAATGTACCACTTTTGAAATGGGTTTCTAGCAGTCCAGATCTGTCACCTATTGAAACTTTGTGGTACGAGATGAAAAAGGTTCTACGACAACATCCTGCTCGTACAATCACCGACCTGAGACAAAAGCTTCAAGAAATATGGGATTGTTTTTCACCAAATTTTTGCCAAAACTTGGTTAACACTATGCCCCAAAGAATTTCAGCCGTAATAAAAAATAAAGGTCATGTTACCCAATGGTAATCTTTCAACTGAAGCTTTGTTAACTTCGCGCATTTATTCGCACATTGTTTATTTGTTCAGATGTTCTATTAGTTATAGGTCTAAGTGATTTCAAATATGTATTTTTTACGACTAGAGTGTATCTAAAATGTTTTTGAGATAATAAATTGTTCTGGAAGTAAATAGTTTCGTCATGTTTAGTTTATAAAGGCATATTTTGGTACAAATCTTGAAGTAGGCCAACTGAAGTGGGAAGGGGCTCGTATATATATAATGAGATCTTTCTGATGACTAATCATGCATTTATATGCATATAAATAATCTAAAATAGTTTATCAATTATTTAGGAAGACAATGCTGCATCAGACAGTCCAACACACAAAGAACTCCAAAGGGTAATGGCAGAGAATATACATGGTGCTAATGTAAACCAAAGGATTCTGTCATACCAAAATAAGGCTCCTTCAGCACCTGAAGGGTTTATTAACCCTATGAGAGTTATTTACACTCAAACCAAGACACCTGCATCTGTAAAGAGCAGCAGTAGATATATTCCCCAAGCACCAGACAGGATACTAGATGCGCCTGATATTGTAGATGATTATTACTTGAATTTGATGGACTGGGGATCAAATAATATACTAGCAGCAGCTTTGGGATCTCATGTTTACTTATGGAATGCAGGTATTATATTTTTAACTTCATATCCTTTACAAGAAATATTACTGACTGAAGTTGTTAGTTATCTTTGTTCATTAGTAGATTGTATAATATAAAAGTCTCTATAACAGTGTCAAACTTCATGTAGTTATCTTTTTTGCAGGTACTGGAAACATTGACCAGTTACTTGAGCTGGAAGGAAATGACTATGTCTGTTCACTTTCATGGATCCAAGAGGGCCACATTTTGGCTGTAGGAACAACAAACGGTATGTATGGAGATAGTCCACCAAAATCGCCAGAGACAGCAGTTCATTGGTTTGATGTTGGCTGCTTTCACTATCACTAAGCAGCAGTATCTTAACACTGTCTAGAGCAGGCCTCTCCAACTCGGGTGCCACCAGTGCAGCGCCGAGCACCGCTCGCAGCACAGTGCTGCGGGGTGACTCCGTGAGGGTGGGGGAGGGATTAGGCAGCGGCATACGCATCGCGAGGAAGGTGTTGTGCTAACGGTAGCACCATGCGAATAGAAATGACTCGGGAGCTGGTAGCATTGAGTATACCTTCATCGCGGATTCGACTAAATTTAGTAATAATATGTAGTTTTTAAGTAAATGAGCAAGAAGAGCTCAGTAAGACGCGCAACCTGCCAGAAGTACCTGTCATACCGACTTAAAGATACAGCGTGACAAGAGAATTTCACCGAATCCAATGAAGCCTGCAAGGTTTGATGGAAATTTTAGGCTCATTTGGAAAAACATGGTATGACAAACTGATTTCCGCCAGAAGTTTCTGTCGTACCGACTGAAGGCTAGAGCAGGCAATGCAAATAGATCAAAATAATACATCCTGTTTGTATGCTTCATGCTTGCATTTAAAAGCTCATTTGAGTCTGTAAGTTTGACACCAGGCTTCTAGATGTTTGAAAGTATGTATGTATGTAAAATGAATATGAAACGTCATGACCGTTGATATACGTATAGGTTATGGTAAAATCCTACCGTCACGTAACTTCAAGTCGATATGACAGGTACTTTCATCGGCATACCAAGCCCTTTTTGTTCATTTAGTTTGAAACTACATATTATTACTAAGTTTAGTAAAATCCGCGATAAGGTTTAATTTCGCCGGCTCCCAGCCCCAACGGAAAATGAGTGGTGTGACATTCGTATTGACATTTGAATTGGTCTGATCGAGTCAACGCGCGGGTGATAAAATAATGTTCATAATTTCGACGTAAACACAGTAATCAAATCCAAGCGAATTACCAAAATTTCCGTATTATGTACCGCGGTTATAATATGGTTCAAGATGACACACGGGATGATGACGTCAGTTACTCGAATCGCTTGAACGTGTTCGTTTCAACCGCGGTTTGTTTCAAGTTGTTTATTTTAGAAAAGCGCCTATATAATTTCTGATTATTTTTATTATCACTTAATAATCGGTGTTTTTCGGTTTACAACGGGGTATGGAAAGTTGAAAAAAAAGAAACCTTCCATAATATTAATGGGAGGAATGTTTTTTTTTTCAGAAAAAAAAATTTACTGATGGAACCATGGCTTTGTAGCTTCAATTCTCTAAACTTTTCCGCATGTCAAAGAAAATATTTATTGATTTAGCAGAAATGATGAAAAAAAGATATTTACAAAACCGTATACAGGTGGACATCATCCAGTGAGTTTATATGGCCATATTTTAATATTCTTGTGGTCTGTACGCCACTGAGAGTGATAAACAATATAAAACTGGGCTCCGAAATTAAATTCGTATTACGGAGAGTTTCGAGTCACTATATTTATTGAAAAGTAGTGTCAAGCGTGGATTAGTTAAACTGAGACACTTTGAAATAAACAAAAAGCGAAGGTCTGCGGGGTAAGTGTCAATTGCACTTGAAATAAGAAATCTCGAATCGACAACAGCTGATCGGTACCATCTTTCCTCCGAGGGGTCGACCCGGGAAATCGGTACCTGCGGCGCCTTGCGTGGATCAGCGTAGACAGCCATATATACACAATAGAAGACTAAAAGCATAGGCGGAGATAATAGAGTGTAGATGTCGGCATTCCGTATCAGCTCTAGACAGAGTGAAGATAGCGCAACTGAAGAGTCAACAGACGAGGGAAGCAAAAGAAAGAGGATTGAAGAGCAAGAGACAGAAGCCTTTAAAAAAGTAAAAAGTTAATAAGAACCCCGACAAAAGATAGAAATAAAAGAGTTACTAACAAGGAGATGAAAGAAATTAAGGACATGATGAAAAGTCTTATGGAGGAGTTTAGAGGGTTTCGGGAGGAAAATCGTGAGGAAATGGGGTTACTTAAAGAACAAAATACAATTCTTAAACAAAGAAACGAAGACATGATGCAGGAAATCAGTATACTTAAACAGAGGGTTGAGCAGTTGGAACAAGTAGAACAAAGGATAGAGCTCCTAGAGAAAGATAGAAGAAAAAATAATATAGTAATCTCGGGTTTAAACCTAGGGACAGGAGGTAACGAGTATTTAAAGCAATCAGTAGAAAACTTTCTGAAAACCAGACTGTCTCCAGAGGCAGATATTCAGTCCGCCCAAAAAATAAAAGAGAACCTCTATGTGGCGGAGTTGAAGAGTTTTGATGCTAAAATGAAGATCATGAAAGCCAAAGGTAAGGTGCAATATTTGAAAACGCAAAAAATCTACATAAACAGTGATTTGACAAAAAATGAGATGATGATTCAAAAGCATATAAGAGACAGAGCTAAAACGGGGAGAGCAAAAGGAAATACAGTCAAGATAGGTTATATGAACTTGCTGATTAGTGGAGAAAAATGGAGATGGGATAAAAAAGACCAGGTGTTGAAACCAGACACATTGATTCAAAAAAACTAGTTATGTTTAGAGAAAAGAATATCTTGGAGACGACAGAAAATGTGGCTATGACAATGGAACAGGTAAGGAACAGAAATAAAAATAACGAAAGAAATAAGACGTTAAGTACGTACGTATAAATTTAAAGAAGAGCAAATAAGAATTGCAACTTGGAATGTCAGAAGTATCTACGAAGCAGGTGCACTGAAAAACTTAGTCAACATAGTGAACGTATATAAAGTACACGTTCTAGCTCTTCAAGAAACGAAAATTAAAGAAACAGGAATATCCCAGTGCGAAAATTTCGTATTTTGTAATAGCGGTGGTGCAAATAGACTTTTTGGGACAGGATTTCTAATAAATGCAAAGCTAAAAGACACGATAGTAGAATTTAAACCTATATCGGAAAGATTGTGTTATCTACGCCTGAGAGGAAAGTACAGGAAAGTAACAATGATCAATGTACATGCCCCAAGTGAAGACAAGGATATGGATATCAAAACAGACTTTTATCAACAGTTAGATGACGTGATAAATAGTCGACCATAATACGATATCAAAATAATATTAGGAGACTGCAATGCAAAAGTTGGGCGTGAAGACACTTATCGAAACGTTACAGGAGGGAAAAGCAAACATGAACTCTCAAATGAAAATGGCAAACTCCTGATTAACTTTGCAACTGAACAAAATTTCAAGATAATGAGCACTTATTTTGACAAATTGACCACGTACTGATCGAAAACAAGCATGCCTGCAATATACACAATGTTAGAAGTTACCGTGGTGCAGATAGTGATACGGATCACTTTATGGTAGTAGCTGTTATAAAACAAGAAATCCCGAAGAAACAGTTAGAGAGACAGAAGACAATCAAAAGGTACGAAACAAAAGCGCTAGAAGATACGTCAGTTAGACAGCAACTTGAACAAGCAATAGCGACAGGACTGCAGAACACACCAGTTGTGCAGGATATTAATCAGGAATGGAATCATATCCAAGCAATAATCACTAATGTAGCAGAACAGATGATGAGAAAAACGAGTACTAGAAAAAACAAAGAGTGGTTCGATGATGACTGTATCTAGAACAACAGAGTCAAGGAAAAGATATGAGCAAGCCAAACGAAAAGTGAAAGAGATGTGTAGAAAGAAAAAGCGTGAATACTGGGAAATTGACTTGAAAATGATAGAAAATCACATGATCAACAAAAACATTGAGAACTTTTATCAGGATGTAAGAAGAAGCAAATTGGGTAGTCAAAGGTCTTCTTGCTTCTATAAAGACAAAGATGGGTCGTTAATTGGTGACATTCCAGGAAAATTAGAAAGGTGGGCCAAACATTGTGAGGAACTGTTAAAGCTATCAGACGAAGAGGAAAGGAACACGGAAGCAGCACCACTAATCGAAGATGACAATCAGGGACAAATACACGAACCAACGGATCTGGAAATAGAGGAAACAATAGGAAGATTAAAATACAATAAGAGTCCAGGAGAAAATGGAATCACAGCAGAAATAATAAAAGCGGGTGGACAAGATTTACACAAGCGACTTGGAAGTCTGATCAGATATAGAGGCATTGCCCTGTTAGACACTGCATATAAGATACTAGCATTTCAACTAAGGGACAGATTGAGCATATATGAAAATGAGGTTATAGGTGAATATCAAGGAGGTTTTAGAAGGGGCAGGTCCACAATAGACCAAATATTTACAATGAAACAGCTGTTCTATAATAGCTATGAACAAAATCTTGGTTTACACGCATTATTTATTGATTTCAAGCAAGCGTATGATTCCATTGACAGCGAAAAATTATATGAAGCAGTGAGACTGCTGGGACTACCAAGTAAACTGATAAGGTTAGTCAAAATGACAATGAACGGGACAATGAACAAAGTCACATTGGAAGGGAACACATCTAGAGCTTTTGGCGTAACGAGAGGCCTGAGACAAGGGGACCCGCTATCTACAACATTGTTTAACTTTACGCTGGAAGCTATTTTACGTAATTGTGGTATACAAACCGACGGAGTTGTTTACTATAGAAAACATCAGTTGATTGCTTACGCCGATGATATAGCAATAATAACCAGATCCAAAGCAGAACTTGAGAAGACGTTTAGAAGGTTAGAAGAAACTGCCAAACGTTTTGGGCTTCATATAAATGAAGACAAAACAAAATACCTTGAAATGAGAGGAAGCGATGAAGGAAAGTTAACAATAAAAAGTAGTTGCAGAGAATACTGTTTCGAGAAGGTGAATCAATTTGAATATCTAGGGGTCACAATAACAGATAAAGCAGAAGAAGATTTAGAAATTGAAAAAAGAATAGCAAAAGGGAGTAAAGCAATGGGGGCTTTAAGCAAGATGATAAACTCGAGGTGGATATCAAGGAAAACAAAGGAAAGGATATATAAATCAGTTATCCAACCATCAGTACTTTACGGCGATGAAGCTTGGGTGTTAAGCCAGAAAAACGTACAGAAATTGGAACGCTGGGAAAGAAAAATGTTACGTAAAATATATGGGGGCACAAAAAACAACGATGGTACATGGAGAAAGCGAACTAATAAAGAACTGATGGAGATGTATAACCAACCCAGTATAATACAAAAAGCCCGAGCTCAAAGAGTGCGCTGGTTAGGACACGTTTACAGAATGCCGTCTCATAGGAATGCCAAAAAAGTTTTGTTTGGAGGAGAAGGTACTAGAAGAAGAAGAGGAAGACCGAAGAAGCAGTGGCTGGAAAGTGTCAAAGAGGATATACAAAGACTAGGCATACCAGACTGGGAGGAAAAGACCAAAAACAGAAAAGCGTGGAAAGAAGTTGTCAAAAAGATAGAAGCCATGGGCCTTCAGGCCTGAAGCGCTGAATTATATATATATATATATATATATATATATATATATATATATATATATATATATATATATATTATATGGCTATACAGGATACTTTGTTAAGCATAGGAACTAGATTTAAAGTGTCCCCAACAACAGTAATGATTATAACTAATAAGGTGCTCTCTTATGCTAAAACTGAAGTCAGCCTATATCAAGTTTCCCAAAAATGAAGCTGAAGGACAATAAAAATATCCAATACCCGGCAAAATTCTAACTTGTCACATGTCAAATAATAACCAGAAATATAAAACTACTCCTGAGTTGGGTAAATACCACAATTTTGCGGTGATAACTGTGACATATAACAGCTTATTCATGACGTCACGGATCTTATGACCAAACTGATAACCACACTCGCTTGAACGGATCGGTAAATACCAATCGAAAATGGTAAATACCATTTTCATTTGGTTATCCGCTTGAATTTTATTATTTATTCTTAAGATGATCTTTGACAGCGTTTCGATTGAACAAGTTTTCTAAGATTTGGTACAGTGGCTTGAGTAGTGGAAATTCTGAGTATCGCCTCTAAGGACACTTCAGACAAAGACCTGTTTTTAGTTTTGTTCAAATTCATTAAAGAAAACATCTGCTCGCAGAAGTACGTTGTACCGAACATGGAGCAAGTTTCCAAGTCAGTGCAAGAATTTTGGGAAAATCTTGCTGCTTAACACCTTGATAAAACGAAAGTAAATTACTATTGTAGTGGTAGTATCTAACCTTAAGGATCGTAGCGCATTGAAGCTTAATCAGCTCCATTTGGAACTGCGGCGGTTCTATTTCGAAAAGCACTGAAGATGGCGTCGTGAAAATCTCATTTGCATAAACATCTCAACGTCGTCAATGATTTCAAAAAAAAAACTTTAGCACTTTTGCGCAGCTTAACCAGCGTGTAAGACAATAAAAGGGTATGTCACCGTAAGTTGCTTCCAGGTCTTTTAAAAATACTTCAAACTGCCGTGGTTGAGTCCTTGCTTTCTGCAGAAATTGACACATGTTATTACTACATTCATAATAGATTTGAAATTACGGAAGGTTTTTGCACATAGTTCCTGATGTAATATGCAGTGTACCGATGATATCGGAGGTAGCCCAGCGTCGCGTACTTTTATTTTCATTCGCCCAGTAAAACCTTGTGCTTCCGATAACATTGCTGGCGCTCCATCAGTAACAAGACTACGCAAACTTTTGAGTAGTATACCCATGTCATTCATTGTGTATTCTACAGCATCAAAAATATCTTCTCTGGCCATTGTATCTTTGAGCGGGATAACGTCTAGTAGTTCGTCGGTGATAGTAAAGACTATTTCGACACCTCTAATGAAAACAGCTAATTATGCTGTGTCAGAAATGTCTTTACTTTCATCGAGAGCTATAGAATACTGCACAAAATGGGCACATTTTCCCGCAGTTGTTCTTAAATCTTAAATCTGCACCAAGTTCAAGTGTCCGTCGAGAAATTATTTGCTCGGACATACTAATTGTCTCAAAGTTGCTTACAGGAGATGGGCACAATATTTCTGCACACTCCACTAAGCATTCTTTGACAAGTGCACCGTCAGTAAACGGTCTCCTACTTTTTGCGATTTTCAAAGCAACAATATAACTTGCATTACGACACCATTAATAATAATCAACTACGACCAAATTAATAATTACCTCTTCAGAACTTAGAAGGGCTGGCCTCAATACCGTGTGACAAATTAAACATTTTGCGGTCAGTATTTACAAAATGCAGGATTGAATGACATCGTTTATAAAAAGATGCACGTTAAGACGCTAAAAAACGTGTCCTTTTTGTCTTGTCCTATTAAGAAATGGCCCGCGCCCAAGAGACAGTAGGCTAATATGTTTGTTTCTGTCGCGACGGCTGTGCGGTCGAGGTAGAGGGGGAACGGCAAAGTGCTCGAGTTGGAGAGGCCTGGTCTAGAGTATGTTTTAGCTAAGCTGCTAAATGTCATCTAAATGAACGGACAATGAATACAACCTGCTAAAGCATACTCCAGGTAGCAGTAAGATTCAGCTGCCTAGTTCTAGTGAACACAGCTCACTGCACTGATCGCTTGAAGTTGCGCGAAGTTTCGATTTTCCATGTGAAAGGCACCTTTTTTCAATTGAATGTGCATACAAATACCACCTTTTCTGAATAAAAAAGAGGGGATGAAGAGGAAAATCAGTAAGTGTTCGTACTCTCATATTTCTTTGGGATAAATTGTTATTTTAAAGTAATAGCAATGTATTTCAAGTATACATACATGTTTGGAATTATTTCAGTGATTTGTTGTATTTTTCGAAAATGCTTAGTATTTTTTATTATTATTGTTGATGATTTATTTAGCATTAGTGCTACAATGTCAATTTTGTATAATGATTCGGTTACATATTTTTCCTCAATCCATTTTTTGTAATGTTACATTCTTGTCTATTAAAATTAAAATTACGTCACTATGTATTTTGATTATTCATAAAGTGATTTTTTATTTCACCTAAAACATTTTTAAATTCGAACTTTGTTTAATATCATTATTCAATTTATTAAATTCAAATACGCCCTTTTGAAATATAGATTTACTAGTTATGCTACTATTACAATTTTTCAGATGAAAATCTATATTGCCTCTAGTTTCGTAGTTATGATAATGACTATTTAATTTTGTGAAGTTCTCTAAATGTGGTGGTAATAAATGATTTTTTAATTTGAATATGAAAACGAGAACTAAATAATATATGAAATTTTTCACATCCAACCACTGCAGTTCTTCTAACATAGACTTAATCCTAGTATATTTGTTTTTATTTAAAATGATTCTCATAGCTTTATTTTGTAGAATTTGAAATTTTGAAAATATGTTTTTATTTGCTATAAACAAGACGGTTGAACAATATAAAAAATGGGGAAGAATTATAGTGTTATACACAATTTTTTCGGAATACATACTAAGATTATGGGAAACTCTATAGAAGTAATTTATATTTTTCGATATTTTTGGAATAATGTATTCATAACGTTCGTGAAACAGTAGCTTAGTATATACATATATACCAAAATATTTAAATGACTCGACTGCTTCAATTTTTTCATCATTAATCATAAGCCTGATTGTATTGTCACCTAAATGTTTCCCTATCGACATACATTTTGTTTTATTAGTGTTTAATTTAAGTTTATTGACATTTAACCAATTCATATTTTTTTCAATATCACTATTTAACACTTCTAAAGCAGTGTCCAAATGCTTATGTGCTATATATATATATATAAGTGTATATACTTTTGCTAAAGATTCTTTTAAACAGCTACACATTGTCAGAATACATGACATTGAACTGCCTAGTTTTAAATTTTTCTAGGTACGTTCAATTAGGTAGGTAGTGTGGATTGTAACATTTTGACCTGTATCATTTTTCAAGAAATATGAACCAGTAATTTTTCTGTGGCAATATGTCAAATCATTGGTTTAACTATGTAGATTTCTAAATTATCGGTATTTTCCTCTATAATTGCGAGTACAGACATGGAAGTTTGCAAACGTAATCATAATATAAATACTATTTGATTATTCTAGGCACCGTCGAGCTATGGGATTGTTCTCGAACCAAAAAACTTCGCATTATGGACGGCCATTCTGCCAGAGTCGGCTCTCTATCTTGGAATGCTCACATACTATCTTCTGGGTGTCGCAGCGGTAGAATTATCCATCATGACGTTCGAATGCAACATCATTTAGTGACTACTTTGACTGGACATGAACAGGTACATGAAAAATGTCATTGTTCTATGTTTATGTTTCCTCAAAAGAATGTTTCAAAATTCATGTTACCTACATCGACTGTCAGTATGGTTATTGCTACTTCAGTCTAACTTTCGAAATATAAATAAATTATCGATCTAGGCACAATGTTAATAACTGACATGTTATACGGACACGAAAAGTGTGGAAAATAGGACTTTTTTTATGAAGTGCTATTAGGGCGGTCACTGAGAAGGAGACTTTTGGATAACGAATACAATGATGCTCTGTTCCAACATCATGGTCACCGCATTAAGCTCCTCATTAACAATGTTTACATCATTTGACGCAAGGCGTACCAAAAACTTTTCACGAATCTAGATACTCGAATCATTTCACGCAATGCAGTGTGTTTCAGCGAATACTGAGTCACTCCAAAATCAGCTGCACTGCTCAATTTGGACATTATATAGATGGTTCTATAGAAATAGTGCACCTAAAAGATTGAGTGACGTAAAGCTAATACGTTTCGAATGGGCCCGAATGTCGACCTTTACAACGCTCCGCTAACGCGGATGCGTTGATGTGATTGCCGTTCGTAAAAAAATGGTACGCCAATGTTTTTTTGTCAAATAAAAATCATTTTTGAATTCCCCGTTCAATTTAAAACAAATGATCTCTCTTGAATTGTTTTCGTTCGATGCGCCATTTTTGAGAAAAAAAAATAAAAACCGTTTTATTGTCTAACTTGCAAAATTATTATTAATTTAATTGGAAAAATTAAACACATTAGGGGTAATTAACAACAACAACTGACAACATAAACATAACATTAAAACCAACGAAATGATTACAAAGATTTTGAAAATGGCCCCCGTCACTTAGTATGCATGCTTTCGCCTTTCTTCTCATGGAATTGCGCACTCGTTGAAATATCCCTGGAGTGTTTTTTATTCTATCACAAGCTGCAACTATTCTTTTTCTTAATTCCTCTACAGTGTTAATGGGAGTTGGAGTTGTGTACACTAGTGTCTTAAGATAGCCCCACAAACAGAAATCTAAACTGTTTAGGGACCTTGGTGGCCATTCTTGGGGTCCACCGCAGCCAATCCAACGATTTGGATAAACAGTTTGTAAATAATTACGAACCGCTACACTGAAATGCGCTGGTGCACCATCATGCATGTACCACATATTGTTTCTTATTACTAACGGAACATCAACAAGCAGCAAAAGCAACTGTTGTTGAAGAAAATTGAGGTAAGTCTGTCCGTCAAGTCGTCCCGGCAAGAAGAATGGGCCAATAAAGTGGTTGCCAATAATTCCTGTCCATACGTTAACCGAAAATTGGTGTGAAATGCGTTTCGGTTTCTGCATAGAGATTTTCTCTGCCCACAAATGAGTATTGTGGAAATTCTGAATGGCATTTCGAGAAATCATTGATTCAAATTGCGGATTTTGTGTAATTTTTTGAAGATACCACTGACAAAAGGTCACACGCCTTGGAAAATCAACGGGAAGTAATGCCTGTACTCTTAAAATATGGTAAGGATATAACAAAAAATCCACTAAAATTCTCCAAACAATTTGATGGCAAATATTTAAGTGTCTAGAGATCTTCCTCGTATTCGTTTCAGGATGTTCTGCGACTTCGTGCATCACTGCTTCCTCAATTTCAGGTGTTCTCACAGTTAGAGGTCTACCTTCAGATGTTCCTTTTCGGACAGAACCAATTTCAACGAGACGACGATGAGTATTAGAAAAGGTTTGAGTATCTGGCAAAGCAGGATCGGGATATCTCTGGTGATAAATCCGTCTGGCTTGCTAACCATTACCGTCGGGAAGGCCATATACGTAATGCATTTCCGCCATTTCTGCATTTGAATAATTCACCATTATTAACAAGATTGTAAAAACTAAATGATGAAAAAGATGTCACAGAGTACAGATTTGAATAACAGAGACTTGTCAGATGTCACATGCCACTGACATATTCCGGAGCAACTAGATATTTATTGCTAAATTGAATTCTTCAATTATTACATTAATTTTCTTGGACAATAGAACGGTTTTTATGTTTTTACTCAAAAATGGCGCATCGAAGGAAAACAATTCAAAAGAGATTATTTGTTTTAAATTGAACGCTGAATTCATAAATAATTTGTATTTGGCTAAAAACCATTATCGTACCATTTTTTTCTTGAAAAATATCGAAGTCAATACCCGTACGCACGCCACTGTTTAAGCTAAAAATTATTTTTGCATTGAAAAATATGCAACTTTATTAACTTTCACTACGTACTCAATATCAGTGAAATATCTGAAGCGGTTCTGAAAATATTAATTAATTTCCATTTTTTCCTATAACTCCCAACTCCCCGAGTTTTTGCAAGGAAACATTTTTGGACCATAGTTTATAAAGCAAACTAACATTAATTAATTAAATATTCGCATATCATTAAGGGACACCCTGTATATATACTCAAGAAAACTGCCAACTTGAACATTCTTGACAGGAATTCATTAATAGGAAACACTAGCGACAGGCAATTCTGTCTTGTTCGTGCGTCACCGTCTGGTGCCGCTGTTGCGTCGCGAAACGGCACCTCCAAGATCGTGTAATGGTGTCCACTCACGTATAGGTTTCAATGGGGGACCGACTGACCGTGCAGTGTCTCAATGTCAAAATTACTACTCACACGCAATTTTACCATTGGAGCCGAGTCACAGTGATCGCATTGATCACACAAGTACCTGTGTGCCACACACGAATAGGAAAACTACGTGTGAGTGGCGATTTACACATTTTGGCACCGAGATTTGTATGTGAGAATACCATTGCTACTAAGGTAAGGTAACCGTGTCGAGCTTCGTACATCCAGAACTGGGCGATACGACCGCTCCTTTGTCCCGAGGGTGTCGAGACTGTGGAACAATCTACAAGAGGAAGCTTTTCCCAGTTCTACTAACCTTAGGCAGTTCAAAAATCGTATTAACAAAATTTCTTAGGGATCATCATAACAGCCGCGGTGTTCCGGCATTTAGGCTTCTGCCTGCGCGGCTGCTTCGATATGTATATATATAGTTAATTGCCTTAACTGTTAGGAGAAGATATCCTTTAATTTCTTTGGGTAGAAGCCAAAGTATTGCAAAAGTACACTCTTATAACTTAAACTCTCAAGCTTTCGAAGATCTATGTCTTCATCGTCTGGAGCTGGAAACAATTATTAACAATAGCAACAAATAACAATTATGAGAAAAATATTTACTTACTAAGTCGGCGAGATTGTTGCTGAAATTGTTTTTAAAACAACAGTGAAGGGAACACAGTCGACGAAATATATAAAAAATACTATTTTTTCATTGTTTGTCATTCGATTCTAGGAGGTCTGTGGCCTAAGATGGTCACCAGACGGCAAATACCTAGCCAGCGGAGGCAACGACAACGTCCTGAACATATGGCAGACAGTGAGCGGCGGTCACCACACTGAAAATCAACCGCTGTATACCTTCACCCAACATCAAGCTGCTGTTAAGGCACTTGCATGGTGCCCTTGGCAGTCACACATCCTGGCCAGCGGCGGTGGCACTGCTGATAGACATATCAGGTTCTGGAACTGCAACACCGGCTCTTGCATAAATTCCGTCGACACAAAGTCTCAGGTATGATACCAAAATTGACCTACAATACAACAATACCGACAGGAAAAAGAAATATTTCTTGGGCAACCTAACAACAATCAGACTCGGTGCTTGTATTCAAATGTGTCATCATCAAAGAAACGGAGCTACGCAACTAATTGCTTGATGAACTGCAGTCGCTAGGATGTAGTCGAGATACCTTATGACAAATGCTATTGATACATCAGCTAATGTCACAATCGTATCGTCTAAAGTCTAAATCCTAACTGTAGACCGCTCTTTTTTGTTTTCATCAGTGTTCCTGAGAGGATGCTGAGCAAAACGCAACGTCGGTTACGACCACTTGTACCGCTTTTAGAGTGTATCTATACCAGTAATGTTAACCACATAAAAATAACAATTATTTTACGTGGTTCCCGGCAAATTGTGGGTGTCTTGAATTCACAAGCGTATACAGGATGATCCGTGGATCCGATGGACACAGTAAAATGGTAGTAGTTTGGACTGAGATCTTTCTATATATGTAAATAAAAAAGTTATAAATCATTTTTACTGATTTATCTAAATCCGCCAAATATTTAATACCTTGTATCTCAGGCACCATTGAACCGATTTTGTTGAAACTTGGCACATTAACAAAGTTGCCTAGGAGTAACGTAAAACTGGACGGACACTTAAAAAATCCAGGGCCAACCTCAAATATTTTTGCTTTTTTGTTTTTTTATAAAAATCATTACCTTTCAACCTAAGTACTGAAACGTTTGACAATGCACAAAATGACCATAATAGATTATTTTTAACAACTTATGTGACACAAAACTCAAAATTTGAAGGGTTTAACTACTAGGTTTCATCAACATATTAACAAAATAATACTTGAAAGAATACAGATGTTTTGAAAACTAAAAATTTTAGGGTCAGTTTCAGTTTTTATCATTGTATGTTATTAAGTGCAACGCCGGTAAGTTATCCTCTGAATTTATTATTATTTCACAAAATAACACAATACATGACATGAATAAAAGGTAAAGTTAATGCTGCTATGCACTCCATTTGGTTTTTTCGATATTTTATGTTTTAATTCTACCAACTGATGATAGTGATGATGTACAGCGACATGTCCTGCTTTGAAGCGAACCGGCATTTGGTATGCAAATGCACTTAACTTGTCTTTTCAGACCAATTCAAAATTATAATGAAAATATACAGATCTGGTCTCAGCATATTTACGTTTACATGCTTTCACCAGAACCCTGCGTGAATTTTAGTTACAACATGCACATGGTACATCAAACATTTAAATGTAAAGTCTAGACCTGCATACTACATTTTTATGGATTTTCAGCTTAATTTCAAGTTGGCCAAGCATTGAATATTAAATGCCTAGTAAAAGTAAATAGGGTGCATAACATTGATCTTAAATTAATAACCATTAAAATATTTTGTTTTGTGTCACATAAACTGCTAAAAATATGTTATTTTAATGATTAAAAATGTTTAACTAAAAAACAATAAACCAGGCGCGCAATCAATCTATTTTGCTAATTATTGAAGATTTGGCATGCCTTCCTAAATGCGGGTAGTCTGAAACATCTCACAAGCTAGAGTTGCTGTACAAAATCCAATGTGATTTTCATAATAGTATTTCGAGAAAATTTGATTAAGCAGATATTTGTTGCGCAGCATTAGATGTACATATAGTACATGACAGACTGTGTTTGATATAGCGAAATCTCTCTGCTTAGTTTATGGTCTCAGTTTCCTTTATTGGCAAATCGCACTTTTTCATCCACGCTGAAACACTCTATCAACATCATAAAAATTCATTTTCAGTCATCAAAGCAGATCATTAAACTAAAGCCATGTTCGTACAGCTGTCGCCAATCTGTCAGTGATCCCGCTACACAAATTCCGTTCATTCTGCTACTCTATATAGACGGAATTCACACGGCCGGTTCCCAGACACAGTCAACGACCACTGTACGAACAAACCTATAATCGGTTTGCCCGGCTGTGTTAATGAGGATATAGTTGAAACATGCATGTCCACAATAAACCCATACGTCATCTCGTAGGCGGGGCTAGAATGTGTGCATGTTGCATGCACACGCGTTCCCTCGCCAGAGTCCGTGTGGCGTTCCCCCTTTCCCCTGTATCCTCCTATAGCCCCACGGTACCCCATGCGTGTTTAGCCCTTAGACCTTCGTGGTGGTTGGAGTATAAAAAAAAATACGTATAGTGGAGACTATATACGTATATTAACTTTTTAATTCAGTTGATATTTTTGTTATAGGTGTGCGCAATTCTGTGGTCACAAACATACAAAGAAATAGTATCTGGTCACGGTTACGCAAACAACGAGCTGATCGTGTGGAAATATCCGTCCATGACGAAGATAGCAGAATTGACAGGGCACACAGCGAGAGTGTTGCACCTGGCTGCTTCACCAGATGGCACTACCGTGTTGAGTGCTGGGGCTGATGAAACATTGCGGCTATGGAGGTACGTAATTTGTCCCCGTGTGTAGTAGTAGTCTGCTGTCAATCAGAAGTCAATCAGAAGTCAATTGTGATGTCAGGTTATGTTTCTTTTTTGACGTTTAAGACAAATGAATCAAATGCCAAAGGATATTTTCTTGCAAATAATGTTGATCATTCAATAATAATTTCCTACATTGAACAAATTCGTCAAGCTGTGGTATCTTCAAGTCCCATAATATCTGGTATTAATGATCTAAAATCAACCATTTAATGCAAATGGATGTGTATTTATATATATTTGCCGAACAGCTTACAACCAAGCTGTTCCTTGATGAAGCTGGTAAGTTACAAAATTTTTAAACATTGCATATTCATATTTATATACTTATCGCATTTTTTTCAGATGTGGTCCGTTGTCACAGACTTTATGAGATGTTGGATAAGAAACATTGTATCCCAAGTGCAACTGCATTGTTGATGTCAGAGATGGCTGTTCACAAATCATTGTCAGACTTTGGATTGCCTAGTGTCAGGCTACAAATATGTATAATGTGTAAATGCTCTGAAATTGAATTTAAACATGCCCTGCCCTATCTGGTATTTTTTTATATTAGTGGAAACGATATATCGTCGGTGGTAGGAACCGTAACCTAAAAATTTCGTACTGTAACTCTAAAAAATATCATTATAAAATTGTAGCCCACACCAAGATGTAAAATTTTTTAAGTGTCTTGAATCAATGCATCATTTTTGCAGATATAAACCATCTTGATATTGCATACAAAACTCCATATCTATTTTTTAAGGATAAAGAGGCGAATGATCTTCCTAAGAATGGATTCATGCATCCAGGCACTTGAACGCATGTTTGAAGGAGCCAACCTTACTGAAATAAGTGAATTTGCTTTTTGTGACTGACATGTGTTACACTGCAATTTGTAAATTTAAGGTAGGCATGGGCCTGTATATTCATTAAAGGTAAAAGCTATGCCTGGGAAGGGGGTTCTCAAATGTGTAATTGTTAATGTTGCATGTGAGAGATGAAATGTCACACGAAACTTGATAAAGTGGATTTTTGGGTACAAGATATTGTTCCAAGACAATAACTCCAGTGTAAGGAACGTTATTAGAGGGAAAAAAAGAAGAGTCAATATATTTAAATTGGATATTTCAAGAAGTTTGATACCTAGAGTTAATTAACTTTCCAAAATGATCTAATGTACCCCCAAACTAGACAGATTTCTTTGCAATTGATCAGATATCCTTTTAGCCCTGTTTACGTAGCTTGTAATTTAGAAAATAGCATATAATCTAGTTAACGTCAAGGATTAAAAATTGATGAAATCTATATATCTAGATATTATTGAATGAACCTATTGTATTTCTCCGGGTATACAATGTAGAGTAAAAAATATTTATTTTGCCAAGTATTCTTTTATTTATATTCTGCAAGTACCAACTGGAAAATATGATACATGAAATTGTTAAGGAATTCATAGATAGTATGTCAAAATACATTAGTATCAGTAATCAAATGAAGTCTTGATATCTAAAAGGTACAAATAATTAGAGGAAATATGAACAAATATATGGCCAAAAAACATATCCAAAATGAAAAACTACAATAGTGTATTACAATAACCTTTAATAAATTCAAATTTACTTATATAAACTATATAAGGTGTTTTCCAACTGAATGTCAATATTCAATAGGGCGACTTTTGGTTCTATTTTAAGAAGAAAACTTCATATAATTGTATGTCCTAAACGTCTTGACTTTTGAGAAACGGGGTGGTAAGCTTTTTAAAAATCAATCCTTTTTTGTTACGATCTGTAATATCACTTTAAATACTTTATCAAAATTCTGCATATCAAAAGGTATTTTTAATGTACGAATTTTCTTTTGATTTCCACCAGCGACGTTCGTACCGACTTCACTTGCTTATTTTGGCAGACAATGATAGTGCGCAACTCTTGAAATAAAAACTTAATTGAAATCTCGTAATTCCTAGGCAAATTTGATTGCTTAATTTTTGTTCACTCCAATGAACGGTATTCGCTTACAAAAATAAAATAACGTTTCTTTGCATGATCCTAATATCGTTAGTATGACAATGTCACTATATCGAGAAATAGATTGTATTTTTCAGGTGAAAACCGTGCGTCAGACTAAAAGAATTCAATTTTGATGTCCGACCCACTATTTCCACCCAAAAAATTCTCTGCATGTATTTAACTGTCCTCACTTTTTCTTCATATACCACATTCCACAACATTAATATATGGTGCAACAGATTTGATAAATACAACATATTGTTCTTTGAGGCTCAGTGCATTGATCTCCTTGTTCTTGATGATACCAAGTATGCTCAGTAGCTAAAGGCTCCATTATTGATAGTGATTTACATCCAAAATTTATACGCAACAGTTTAAATACAAATCAAATTCTGTACCTCGGAGCCAGGTTATTTTAAGTTCATTTCTGCCTAAAATGAGTCTTACATGTTAAGTTCATCATAAAGTTGGGAGTTTTAATTTGATACTTGCAACATCTATCTACCTCTAATGATGAGTGAATTATGAATGCAATGAAACTATATTAAAACTACCTATTAGGGCTTAACCCAGTCTGACTTTGAGGTAACTACAATTTTCAGCATAATTGGTCTTTTCCGCTTATCTAGTTGTTTGAATTGTTTGGAGTTTGTTTAACAGGACAGTAATTCCCTTGATGAGTCACAATTTTCTTTTATTTTCCCATTCGTAATTAATTATGGAATTGTCATAAAGTTTTTCTGATTTTGCTTCATGCTGCAACATTATTCTGTTTACTCTCTGTAACACTTCAATTTTGGTAATCCTACATGACCATGGCATTTTAAGCACCCTGAAATAGCGATGGTCAATAATAGTAATTATGATCTTCACATACACACATTATACATACTTGTGCCTGACACTCTACACAATCTAGAGTCCCACAATGATTTGTGAAAAGCATCTCTGACATAGACAATGCAATAATTGCACTTGCCATACAATGTTTCTTATCCATGGAGGAACCATCTCATAAAGTCTGTGAGAATGAATCACACCTGAAAATAATGCGATAAGTATATAATATGGATATGCAATGATTTGTTTTGTAACTTACCAACCTCCATCAAGAGAATAGCTTGGTTGTAAGCTTCTATACTTTCATACACACAAATATAATATAATATAATATATCCATGTGTATTAATTTTCCTAACTCAACAATTTCTTGAAGATACCACAGGTTGTGGAATTTGTTCAATGTAGCGAGGTATTTTTGAGTGATCGATATTATTTGCAAGAAAATTATAAATTATGGTTCTGCATTCTATTGAACGTCAAAACAACAACATAACCTCAAGCCAGAACTGTCAGATGTCGGAAATCAAAAGCAGGACATACATGTACGTTAACGAAGAAGACGTAATATTATCGAAATCAAGGAGGCCATAAATGCGCCCTACAATTGTAGGGACGACTGACGATACGGGCCTTAGTCATACGGTTATAATATTGCCGCGTGGGAAGTATATAGATAGTGTATTTTATTTGAAATAGTTGATTGAACATTTTTATTAAAAAATGTGAATCTTATGGTGTGAAAGGTACAGCACTACAATGGATTGAAAATAATTTGGAAGAGATAATAAAGTGAACAAAATCAAAGAGTTGTTCTGCATATACAGTGCTTTTCTTTAATGTCCCCCTCCCCTGTGATTTTTTGAACGCATCAATTCAAAAAATTAAAACTTGAAGTAATGAAATTGATGCGTGGATACCATATTTTAGAGTAAAATTGACAGATGAAAATGTCAAGATGTCCGCTGGGCGCCATCTTGGAAAAAAAATATATGAAAACGGGGCTCTTGTGGCACATCATTTTGAAGCTCCTGACGAGTACTTTATAACCCAACATTTAATAACAGCCCCATAAAAAAAATCTATTGGAAGAGATAATAAAGTGAACAAAATCAAAGAGTTGTTCTGCATATACAGTGCTTTTCTTTAATGTCCCCCTCCCCTTTGATTTTCTGAACGCATCAATTCAAAAAATTAAAACTTGAAGTAATGAAATTGATGCGTGGATACCATATTTTAGAGTAAAATTGACAGATGAAAATGTCAAGATGTCCGCTGGGCGCCATTTTGGAAAAAAATATATGAAAACGGGGCTCTTGTGGCACATCATTTTGAAGCTCCTGACGAGTACTTTATAACCCAACATTTGAAAACAGCCCCATAAAAAAAATCTATGGGTGTCAGATCTGGCAAGCGAGTTGGCCATTCCACAGGACCTCACATACATTCACGATGGAGGAAGTAGACTGTTGGGGATTTACTATAATCTCACCAATTATTTGAACTTGCTTTTCTTCCGGGATTGTCGGATGACCTCGGGCCTTTTTGTTGTTTACACTACCAGTAGCTGTAAATTTAGATACAAGTTTCCTTAAATATTTTCTACAGATAGGACGATTCGGGAAACGATCATTAAAAATCCTTTCAGTCTCTTGAAAGTTACGCATCGCACCATAAACAAAAATCGCTTCGAAAGGTATTGACTTTATATTCTAGGGTTATAAAGTACTCGTCAGGAGCTTCAAAATGATGTGCCACAAGACCCCCATTTTCATTAAATTTTTTTTCCAATCTTGTTTTCATCTGTCAATTTTACTCTAAAATATGGTATCGACGAATCAATTTCATTACAAGTTTTAATTTTTTGAATTGATCCGTTCAAAAAATCAATGGGGAGGGGGACATTAAAGAAAAGCACTGTATACATGTAGAGCATGCTGTCTCTTAGGGCAGTGTTCTACGACTCCTATTTTTCATTATTTACGTAAATGAGATCCAAAATTATTTGCAAAATTCATTTGTCAACTTATTTGCAGATAGGCATATCTGTTAGTGGAACGAATATGGCCGCTAGGGGGCGTAACTGAAATCTTGAATCTAAGAAAGTGATGTTACTGTAAATTCCGCTATATTAACCTAACAAAACTTATCTGATCTTTAAATTCATTCCAGGATAATCTGAACCATTTTTGTTTGACAATTTTTGCAGTATCCCTAAGTTTCCATAAAAAACAACCCTGTATCTTCGAAACGGCTGACCCGATTTTGAAAAATTTGGGCTAGTTGAAAAACCTATTTTTTGACTACAAATGTTATAATATTTGAAGTTTTGTTAGTTTCACATGTGGCCACTAGAAAGCTATTTTCGACATGCAGACAGAAATGGTTAATTTTCTCAAAAAAATTTAATGCATTGGTATGATTTTGTTATAAAAAATAGCTAAATGGTGTCTAAACAAGCTCGCGAAAACAGCATCTCAATATCTTGTTCCCAGCCTAAAACTTAGGCCAAAATTGGAAACCCCTTAAATTTTTATTTTTTTTAACCAATTTTTCTGAAATTCTTTTTTATTCACTTCAATAGCTCACATTTCACTTGTCAGTCATGACATTATTTTATACAATTTAGATTATTTCAATCATCACTAATACTTCAATCTGTTTTACAGGATCTTTGAAAAATCGTCCACTTCTAAAACTAAGGAAGCAGCCAAAGTGAAGGTGAAACCCAGTGCTTTGAAGCAGTGTATACGATGAACATGTTATTTCACATTTAATATTGTATCATATGACTGAACTTTACTCTAGTATTACTTATTATTTTGTGTCTTATTTTTAGTAATGTATGTTGTATGTAGTTTATTGTATACTTCTATTTTTTGTATCAGTTTGGAATAATAAATACACTACTCATGGAAAAAGCCTTTATTTATCAAAGTGTTTTCAAACATTAACTCTTATAATGTTAATAGAAAAATAGAGATAAAATCGGTTTTGGAGAACTAATTATATATCTCATGCTTGTAACGTAAAAGTAGAAAAGATATTCTTTCAAATTACACAATTGTGTATAAAAAACTGAAATTTCTACAGATATACAATGTGTTTGGTCACGACATACCGATATTTAAGGGGGGCATTTTTCAGCTATTTTTATCGACAAATCCACCCCCTACAATGTCCTACCTCACCCCTCTTGAAATGGCTGCCATTTTTATTTTTACGATACGATTACGCTACTGCATGTAAGAAAATTTTAATAACTGAGTACATAAATGTTACAGAATGATAAATTTTATGTCATTAACATAACATGTTGTCCTGGCGATTATTGAAAAACTTGTATTGTCAAACATACTTAAAAACAGAAAAAAATATGCAAGAAAATTGATTATTTTGTGCATTTCCGCACACCATTCAAAAACTAGTATGAAAAGTTGTACTTTTTTGTGCTAATTCTACAGCTAACTATGCTATCTACAGAATGACACCATACTTTGTTATCCAAGTCTTCTACGTTAAGTAATAGATGCTACCTTACATTGGTCAAAATGTGTGTAATAAAATGCAAATTGCTTTCAAACTTTCTATACATAAAAATGACAAATCAATGTTTCTCATGAAGAGTTTAGACATGTTCAATGTTACAGAAACTGTTCAAAATTATTGATTATGCACATTGTTGCTCTTAAAACCATGTGTCGTGTTGAGCGGCGGACTATATCCGTGTCAGCTCTATTTCCGTTCGCAGCAGTATGGATCCTTTCCACGAGCTCTTTCCATGTCGCCGACACATGACAGTAAACTTGTTGCTTCATTGTGCTCAACAAAAAATAATCTAGGGGCATTAAATCGGGTGATCTGGTGGCCAAGCGATATGCTTCCACGACCTGTCCATGGGGAATGTTGCCCATCCAAATGTTCTCGTACAATTCGCGCAAAGTATGCGGGAGCTCCGCCAAGCTGCAACCTCATGTTGTGTCGGTTGATAAGTGACAGATCATGGAGTAGATCTGCAAATTCGGTCCTCAAGAACTCCAAAAATCCCTGGGCATCTAATCTTGAAGATAGCTCAACTGGGCCGACTGAGACTCCGTTTCCTGTTGGAAAGTGCTCGGTCGAACTGTATGCGGGCTTTCCGAAGACTACAAGTGGTCGTTTCTATGGTTTATGATCCTCTGCCTCATAAATTTTGCTTCGTCCGTCCACAGAATTTTTTCCCAAAAGTTACAGTCTTGACGCAGCTGCCTTTGAAACCAGGTGAAAACTATGATTCTTGCTGCATAATCTGGCTCATGAAGATCCTGAACTCTTCTAAAATGATAGGGATGTAAACCTTCTCTCTTCAGGACTCTCCAAGCCGACCGATGTGACAAGTGTAGTCTTGCAGCGATCCTCCTCACACTAACTCTCGGATTTCGGGTAATCATGTTGAGAATCTATCCTTCATCTTATGGAGACAGTAGCCGATAACGGTTGTTTACTGGCCTTTGAATCCCATTTTCCGCCAGTCTTAGGTATGTAAAGACAAAAGTCCTAACATTTTGCGTAATTCGGTCAAGAAATCGTCTTCGACATTCTCTCACAGCAACTGCGTCATTTCCATTGCAAAAGCCGTAAACAAACACCATATCAGCAGCATGGTGATTTGAAAATTTATTACGGAGACGATTTGGCATGATAGAGACTTAGGCATGACTAATAAAATGTTCAGTCACAAATCACTTCCAACTCAAATACGTTTAGAAAATTGATATTGAAACTAGTCAGCAATGGTAACAAAATGGACGTATGATCACAACGCGTCGTGAGGGACTACGAAACACTCGCTATGACATTGACAACAAATAACCGGTTGTTACCATCTCGATAATGAGACCTTGCGGTAGATGTTGTCTCACTCACACTCTCAATACATTCATCTCTATACCAGGAATGTTGGATTCGGTTCGCTACCTAAATCGGGGAGGCTTGCCAAGGGTCGTGCTTAAGCAATATTTGTACTTAAAATAACTAACATATGGTAACAAATTTGGTGTCACTTTGTAGATAACATAGTTAGCTGTAGAACTAGCACAAAGAAAGTATAACTTCACAGACTAGTTTTTGAATGGTGTGCGGAAATTCACAAAATCAATTTTCTTGCATGTTTTTTCTTTTTTTGTCTGTTTTTAAGTATGTTTGACGGTTAGTATCAATACAAGTTTTTCAATAATCGCTAGGACGACACGTTATCGTTCAAATTACACCAAATTTATCACTCTGTGACACTTATGTATTCAGTTATTACTTTTTTTTACATGCACTAGCGTAATCGTAACGTAAAAATAAAAATGGCTGCCATTTCAAGGATGGTGAGGTAGGACATTGTAGGGGGTGGATCTGTCGATAAAAATAGCTGAAAAATACCGGCCTTAAATGTCGGTATGTAGTGACCGATATATATATATATATATATATATATATACTCAAAACCAAACGTTTCTTTAAACATTGTGAAAAAGCGTCTTTATCCTAAGACAATAAGTGACAAATACAGTTCTCATATCACATAGTTTGTACTTTAATACCTATTAGCTGAAGCTATTATTAAAACCTAAATGAAATTAGAAAAAATAATTGAACTACGTTCTTTATACAATATAAATACATACATAAAAAAAGTTATAAAAAATCAACGTAAAATGGAATAATAAATATTAACAAAATAACGCAGCTAGAATAAAAAAGCTTCATCATAAAAGTACATGAAAAACAAAAAATACACAATCGAAAATGCGTTTTACAATTAGGAGAATTGTGCCAAAAACGACATACCAGGGCAAAATGACACATTTGGTATTCAGTTCCTAAGATGGTCACTAGAGAATCTGCGAATACATAACCCGCAAAAATCGGCCGCTTCGTCAGTGCTTGTCGTAATATCAAAGTGAGTATAATCGAGCTATAGAAGCGATTAGAAAATAGAAGATGGGCTGGTTAAATACAGCTAAAACGATTAATGATCCTCAAGCTACATTACGCAGAAGAGTGCAGCAAAAAATGTACTTGTAACTGATGCGCGAAAAGGTTTAAGCCGTTCGAAAAAGACTTTGCCGAAGGAAGCTGAAGGGAGCTTAAGAAGTTCATGCTTGAATATGAATCACGATTGTTTGGTTTTTCATCAACCGAAGAGGAAACTGGCGTACAACTTAGCCGAAATGAGGCACTACAATTACTCTTTTAATAAGACTAACGAAATCGCAGGATGGGATTGGCTCAAAGGTTTTCGCCAGCGGAATCTCCGGTCACCAGAGCCGACTTCATCTGCACGTGCTCGTGCGTTTACTAAAGTCCAGGTTAACAATTTCTTCTTGTTTACTGCAAGAAGTAATGGAAAATGAAAATATTCCTTCTGAAAGACTTTATAATATGGACGAATCGACTCTTACCACAGTGTAAAAACCTCCAAAGGTATTTGCGAAAAAAGGAAAGAAGTAAGTTGGAGCATTGACTACTGCGGAGAGAAGTGCTCACATAATAGGAGTTGCTTGTGTGGGCTCTTTGTGGCAATTCATCCCTCCGGCGTTGATTTTTTAGCGAAAAAATTACAAACCTGAACTATTCGATGGGGCACCACCTGGAACTCTGGAGCTCTGTCATGGGACTAGTTATTTGATATCAGAACTTTTTGAACATTGGATTAATCACTTCGTTAAACATGTGAAGCCGAGCAAGGAGCAAAAAGTGATTTTAATGGTTGATGGCCATGCAAGTCAAGAATTTAAAAGCTGTCCTGAATGCCCAGGAAAATGGGGTTGTCGTTTTATGTCTGCCACCTCACTGTACCCACCGATTGCAGCCATAAGTCGTCGTGGCCTTTTTTGGTCCCTTAGAGTCGTACTATAACAGCGAAGTAACCTTATTTATGGCTCAAAAATCACCCAGGAAGGACTGTTTGTTTATACCAAATAAGCGCTTTATTTTCTGCTGCATATTCAAAATATGCAACACATGGCAATGCACTTAGTACTTTTACTGTTACCGGTATCAACCCAAGCAACACCAATATATTTCCCGAGTATCTTTAGTGCTACCAGAGATTTTTCCGAAGATTTCTCCTGTTGCTGGAAGCAGTAATGCAGAACCATCCACCATAAATCTTGCTGAAATACCATTTTATATTTCGGAATGTCATGTGAGCCACAAGAAAAAACTCAAGAACAGTTGAAAATCATGAATTCAAAGAAATGGAAATCCAGGAAATGACAATAGTATCAGCGAGTGTCTCACTGTATTATCACCACTTCCAGAAGCTTCAAACAGTAGCGAATTACAAAAACGTCAAAGAAGATCTGAAGTGTCTAAGGTGTTGACAAAGAGTCCATACATTGAAGAAATTAAGGCTAAAGAGTCCATTAAAAACCAAAAAGAAGTTAAAAAATGTGAGAAAGATAAGGCTAAGCGAAAAATTGTCATAATAGTTGAAAAAAAAAAACAATCTCTGAGAAAATCCGGAAGGGAAAGAAATGTGGTAACGTATACTGACTCCGATGAGAAAAGCAAAACACGGAAGTAGAAGGAGATAGTGAACGGAAGTAGAAGGAGATAGTGATGAAGATTCAGCATGTCTGTTTTGTAATGATACATACAAAAGGTCTCGATTTGGAGAAACCTTGATACGATGCCAATTATGTAAATGAGTGTAATAGAAATATTTTTAAAGTATGCAACAATGTACTTAATAACAACATCTGTTAATAAAACTTATCAAAACATAATATTTCCTGTTCAATTTAGCGTTTTTAAATTGTTTTGGGCATAATGACATAGACCATGTCATTTTGCCCAACACATCAGGGCAAAATGAAAAAATGCACACTTGCATAAATTTATATAATTTGTAACATTATAGTGAACTTTACTGATAAATATGTCTAAATGTTTTAAACCAATAACGTTGTAATAATTCAACAAAATAATTTTCTAATAAAAGTATGTCGTTTTCGGCACAATTTTCCCTACTATGCAAAGTAATTTAGTTGCGTCATATTCCTTGCAGGCAAGTTTGAAACTTAATTATTTTTTCATATCACAATTGAAATAAAAATATACTATACTTGACCTAGAGCCATATTATTATAACGGACCCTTGAGGGCTGAGTGCCGTTTCAGGGTTGAACTACCCTTGGAACCAATGCAATAATAACCCCGAAGGACGTTCAAGAGAGGATTTAACCTTTGCATTTCACAGTAGGCTGTAGCAGATATCACAGGCTGTCATCAATGTCAGAAATATTTTTCTTTGCTGGCTTCATCTGTATGTATTTACTTTCTCGAGTTTATTTCGAAATAGGCATCAGTAAAATGTACACACAGGCAACCAGTACTACATCCAACTCTGTTTTTGTAGACACCGGCAGTAGTATTACGTAAAAAATCTATATGGCAAAAAAAAGGTATAATGTCACCTTGTGAAAAAATGGCGTCAAGTAAGTTGAGTCTGTAGTTCCCACGCGACGGTTTAATTAGTTCGTAAAGCATTATTTTTGGCAGAAGTTAGCAATTCTGAGACAAAATTAGCTATGAACATGTACGACAAAAAATTAAATGACCTTCCTCCTCCCTCCGAGAGGAATTGCTGCAGGCGCACATGATGGTTGTGATGGCTAATCCCGCGTGAATGACGATATTGCCCTTCAACATATGCACAGCGCAGTCCAGTTTTAAGGGTGAATGATGCATGAAATATCGTCGCCTATACCGCAAACAGGCGTAACTGATTTTATACAAATTTTCAGTAGAAGCAAAATTAATATCGACAGCTATTTGATTCCATATATCTTTTCTACTTTAGACAATATGATCATGATTTCTTTTCATTTTCCAAATTTTTCACGATTACAATACCTCTCCGCCAGTAGGCGTAGGCAGTAAAAATGTTCACTGAAAATACAAACAAAAACTCAAACAATTTTGGAAGAATATCAAGCAAAGGTAGGTAGAACGATTTTTTAACCCGCTAGGGAAATAACGGGTGATTCATTTAGAGGTACTTTTTTGGTGTGGCTGTAATTGCTTATGGCGCATGCGTCATGACAACTAATTTGACATTTTCTGTTTCAGTATTGTTCGAGATTTCATCATGGAAAGACTTAGTCCAGCACCGCGTCTACAAATAATTCAGCTGTACTACGAAAATCAACGTTCTGCGAGAAGTGTGTTTCGTGCACTTATGGTGTACATAATCGGCCCACCGAACGCACAATTCGTCGTACGGTCGAAAAATTTGAAACCCAATTTTCATTATTGGATAATACCCGACCAAATAGACCATATCCAGCACGCAGTGAAGAAAATATGGCTGCGGTAGCTGAAAGTATACGTGAGGACCGTGAAGAATCGATTCGGCGCCGTTCTCAAGAGCTTGGCTTGTCGTATTCAACAACTTGGCGTATTTTACGTAAGAATCTTAATTTGAAACCATACAAAATTTAACTCGTTCAATAATTGAAGCCGGCCGACCTTCCAAAACGTCATCGTTTCAGTCTTTGGGCTCTTGCACGGCTTGAAGAAGATTCGATGTTTTCGAGCAAAATTTTGTTTAGCGATGAGGCCCATTTTTGGCTTAACGGCTACGTTAATAAACAAAACTGTCGTATTTGGGGTGAAGAACTACCCGGAGTGGATCAAGAGCTGCCATTATATCCAGCGAAAACAACGGTTTGGTGTGGTTTATGGGTCGGTGGAATCATTGGTATTTTCTTTAATAAAAAAGATTTGACAAGAAAAAAGAATTTTGTGATTTTATTTTGTTGCTGAAAAAAGTACCTATAAATGAATCACCCATTATAACCGTCGTTTGGATTATGAAGTGCAAAATACTATCTGAGAACTTTGCATTTTAGTTTTTTAAAACAACAAAATAAATGTCACTCAGCCCTCAAAGCATGTCCATAAAACAGACCCTTAAAAATCACATAACGATAGTTGACTCCGTAACCATTCAGTCTGTTGTACATCACGCCCTGTTTGAATCCTTCGGTAATACACAGGGCAGTCCATTGAAATGCATTTTATCTCGGTTTGCCTTAAGGTACAAGTTTGGCAAATCTGAAAAAAACATTTTTGCTGAACCCTGATTGTTAGATAATATAAAATATTTAGGTTTATTGTATTTGTGTTGTAGTCGGAAGTCCGACGGGCGATAAATCCTGCAAAAGACTGGTCAAATAATGAGTGACCAATAATGTTTGCTTATTTTACGTTTCGGACTTCGATGATCAAAGTATTTTACTAAGTTTCAACGAAATCTACCAATTAGCTCCTGAACTCCATGAGTTCTTATAAGAATCATGTTCTCTTTAGGGGCCTTAAAATGTATTCTCAAAATTTGAAGACTGCCCATCATCTCGTTTTTAAAATATCTGCCTTCGAACCTTGATAAAAGTCGTTGGTCACTCTACGGATCAGTCGAACTATGGCTACAGTTTATGTAGAATACTTACGAGGTCAACATTCTGGTGATATTGTTCCCAGTGTCTCATTTTTTCCATCAAAGTCACCATTGTGAGTTGAGGTTTCTTGGTGCATTTTTCACAAATTGCAGTTTGTGTCTGTTCTCCACAAACCACGCAGCTTGTTGTGGAAAAGTATTGAGATATCGTGCTCTTCTTTCCTGGCGATACTGAATTTAGTAAATACTGAGTCTGTTTTCTAGGCATGTTACGAAACCTGTTAATGAAATTGATTCATTCAAATGGCATTTTCAATATTCAGGCAAACAAAACTTATATTCAGAGTATCGTCAGGAGTTATTCCAGAATTTCAATTTGAATTCTTCGACCATTAATATAGCTGCTCAAAACTTTGTTGATGTTATTTGACCATTGCTTAACGTGGAATATGGTAATCAATGGCTGGACAAACCACACGTCTACCATTTTGATAGGACTAGTAAATTCAGTGTCATAAAAACCAGCGTATATACAGGGTGCGTCATCTATTACTTTTTTTTCTATTTGAAAAATCAACACGCTTTTTACGAGGTGAAATCGAATTTTTTTATTGATAAATGAAGGTTGGTTTATGCCATTTATGTATGAAAAATAACATCAGTCATGTGACCACCGCGGCTTCGTTTACTGGCCAACATCCGAACATCAAAATTTTCAATGACTTTTCCCAGAATAATCGGGTCTATGGCCACAATTTCAGTCCGAATATTGCGCTTTAGGTCTTGAATTGTCCGGGGACCATTCGCATACACTTTTCCTTTCAAAAATCCCCAAAGAAAATAGTATTAGGTGTTAAATCGCACGATCTGACATCTGAATTTCGTGAAATTATGCGGTCTTGAAATTTCGTGTGCAATAAGGAGATTGTTTGGCGAGATGTGTGAGCCGTTGCTCCGTCTTGATGAAACCAAAGATCGTCGGCACCAGTACGATCCAATTGTGGCCACAAAAAGTCTGTTAACATGCCGCGATAACGTTCCCCATTGACGGTAATGGCCTTTTCTTCGGCATCTTCAAAGAAGAATGGCCCAACGATGCCACCAGCCCATAATCCGCACCAAACAGTCACTTTTTCAGTATGGAGAGGTTGTTTTATGATATTGGTAGTTGTATTTTGTATGGATGGAGGTGTAAATCAATGTGTAAAATCCGGCGTAAAGTAGTCTCACTAATTCCAAATTGTTGCGAACGGTGCCTAGTCGAGGTGGTTGGATCTTCTCGCACACTTTCACTCACTGCGGCTATGTTTTCACGAGTACGAGCTGGACGAGCATGTTGGTATGGTCTATGACCTTCAGCTGAACCAATTTCCTCAAAACGATTAACAATCCAACGAATTCCAGGTTCTGTAAGGCGTCCATGTCGGCCAAAACTAGTGCGAAGTTTGCGAAAAGTATTTTTTATATTTCGACCGTTTTCTTTATAAGTTTGGATAACCAAAATGCGTTGTTATGTTGTAAACGAATCCTTGACCATAAATGGCATACCTTTGACAGTTCATTTATGCATACCACATGACTTTTGACTCACATGGTAACACATAAACTTATAGGTAAAAAAAGTAATAGATGGCGCACCCAATGCAATTTAAAAAAAGAATGTATGTTTTCTGCATTTTGACGATTTTAAATTTGTCTACTGATTATAGCAGTATAACTACTAATATTTTGAAAAAAATGTTTGTCAACAATGATAACAGATTATAATAGCTTTTGATACGTACTTATATACTATAATATATAATATTATCTCACGAAATCAAGTAACCTTAATAAATTACACTTCAAGCATGATGCGCATATATAGATAACATCGGACCCAGCGGCGGCTCGTGGTCTATGATAAAGGCGGTTCACAAGTGGTATGAAATAATTTTTTGTCACCACCAAAATTTTTTTCTTATGCGTGACGTAGAAGGCAATAAGAGTACTAAAACAAGCACCAAGGATACATTTTTTGTTATTTTTTTTATTATACACAAGAAAATACATTTATAAAAAATACAATTTTTTTAATGAGCACAGTGTTTAAACGTAAAATCCATTCTCCTGTTTTTATTTGCAGAAAATTTATCAATAACAACCTCGTTAAAGTTTGGAATACCCGCTATACATTTTTTCTCGATAGATAGGATTGCTAGGGCTAACAGTCTTTCTTCATCCATAGAACTTCGCAAAAATGTTTTTATTCTCTTCAATGTCGAAAAGCATCTTTCACTTTCGGCCGTAGTCATTGGTATGGTAACAATTATTTGTAAAAGTGTAAAGGTGGCAGAAAATATGCCCTGAAGATTATTTTCTATAAAAAACTGTAACAAACTAATGGCACCACTCACATTTCTGAAATCAGGTCGCCGGTAAATTAATTCCAATTCAGTCTGGAGGCGATCTTTATCTAAAAACGAATATGCTTCTACTACAGTTTCCAAATATTGCAATGGAAAATGCTTTTCCAATTGTGGAAATTTATGAGAAGAAAAAAGAATAGCTGTATTTAAATGTTTTGTAAAAGAAAATCTATCTCTTACGTGTGTAATTATGGTATCACAAACTTCCTTGGCTGCTACAGTTCTGCAAATATGCTGGACTTATTTGCACGATGCTTTTTAGTTTGAGTAGTAGTGGTATATTCAGAAATTTCAGTTTCAATTGTTTCCAAGCAGTCTCTCTCTTTTTGGATGCAGTTTTTAAAACACTTTATGGCAGTCTGAATTTGCACTGGGTCAGTCACTGTTTTTTGTAACTGATTATATAAAATATCAGCATGTGGCAATATTCGATGAAATACAGTTAGCCAGAACACAAACTTAGAATCTTGTAGCATACGGCCAATACCAGTGGCTTGATTGATGATAACAGTTTGTTTTGAAGTAGCTTCTATTTTTTCCATGCATTCTATTAACAATTCGCGATATTCATATACTGTATTTATAGATCTGCTTTTAAAATTCCATCTTGTAACAGAAGACCTAGGAACTCTTGCACCAACAATTTAATCCAAAACTGCAACTCGTTGTGGAGAATGAGAAAAAAAATATTGAAATATCGCTTAAATTTGAAAAAGATACCCGTACTTCTTGATTTTGGCTTGTAGCTTGGGATAAAATCAAATTTAGCTGGTGGGCATAACAATGAACGAAATAAGCATAAATATAATCACGTTGAATAAGAGCTTGAACACCTTCATGACGTCCATTCATTACACTAGCGCCGTCATAACTTTGAGCTATCAGTTTCTCTGGTTTATCTATCACTTGTATTAAATTAGTTTTCACACATTCTGAGAGACTAACTGCATCGTGGTCAGGGGGGGTAATAAAATTCCAAAAACGTTCAACTGGCCTTCCATCTGGTAGAATGTACCTAAATACTGTAGTCATTTGATAACAATTAGCTACATCCGTTGTTTCGTCAGCCATAACAGCAACAAATTCAGCTTCCAAAATTTCTGTTCTTATATTTTCCTGAGCCACTTGTAACATGCAATCTAACAATTCGTTTTGAATGATTTTTGATACCACTTTAAATACTGTAGATTTTTCAAACTGATCTTTAAGTGCTATATCTAATTCGGCAGTGAAATTTATTAAACCTCTAAAAATATCAGGATTTGATGAACCATCTTTTTCGTCGTGACCTCCGGCTAATTCAAAAGCTCCGCAAAATTTTATGCAATCAATAATTTTTGAAAGCACATACCTATTCTTTCTAACTTGTTCATTTTGCTGTTGAATACTGCGCCTATATGCTCTGTCCAACTGCTGCCGTATATCTACTTTTCCCAAAAGCTGCATTTTCAGTTCCGCAAAGATATGGACTAGGGTGTTTTCATGTTTCTTAATTTTTTGTGCTAAATGTCCCAAGTCGGCTATTCCATTTTTTGTCCAGGCAGGCTCTGCAACCCCGCGACCAAACAACAAACAGGAAAAACAAAACAAACGGTTTGTTGTGCTGCATCCACAAATCCAGTTATTCTTTTCATATATTTCCATTTTAAACTTTCTAATAAAGTCTCTAGATTTACCCTTTCTGGTCTGATTTAAGTTAATTTCTGGTGTAGGTCTTCCCGTATTTTTTATTTCAATTTTTTGTTACAAACTCAATAAACTGAAGTTATGTTTCAAATATTCCACAGGGAAACCATTCATTTTAACTCAATGTCTTATTAAAATACTGCTACGAACATAAACATTCGAACACACCTCCAATTACTGCATAAAATGCACGCGCAACAGACAATGACGCACTCCAGAAGTGTGCGCCTTCTCCAACTAAAATTGTGATAACCCCGCTATACTCCGCAACCAGAACAGTAGGGAGAGGAACACACTAATCCCGGGTACATGATCGCATATGCATATGCGACTATTCGTCGTCATCCGCCTTCACCCGTCGGCGGCAGTCGGACCGGGCCAGTCCGAATCAAGCAGCGCAGCGGTATCAATGGTCACTCACCAGTGGAGAGCTACTAGATCGGTTTGATGTTATACGATTAAATATCAGGGAGGCTCGGACTTTATTTGAGAAATTATTAAATGGATATTATATATATGTTTTAGTATTTATTTTGGGGGTGCACGTGCTCATGTGCTCCTACAGTGGAACCGCCATTGATCGGACCCGTATGCGCATATCGCGTCACCGCGTCGTTTGCTACCTGCTTTTAAAAGTCCATCGGATCCACTACCAGAGTTGCAATATTTACAACCCCACATAGCGCAAGGCAACTACGACCGATAGGTAGGCGATCCGTTTGCTGAAGATGTACGAGGAAGTCTATGATATGCGAAATATGTCTAATAGGAGCATAGAATTATAGAATTACCGGAGTTGGAAGTGTATTCATACACCGACATCACAAAACTGCGCCAATTATTTAGCCCTAAACATTTTTTCAAAAATGATCAGGATTCTCTAAAATGTCAAAAATCAAAGTTTGATCAATTTATATCTTTCCGTGTCCGTCACTCGACCGATTTTAAAAACTGCAAAGCCTTTTCGCTCTTGGTATAGTAGTAGTAGTAGTATATTGGGGTCAAGGATTAGCGGACAGACCAAATGATGGTTTTTCGTTTTGCACATTATAACATAAAAAAACATGATCTCATTTTCGAAATTTTTCGCGATAACAATACTTCCTCGCCGGTAGGCGCGGGTAGGTAAATGGTCCGAAATCATGAGGACTCAGAGGGGTCCTTACTTAGCATACCCCCATACGATTCATCGTCAAAAATAGTATTGTGTTGAGCATACATTCTACATACCATTCGGAAACATCTGCTCCAATAAGTTGGAAACATCTGTTCAAGGGTGGAATTATTGCTCTAGTAATGTAATATTGAGCATTTGGCCTAAGTGATGGATCGTTCAACAGATCTCTAGGACTGTGTACTAATTTGATGACGGGTAGACCAGGAGGACCATTCACTACAACGTAAGGCACACGTTCACCGCTTCTAGGTTCACGTCTTCTGTCTGTAGTACACCACTTCCTTTGACAAAAAAAATACATAATGTGCTTGCTTATATGCTGACCATTCTTACTCAAGTTTAAGTGTCTTGTCAATCCCCTCAACAAAGATGCGACTTGCGTTTGCTGCAGCTCATAACTTATAGTTGACTTCATGTGATACAATTTGTCAAGCGGCCGCACGAAATATATACAGGGTGCGCCATCTTTTATGTCGGTATGTAAACATGAAATAACTTTGAAAACGAAAAACTGATTTCTATATTTCGGGTATTTTTATTAAATATGGTCCTTTACAATTTATTGGGACTAGTTTTTGAACACAACTTCTATCAAGTGGCCACCTTTATTGGCCAAAACAAAATATGCCCGTTTTGCTGCGTTTTCCATTACTTTTTCGAGCATCTCTGGTGGTATAGCGGCGATTGCGGTACGAATATTTGCTTTGAGTTCTTCAGTGGTCTGGAGCTAGCTGGCGTACACTTAACTTTTCAAATAACCCCACAAGAAGAAGTCCGACGGGGTCAAATCTGGAGACCTGGGTGGTCAGTCAATGTCACCTCTTTTTGAACCTCTTTTTGACATCAGACGTCCAAGGAATTTTCGTTGCAGAAACTGGATTGTTTCATTTGCAGTGTGGCATGGCGCACCGTCTTGATGAAACCAGTAACCATCAAGACCTTTTTCACGCATTTGTGGGCAGACATAATGAGCCAATATGCACCGATATCGATTTCCATCGACTGTTTCGTTTTTCGTTGAAAAAAATGGCCCAATGATGGTTTTGGCGCAAACTCCGGCCCAATCAGTCACTTTCCGGTCATGCAACGGCATTTCGTGGATCTCATGTGGATTTTCCGTCCCCCAAATGCGACAGTTTTGCTTATTAACGCCGCCAGATAGGATGAAATGGGCCTCGTTGGTCATCACAATTTGCTTCCAAAAATCAGGTTCAGCATCAACCATGCGAGCGACTGTTTGGGAGTATTCCAATCGACGTGGACGGTCAGTTGACAATATTTTTTGTGTTAACTGCGCCTTATAAGGAAACAAACGCAAATCATCCTTCAAAATGCGCCGCAACGTGGTTCCACTGATGCCAAAATGCTGAGCGCGGTGATGATACGACACTTTTGGGTTCTGGGCAACGATGTCTCTGACCGCTTCAATCAATTCATTGGAACGTCTTGGTCGTTGATGAACGGTATGTTGACGACCTCCAACTGTCCCGTACTCAAGAAAATTCGAAACCAAACGACGGACAGTGTTGATAGGCGGTGCATGTTTGCCACGATATTTTCGACGATATGCACGATGCGTTGACACAACTGAACGACGATTTTCAATGTACATTGTGACTATTTCGGTTTCAGTGTAAAGCGATTCATGACTAAAATTGTAGTAAATTGACGTTTCAGAAACACGTATAACCAAATCACTCGGTTGTTAAATATCAAAGCCATTCGATGTTTCAATAGCGATATAAAAGATGGCGCACCCGGTACTAGGTATACAAATTAACTGCGAATCTTAAACAGGGATTCCACGCAGAAAAAGACACGTGCTATATGGATGCAAGAAAAATATGAGTATCTTAAGAAATGGAAAAGGAACGAACAGGCCTGAAACAAGTATCTATTGGTTGAAAAAATTTGTTCTCCGAAGCACGGCAAACCTATATCCATTTACATTATAATAATGAATGGGACTATCATATAGGTCATAATGAAGTTATGTTATAAAGAATTTATATTTTGAGAAACGTATGTATGCTATCTTAGAAGCAGAACTAATTCTGATAATAAGTTGCTACACTGCCGTCGTTACATCAATAGTTTACCATAAAATGGCAACGATGAGTAAAATCATTTATCAAATAACATATTTTTTGCTTGTGGTACCAATAAAAGTATTCTGAAGATACACTGAGAAACTTAATATAATCTTTTGGGAAGCTTTGAATCTACCAATTAGTTTCCCGAAGAAATAGAAAAAATATAGTTTACTTTGTTATGATCCAGCCTTTATGTTTCATTGCGCGTCCATGCCATCTATGTCAACTACACTTCTAATCATATATTACCTTGCTAGTTCTAAGGCAGGTACGCAGGCACTATGGGCATAACCTCTTGATCCCCTGTATTCTTTAGCAAAGGTGAGATCCTGGATACTAACTCGACCAGCAAGAATCTTGCTGAACTGTCTCATTGCGTATTTTTTCACCAAACTCACGTCTTTCGTATCAAATAAGATACGCAGACATTTTTCTAGCATCTAGAATGCAAAAGCAATATGGAAGGCATATTTGAGGAGCTTACTTAGTGAATTACCTTGCTAACAGCTGGACACCCATCACGTCTAACGGTTTCTACACCTTTTGCTTCAAAAATGGGTTCTTCTTGGTCAGGGCACTCGTACATATAGCCAGCATATCTCTTTTTGGTTTGTAAAATGCACGGTTGATATACCTAAAATCAGAAAACGTTAAGGCGGTGTTCGCAAGGTATTTGCATTTCAAACTGACATTTTTCTTTTGCTACTGAATCGTGGGATCTCCCGCATGACTCTAAAAGGCTAATGAGCTAGGGGATAACTTACAGGTTTTACGAATGAAGGATTTAGTTTAGTTTCAAAAGAGAATTATAACTTTGAAATTCAAAATTTTCATATCCTTGAGCACCCTCCAAATCCTGTCTTAAATCAAAGTAGAAGGTCAATCTTCTGGATGGGATTCTTGTATGTAGGTCACTGGACAGCCATGTTAATAATCAGATATAGGAGAGGAACCTTCCTGCTCCAAATGCTGGGATAAGGATGGAACATCCTTGGCAAGTGTACTGTATTTCAAGGCCTAGCGGCCAAATTTTCACGCCCATGCAGACTGGCGCAAGTATTTGTGCATGCCAATGTTTCAACATTATTGGAGAGAAGTTATTATTGTTGGTGAATCACTGTTTAGTGTAAGGCGAATTTCCTTCAAAATTAAAATGTTCTACAATTACTCCTGTTCCAAAAGTGCAAGATTCTGAGTTATATACAAACATGCGGCCCAATTAATGTTCTGCAAGATGTCGAGAAGCCCTTAGAAGGAATCATATATGAACAAGTCATTGAATATATTGAAGAAAATAAGATATTGACAAAATTTCACGCAGGGTTCAGAAAATAGTATTCAACTAAAACAGCAATTCAAATAGTAATAGAAGAATGGAGGCGAAATATGGATAAAAAAAAGTTTACAGTAACAATATTCTTAGATTTCAAGAGAGCATTTGAGACTATTGGCAGAGAGAAACTGTTAAATAAATTGCATTGCTATGGATTTCAAGGTCCAGTATTCAACTTATTACAAAATTATTTAATCAATAGACGTCAAAGAACTAAAACTGACAATACATTATCAAACATTAAAAACATTTCGGTAGGTGTGTCACAGGGTAGCAAATTAGGTCCATTACTATTTATTTTATATATTAACGATATTCCTGATATTTTACAACACTGCAAAATTCAACTATTTGCTGATGATACATTAATATAGGTACATATCAAATAAAGACATTGAAACTGCAATAGAGCTGTTAAATGATATGAAAAACGTACTAAATTGGTTAAATGTAAATAAACTTAAGCTAAACTCAAACAAAACAAAATATATGCTAACAGGAAAATATTTAAATCAAAATACGTTAAATTTTACAATTAATCATGAAAAAATTGTGTCAATCGAATCATTTAAATATTTGGGCATATACGTAGACAGTAAATTAAAATTTGAAGGGCACTATGAATATATTATTTCAAAAATATCCAAGAAAATAAATTACTTTTATAGAATTTCGCATAGCCTAAGCGTTTATTCTAAAAAAAATGGTGTACAACACTATCATTCTTCCTCATTTGTTATATTGTGCGACAATTTTGTTCACTGCAAATGAGACTGTGTTTTCAAAATTACAAATATTACAAAATAAAGCTATGAGAATCATCTTAAATAAAAATAAATATACTAGAATAAATTTTATGCTGAAAGAACTACAATGGTTGAATATCAAAAATTTCATAGCCTACTTGGTTTTCATTTTCATATTCAAGTTAACAAATCATCTTCTACCAAATCACTTAGCAAATTTTATTGTATTGAACAATGAGTGCCACAATTATTCTACTAGAGAAAGTATAGACTTTCATTTACAAAACTGCAGTAGCAATATAACGAGCAAGTCAGTATTTCAAAAGGGATTGTACGAATTTAATAAATTAAGTAATGATATCAAGATGTGTGTCAGTTTGAAAATGTCCAAAGGGAAATTGAAAAAATATCTAATGGAAAACCAGAATTCATAGTAGTGAAATTTTGTATGAAAATATGTAGTCTTGAAGACATAATATATTTTGTGATATACTGTGTAATATGGATATTATGAACATTGTAGCATTAATGCTCCATAAATCTGAAACAAACAAACAAATTTGCGCAAACACACACATAGAAAAAAATAAAATCCCAACTTTTTGGCTTGCGCAAGTTTGCGATTTGAGCAATTTGACTTGTGCATGCGAATTTGTGCAAGTAAATTGGTGCATGAAAACGAAAATTGTTAACTTGCGCAAGCCACAAAGTTTGGCTTGCGTAAAATCTGGATGGTCAGATAATTTGCATGTGTTTGGCGCAAATGCACGAACGTGTAAATGACACACCAATTCGCATGCGTAGTGGGTGAATAATTGTAAACAGAATTGTTGTTCTGACGTGCACGTGGCTTCAATTTTCCGTTTTTTGATCATCAATAATTTGTGCGGTAAACTGCCTGCATAGATAGGCTGTTTAGTACGTTATTTTGTGTTTTTTGTTTGTGATAATAATGTCAAAGAAAGAAAAAGGGTTCATGGTACAGTTTATTGAGCTTTATAAATCTTTTCCTTGTCTTTGGAAGGTTAACACTACAGCGATAGAAACGCTAAGTCTCAGTCGTATGATATTCTGGTTGAAAAAATGCGCACGGTTGAAGAGAGTGCAAAAAGGGAAACTGCGGGTAAGAAAATAAATTTCTTGAGTACCTCAAAAGAACCAACAAAAGTTCTCAATTCTCAGATGGAATTGATTTTGTCAGCACAGTACCCCTGTTAGCTGCCGGATCCTAGGTTTGCATTTTTTTCTGCTAAAACGTTGTACGCTAGAGATTTAGCATTGCAGTCTGAATACTATTTGCTCTTCACTTTCCACAAACGGAAACGACTTATATAGTACAATAAAATCAACGCGTGGGCAAGCCAGTTTGTGCACATTATTTGAGCGTAGAGACGTACCTTTAAAAAAACAGAAGTTACTCGTAAAACCTGTAAGTTGTCCACGTGCTGATTAGATTCTAGGGGCCTAAGCGAGACAATCTACGACTTAGTTTAGTATCAAAAACGGATTGCTAAAATCTGTTTGTTTTTTAGATACACAGTATGTAGTGAGTGTAACAAGAGCAGAACGTTATTGTACTCAGCCAGTGTTGCTATACAGGGTGTGTTCCTTTATCAATATTTTTAGAACCGCTTCAGATATTTCACTGATATTTAGTATGTAGTGAAACTTAATGAAGTTGCATATTTTTAAATGCAAAAATGATTTTTAGCTTTAACAGTGGCGTGCGTACGGGTATTGACTTCGATATTTTTCAAGAAAAAAATGGTACGCCAATGGTATTTTGCCAATTTAAAACAAATAATCTCTCTTAAATTGTTTTTCTTTGATGCGCCATTTTTGAGTAAAAAATAAAAACCGTTATATTGTCTAACTTGCAAAATTATTATTAATTTAATTGGAGAAATTAAACACATTAGGGGTAACGAACTGACAGCATAAACATAAGATTAAAATCAACGAAATGATTACAAAAATTGTTGAAAATGGCCCACTTCACTTAGTATGCATGCTTCCGCCCTCCTTCTCATGGAATTGCGCACTCGTTGAAATATCCCTGGAGTGTGTTTTTATTCTACCACAAGCGCTGCAACTATTCTTTCTCATAATTCCTCTATAGTGTTAATGGGACTTGTGTACACTAGTGTCTTAAGATAGCCCCACAAAAAGAAATCTAAATTGTTGAGGTCTGGGGATCTTGGTGGTCATTCTTGGGGCCCACCGCGGCCAATTCAACGATTTGGATAAACAGTTTGTAAATAATTACGAACCGCTACACTGAAATGCGCTGGTGCACCATCATGCATGTACCACATATTGTTTCTTATTACTAACGGAGCATCAACAAGCAGCAAAAGCAACTGTTGTTGAAGAAAATTGAGGTAAGTCTGTCCGTCAAGTCGTCCCGGCAAGAAGAATGGGCCAATAACTCCTGCCCATACGTTAATCGAAAATTGGTGTTGGAAATGGGTTTCGGTTACCGCATAGGGATTTTCTTCTGCCCACAAATGATTATTGTGGAAATTCTGAATGGCATTTAGAGAAAAATTAGCTTCGTCCGTGAACAGAATCATTGATTCAAATTGCGGATATTGTGTAATTTTTTGAAGATACCACTAACAAAAGGTCACACGCCTTGGAAAATCAATGGAAGTAATGCCTGTACTCTTAAAATATGGTAAGGATATAACAAAAAATCCACTAAAATTCTCCAAACCATTTGATGGCAAATATTTAAGTGTCTAGCGATCTTCCCCGTACTCGTTTCAGGATGTTCTTCTACTTCGTGCAGCACTGCTTCCTCAATTTCAGGTGTTCTCATACTTAGAGGTCTACCTTAAGATGTTCCTTTTCAGATAGAAAAAGTTTCAACAAGACGACGATGAATATTAGAACAGGTTCCACTATCTGGCAAAGCACGATCGGGATATCTCTGGTGATAAATCCATCTGGCTTGCTCACCATTACCGTCGGCAAGCCCATATACATAATGCATTTCCGCCATTTCTGCATTTGAATAATTCACCATTATTAACAAGATTTAAAAAACTAAATAATGAAAAAGATGTCGCAGCGAACAGACTTGAATAACAGAGACTTGTTAGATGTCAACAGCCAGTGACATATTCCAGAGCAACTAGAACTAATTTTCTAGGAAAATAGAACGGTTTTTATTTTTTTACTCAAAAATGGCGCATCGAAGGAAAACAATTCAAGAAAGATCATTTGTTCAAAATTGAACGTGGAATTCAAAAATAATTTTTATTTGGCAAAAAACCATTGGCGTACATTTTTTTAAAATATCGAAAACAATACTCGTACGCACGCCACTGTCAAAGCTAAAAATTATTTTTGCATTGAAAAATATGCAACTTTATTAACTTTCACTACGTACTAAATATCAGTGAAATATCTGAAGCGGTTCTGAAAATATTAATTAATTTCCATTTTGTTTCTAAAACTTCAACACCCCGAGTTTTTGTACGAAAACATTTTTGGACCATAGTTTATAAAGCAAACTAATATTAATTTTCCATGTAGATTCACACCCTTAAATATTCGCATATCATCAAGGAACACCCTGTATATGTATACTACTAATGATAAATAATACCTTTTCGAGTTTTAACTTTACTGGATCAGGGTTCGAATTAGTGACAGCTTCAGCTATAAGAGCTCCAACTTCAAATGCATGTTCTTTAGACCTGCCAGGGACACATACAAACAGAGAGTCAGTGTCACCATATACTACTTTCGCACCCCACTCGGGAGTACTTTCCACCAAATCGATAGCTCTTTGTAAGGTTTCCCTTCCTGAAATAATACTTCTGTATAATGTGTGAAAAGAGTAATGGCCTTCTCCACCGAGGTAGGTATACAATTTTTTGAAATACGTCGACACATCATTCGTTTCTCAGTGATTTTCAAATACTCCGATTTATCAAGTGGCTTAGAACATCTAAGCTGTCAAAATTATGAGAAAAAAGATACAACTAACAACAATAATGTCAGTTATAAAATAGACTGTCTTCACTTGTAGTAATCAATTATTATTAGCAGTATTCAAAAATGCATGCAAGGATTTAATAGCAGTGAGTATTCGGTGCCCAGCAGGGATGTGTAAATTCATTATTTACCTAGGGGAGAAATATAACATCCTTAAAGAAATACGGTGGCTAATGTGGGTTTAACATGTTGGTATTGAAAAAACTATATTTTACAAAGCCAAAAACAAATTACCCAAAAGAACTGATCTATAACACGAATCGATTATAATTAACGTCTGCCATTTTCATTCAATGCATTCTGAAAACAAGCATTTCCTACCTTTACTAACTACACTATCACCAAGCTCTACAGCAGGCATTCTGCCGCTAAAATTAGCTGCCGTGTAACCATATGTTACATTAGCTATCAATTTCAATCCTAGCTGCCTATTATGCAAAACCTTCTGTAAAACGCAATCGTCTTTGTTTTCTTTCATAGAATTCTTCACCATTAACCTAAAATGTACGAGTTACTCAACAGTTGATATCAATGGCCAAGTTCCTCAGAACAGAGTTGATGGATATGTGAATCAGTTTCTAAGTATTTGTAATGAACCTAATACCTCGTATCTAATATTTCTCTCAGCATCCTAGGCATTATACCGTCCCTAACTTCTTTCTTAACAAATGCCACGCCACCTGGGGAAAAGTTCAACAAATCTTTTTTGAGTAACTTTTCAAGTCTAGCTCTAGATACTTTCAGTTGTGTTGCTCCGAACTTGAATGTCGTATTTCTACCTAGACATTTCACCTTCCCTAAACAAGTTGTGAAACAGTAGTTGTATGCAATTATTATTGAAGGATATAAACTTTGGAAATCTGTAAAATAAATGAAAATACAGGTACATGATTCACTTCGGCAGATTTATTGAATTACCTAAAACGATTACTGGATCATTATACATCTTCGATTCTGGCTCCAAAATAAGCGGTATGTACTCTGGAGCCTGCATTTGAGATCTTTGTTGAACACTAGGCGACACTGCTATGAAATTTAACGGTTTCGCAAGCCGTAGCATCATAGATTCTACTCTGAATTGAGATCCTCTTGACAAAACTTCGTAGAATTGAATACCGAAGAGCCTGTAGACAAAGTCAGACAGTTTAAAGAATAACAAAGTAAACAGAGGAAGTATATGTAAAATATGAAGTAGAGAACAAGTTATAAGGAAGCTCATTTCTTTTTTTTTTGTTTGTCATCTGAGTCCCCAACTGGTTACTTTGATGCCAAAATTTTGATAAATCAAGGGTTGCGACCCATCAATCTTATGCCAGTCGTCAAGCAAGTTATAGAAATAACAGTGCATGAACAGCTGAGTGAGCATCTACGTGTGAACGATGTTCTTTTTGAGAAGCAATCCGGGTTCAGAAGAAATCACTCTTGTGAAACTGCATGCCAATTTGAATGTACAAAGTGGAAAAAAGATGTAGATGATGGTAAAGTGATTGTGTGTGTGTGTCTGTTGACCTAAAAAGAGCGTTTGAAACTATTGATAGGAAATTGTTGTTGAGGAAATGTGAAATGTATGGAATTAAGGGTACAGCGCTCTTGTGGGTGGGTGATTATTTATCTGAGTGATTACAAGTGGTAAAAATTGAAAGTAAAATATCAAGTAATGTTTCTGTTGATCATGGAGTACCTCAAGGCAGCGTACTAGGCCCATTGCTGTTTATTCTATATGTCAATGATATGTCGAATGTCCTTAGCAATTCTTTTATAAATTTGTTTGCGGATGTTACTTTAATTTCAGTTAGTGATTCAGTAAGTAACGAAATTGTAGATGTAATGAATAGTGAAATGAGCAAACTTAGTTTATGGTTGAAAACAAACAAGATTAAATTAAATGCGAGAAAAACGAAATGTATGATTATCGGTTCGAAGAATAATTGCAAGAAATTGGTGGGTTTATATGCCAGTGAAAATTGAGGGAGAAGTACTTGATTTTGTAGATAGTTTTAAGTTTTTAGTTATTATAATAGATCAGCAACTAAGTTTCAACAAACATGTTGACTATATGTGTCGGAAATTAGGCAAAAAGATAGGGTATTTTCGTAGAATTTGTGAGAATCTAAGTCCCTGGAGCAGAAGGGTAGTCTACAATACAATAATTTTTTCCTCATTTTACTTATTGTGCATCTCTTTTGATTACATGCACAAATGAGCGAAAGCAAAGGTTGCAAATTCTATTAAATAAATGTATGCGGATTTTGTTAAATTGTATACCAGCTACCATATACAGGATATGCTAAAGGCATTAAATTTTTTAAACATACACCAATTTATTGAAGAGGCAAATTTAAATCTTTTATATAAAATTATCAATAATCAGGCTCCACAAGAAAGATGTGAAATGCAAGGTTACGACATTAGATCAAAAGAAAATTTCCAAATACAAAGATTTAGATTTAAAGGTTTAGAAAAGTCAATGTTTGTTGAAGGTCTAAAAATGTACAATAATCTGCCTATTAATGTAAACACATCTAGTAATGCTCAAATTTTCAAAAAGAGACTTCGGAGAGACTATTTTGGTTTGATGTGACGACCTCTTTGTAAATTTAACATATTTTTGTAAATAATATTTATTATTGTTTGAAGTAGCTTAAAGCTGAATAAATCCTCTCTATTCGATTCTATTAAAAAAGGATTTTCAGGCTCTAGAATCCTGTATCTCGGAATCGATGCGAAGTTCCGAAAATCGTTTTAGAATAATCCACAGAATAATCCTTTTATTTTAGCCCAATATTTTTGAATGATCCTTTAGACGCCTATGATAAAAAATAAAAAATAAAGCACAAGATGAGATGGGAATACTAACCTAGCCAACTCACTAGTTCTTCCAATCAAGTCCAGTTTATCAAATAGATCCAAAATAGTAGCAACTCTATAAAAATAATAAGATGCCGTTCTATGTCTGTATAGATTCGACCTATGAGACCACCAAAATGTGAGGTCTTTGAATGAGTAGTAAGGCACTCGTTTTTGCAGAATATGATAGACTATAGATTCGAAAGTGTAACTTTGAATTGCTATCTCGTGTCTCATTATCCTCCAAATATCCAATACTATTCTACCTATAAGTTTAAGGTCTTTTGAGGATTGGTCTTCTTTGCGGATTAAATGACCGGATTTGCTCCTACCTAGTTCAGATATCATATTGATTCCTATAGTGTTCCTGAAAAAGATTGACTGGTTCATTTAATCAATTCATGATCTTGTGAAAATAAAATTCCCTTCACGGTTTTTGGCGGGTCAAGGTAGAACTCCTATCGGTATCACTTTTATACATCTATCTCCCTCACAAATACGTTTGTTTCTGTAAGCTCAGACATACGTTTGTTTATGTAAGCTCAGACATACGTTCTTAAGGGCCGTATCGTCAGTCGCTCCTACAATAACTGTAGGATGCCGTTATGGCCTCCTTGATTTTCATATTATTTTCTCTCCAGGAAAGCTGGGGTATTTCTAGATTTCTACTGTTTCGTTTCACCGAATGTGACGCTATGTTTTCTTTTTGAATTGTACAAAATTTTAGGCTGATATAACAGACGGTATAAATCAAAAGCATGAAGAATATATATTTGTAACATAACCCTAAAATAGAGCGCTGACACGGAACAGTAGAAAACTATGAAAGTCAAGTAGGCGACAAAGGCACCCTACAATTGTAGGAACGACTCACATTACGGCCCTTAGTTTCGTCTCCCAACTCGAAAGTTTGCTGGCCAACAACTTATGAGTATTCCTCATTTGTTTTTGTCACCGTAAATGTGACAGCCCACTCCTCATGGGCGTGCTATTGAAGATCAGTTCGCGCATTGTGAAATTTCCCCTTGAAAAGTTAAGCTCCGCACACTCCAACTTAGACTTGGGAACAAGCCATCTGCAGCCTATTTCACGAGTATCCATCACGGTAGAATAGCAGCTGCTGGTTATCTAGTAATATTTCAAAACTCTCCATATCGACAAAGGATACATAATTCTGATGGATATGTCAATGCCAGGTAGTCAGAGCCGTATTTTGTTGTGCTTTTGTGTACGCTCCAGATTCATTTTATACTTGCTAACAGCTCTTTTACTTACAAAAGTTCATTTGCTTACAAAAAACAAAACGCTACAAACAAGTTTTACTGGATTTACATCCCATTCATTATTGCCAACGACGCAGACTAACACAAAAATGTCACTTGCTGATCAGCTGGTCACCTCAGTAGACGACAAAGCGTGATGGATACTCGGGAAATAGAGTATACTGGGCCATTTGAAAATTTCTGAAGTCACATGCCGAACTACTAGACACTCCCTATAAATTCATGCTCAGCATCAAGCTGATCTGAAAAATATTTTTTCTACAGTTGAAGTATATGAATTTCTTGTTGTCTTAGAAAATAGAACAATTTCTAAAGTGTGCACTGATTAAATACTTGTGTAACAAAATGAGTGGATTTTTTACTGATATGGTAAATGTATCACGATGAAGTCCATGACGATTGCTAACTATACACACGATATAGTTCTAGATAATAAACGAACGACTACATATTAATAAATTTATTGCTCTTTCCTCCAAAAGAATTACTGGAAGTGCAAAGGCTCAAGAGTTGTTTATAATTCTTGAATAAAATGGTTTGAATTAGGAAAAGTGTATCGGTGTATGTGTATGTGCTAATGGTACTCCATCAACGCCTGGTAAGTAAAGAGGATTACAAAACGCTCATTGCATCATCCATACGAAAGCTCTTGCGTCAAAGTCATACTCATATATGAATTGAAACAAGTATAAAGACTATTATTAGCGTTGTAAACTATATAAAAATTAGTTCGCTAAAAGCTAGACTTTCTCAAAAACTATGCAAAGATATTTGAGTTGAGCACACGGTCTTGCTATAACACGACAGCTTATACATGGAAATATATTGTGACGATAAATAGTACTGTTGGCGCCATCTGTTGGGAGAGTCTGCTACTCGCCAGAGCTTCATGGCCGATCTCTGCTTTTACGCGGACCACGACCGCACAAGCCGCTTGGCGGCGTCTGTAAGGACCGTGGCAGCGACCCGCCTTCTAGATCGACGCGAAGTAACCTCGATTATTCTGGAAGGCCGCTATGTGGCGCCCGATTCGTCTCGACTCAACGATGCGGACTAAATAACTCTGCGCCCGGGAGATGGAAGCAGAGCAGAGTGGAGTATAGTGCAGGCAATGGCAACATAATTAGTCATACATAAATGTTCTATCTAGTCAGGTTAAATAAATTAGTGCATTTCTTTTTGTGGAATCCAGCAGATCGGCAAAGGACAAGAAGGACCCACTCTCAGCTGTAGGAGTCTACCGCATACCGTGTTCATGCGGCAAAGTGTACATTGGAACCACGAAAAGATCAATGGGAACGAGACTCAAGGAGCACAAATCAAATTGCCGACTAGGACAAATTGAGAAGTCTGCGGTAGCTGAACATGCACTAAGCAATGGGGACCACAGGATACACTTTGGGAGCTGCAGGTTGCTGTCATCAGTCAACAGCTATCACAATAGACTGGTCAGGCAAGCTATCGAGATTCACAAACATCCAGATAACTTTAGCAGGAAGGAAGAGACCCTCAGACTCAACCCGATCTGGCAACCGATCGTCAGAAACGCCCGAGCAGTGCCCATCGACATCCCGAAGTCAACCGAAGCGGAACAAGCCACGTCCCTCCGGTATAAATACAACCTGCGCAAGAGAAATCGTAAGTCTACATCCAGCATCGGAAATGATCGGAAGAAGCTTACCACTCGTGCTAGCGAAACGTTAGGAAGAAATTCCAGCCGACGACGGCCTTTGGACCCGAATCAAGACAGCAGTTTAAAACTTCTGAGAATGTTCATACACAATGCAACTTCTTATTTGAATGAAGCTGGAATTTCCGCTATAGCTGGAATCAGAAGCAAATATCGTTCAAGAATGAATATGGAGCAAGAAAAGCTAGTTACAGTGTCTGTAAGTCAGAGCCTTATCTTACGCTTTGAAATAACTATGTAGAGATCACCAAACTCATCCGTCACATTGACTTGACTAAATAGTTGAAGCATTTTATTTGTAATTTTCTTTAGTCGCTTTTCGTTTAAGTTTTTTTTTTTAATTGTGGATGGTTTAATTTTTGTACCTATCTACCTAACTAGTGTTATTGTAGGTATCTATTCCAACTAGCTAGCTAGAGTAGGGGATCGAGACAAAATATAGAACTTGCGAGTGAAAAAATTGGGAACCCCTGGTGAAATGATCAGTGTATTCACTTACCCTCTATCGATAAGGTAGCCCCAGGACAACATTTGTATTTCATAGCCAGCTACAATATCAGGATCACATTTCTCTACAAATTTCATAAATTTCTCTAAGAGTTCTTTTTCGCTACATACATAAGTAATATCACAGTCTATACAAATACCATCCAAAAGATGATATTGATCAGTGATAGAACATACAGGCAAAGCATTAACAACCATTGCTCCTCTACATTTAGTTACTTTGCTACTATTTTCAGGTACATCATTTGAAATCGAGTAAAATATAGCTTTTATAGGATCATACGCAGGATCTGGTCTCAAATCTCCTCTGCTCTCGACATGTACCTCCATAACCATAAGAGTTAGATTTTGATGTTCTAAAACTGCTCTGGCACCTTTCAGATTCTCTACAGATTTATCAAAGTCTAAGTTATCACTTCCTGTTAAACCAGTAATCTCACAGGATCGACCATGTTGAGAGTTGTCACTTAACAAGGATTTTCCTAACAATTTTTCTCTTATTTCCGATTTTCTTCTTTTACAAACATTGCCAAAAGAGGGGCTAGAAGATCCTTCACGACTCTGATTGGGACTTGACTGCGTAGTTTTTGCGGAAGAATATGGGGTCAGAGTCAAAGACAAGTCTAACTCTAAATGATCACCTGGACTTAAAGGCACATGTAATTTCATTTTTTCTGGTTTATGTTTAACAATAGAGCGTTTAACTTCGTCCTTCTCTTTCATAGAATCTACTACCAATTTGCAAGTCGGTGGTTTTCTTACAGGAGTAACTATTATATCACCAGGTCTACAATAACTCAAAAGCACTTTATTCATGTCTGTTTTCTTCTGCAGCTGATCGCCTAACCTGTATCCTCTAAAAGTATTCAGTGCGTCAGTTTGTGATTCGAATTCTGATAGATGAATAGTACGTTTACTTTTTATCATTAATACGTTGTATCCTACGTCTACACTTCCAGTAACATCTTCCCAGTTACTATAATAAGGCTGTTCATACTTGATGTGAGGTATTTTAAGAGAATCTAAAGAATCCAATACTTCCTTTCTGTTTGGTGCTTTTTTATATGGTTCATAGATAGTGACTTTCTGACTATGCTCTGAGGAGAATAGCTCAGATGAATGTCCATCATCTGCTGTAAAGACTGGTGCTTGATAAGGAGTCAGAATACTTAATTTTGAATCATCAGATGATTGTGTGGATTTCTGCGAAATCGGTGGGGTAAAAACCGTAGAGCAGCCTTCCTTAGCTTTGTAGTTAGTTTCTGTGTCGTATCTGGTAGCTACCGACATCTTATGAGCGATCCTCTCATCTTTCGTCTTTACATCCATTTCCATTTTATTGCTATTTTCTGTTTTCTCGGATTGTAGTTTACTAAAGAAAGATGTATTCAATGTATCATCGTCACTGGTTGCAGAAAAACTTGAATCCACTAAGTCACTACTAATTCCAAAATTATGATCTGTCTCACTTTCTCCAATATCACTAGCATCACATCTTATCTCAGAATCACGATCATCAGGAATATGACTAAAATACTCATGATTTGAATCCGATTCTGCGCTTCCATCACCAATAGCTTGGTCAGAAGCTGGAACTGCAAGTTTAATTTTTACGCTTTGTCTGCGCGCTGGTAAATATTTACAATCTAACCGCTCTACAACAAGGGTATCATGTACACCACTACCATTTAGGCAATTGAACTCGAGCTTTCTTCTGACATCTTCGGGTTTCGATAACCTAAAGCAATGAAACATTCTTGTATCATCTTCTGTAAAACTTGACGCATGTAATTTTCACATCAAATGACGGAAATTAACAGTGCTGCTGTTAAATTTACTGCGCTACAATTATGTATTTGCCAAAATTACTATATGAGTATGACGCTGTAAAGGCAAGAAAATAAGCTTTATTACACAACTTATAATGGGTGATTGATTGAGGTACTTTTTTAAAGTGTAAAAAAATAAAAACTTTATCGAGTTATCTTTATTATCGAAGTATAGAAGCATTTCCGATAATAAGTTTTTGACGATTATTTCTTTAAAGTCGGCTTTTGCTATAGTCAATGTGGTCCATCCTGGAATTCGAACTTTCGATGACGCGTCTGAGGATTTTGAGTGGTATTTGGCAACCGTTATCGCGTCATGTTAACACATTTTCGCTGCCTGGAAATCAAGTCTACGATCTTATGGTTTCAACAAAACGGCGGGGCGATACTTGTAGCATATCCAGCGAAACCAAGGTTCATCGACGACAAAAATTCCTTTATGTTTGCATACATACGTGAACACTAAGGTTGAGGTACTAGAAATCAGCATTACTCGCGTTACAATTACCACTCGAAATGCACAGTCGCTTCATTGAAAATTACAATTCTAAAATGAGTCACGTCACCCTCAGTGACGTCACATATTTCAAAAAACAAATGTAATTGATGCTTCTTCTGCTTGCTAATGAAGACAACCCGACACACTTTATTGTTTCTATTTTTGCTTCTGACGCCGATTGGTGAGGAAGTATTGTAATTGCAAAAAATTTCAAAAACGAGATATGTTTTTAGAGTATTATATGTACATCACAAAGAAACATGTCACCCATTTCCGTCAAAACGTTGCGAAACCGAGGACGAAAAAGCTTTGTAGTTTCTGAAAATCTATTCAGTGGCGGCGGAGCTAGGGGCAAAAACACGAAGAAAATTAAAATCACTCAAATTTCGTTTTTTGACATTTAAGAGGCTAAAGGCTTTTTGTAGGTGTTGAATATAGGGGTTGAGGGTTGTAAGGGTGAGGAAGGGTACATCTCATTTTTTGGTGACAGTATACAGGGGGTAAACGTTATGATAGTCATTATTTAAATGGGTGATAGAGGGGGTTAAAAGAAGCAAAAAGTTTCATATAACATGGAGGTCAAAACGGCATTTTTTTAGAGAAAAGCGACTTCAAAGTAAAATAAAATCTGACAACGCCGCAATGCCAGACGCAAATTACGATGGAACGCAGTGTAAATAACGATGGAGTTTGTTATTTTTGGCTCTTAGGTATTATTTCATTATTTGATAATGTACTCGTAAAATGCAAACAATTAAAAAAACGGACTTACCACTAACTGTCTCAGCGCTTCACCTGGTGTGTGAAAGTTCATTGAACGTATTAAAAAAATCCACTGATAAATAGGGAACACAATTTTGATACATACATTGTTTTTCTTTTTAAAACCCACACTGCACTTTTTTTGCATTTAAAGAAGGTGTTCAAAATGTCGTCCTCCACTTTCCTAATAAGCTTCATTACGACGAACCCAGTTTCTTCTTAATCTAAGTCCTCGAAGTTGTCCATTTATTATTTAAGCCGCAATTTTTTTCCCGAAGTTGTGCTTTAGTTGTTATTGGACCAGCCCCATAAACCATCCCTTTAAGTTCTCCCCAATACCAGAAATCCATCGGATTGAGGTCAGGAGATCTTGCTGGCCATTTTCGAGGAACAGGAGCATTTCGACCGATCCAGCGATTTGGATAATGTTCATTCAAATACTGAATGACGCCTCTAAAAATGTGTGGTGGTGCCCCGTCATGAAGAAACCACAAATTCTGTCTCCGTTGTAATGGCATGTTGTCTAAGGTCCGTTTCAAAAGTTCTGGTAGGTTATTGGCTAGAAAGCTAAGGTATCCTTCTCCTGGGATAATGCGACTTTCCTATTTGGTGCTTTGCATCCCGGAGCTTTGAAATATTTCCAGAAGGTTTTACTATTTATTGGATACGCCATAAGAAAACTTTGGGGGTAACTCGAAAGGGCCAATTACCTGATCTTCAAGAATACCCGCCCAAATATTTATTTTAAAACGTTGTTGGAAATGATCTTCACGAATGGTATGAGGATTTTCTTGGGTCCACGTGTGAATATTATGGAAATTTAATATCCCGTCTCGCGTAAAAGTACATTCGTCCGTCGCTAGAATGTTTTTAAAAAAATCCGGAAACCACTGACACTGACAGAATGTTAGTCTGCGAGGAAAGTCTTCTGGTAACAAGGCCTGCACTCGTTGTACATGGTAGGGATAAAGCAAATTTTCCCGTAGGATTCTATGGACTATGGTATGCGATAGTCCTACGCGGCGGCCTAATTCCCGAGTGCTGATATCTGCATTGATTTCCACGATATTTAAAATTTGTTCCTCCTGCTCTACAGTAACCTGTCTTTCACGAGTGCGAATATTAGTGGGCTGAAGACTTCCTGTATCTCGAAGTCTTTGGTACACTAGCACAAATGTCCTTCTGTCTGGGTGTACCCGTTGGCGAAATCTGTCGCGATAAATTTGAGCTGAAAGATTTGAATTCTGACGAGCTTCACCGTAAACTAACAACATGTCGGCGAACTCTTGATTCGAGAACATTGTAAATAAACACGACGACGTACGCGAACAAAAACAAAACAACAGGCCCGATGCCCGATAACTAACCACTGTTACCGTTTGAGATCTATTGCCGGTCCGATAAGAGTGATGCAAGGCTGACGCGCTGTTGTCATGTGTGTTTTAAATATTTAATTTAATGAAACTTACTTTCTTACTGACTACAAATTTTGGCTTACCATAGAAAAACTTAATGCCATTTATTTGTTAATTTAAAAACGTTTTAGATTAGATTATAAAAATTATTAAGATTATGGTGATTGTGGTCGATATAAAGCACTTAGAGTTGTAAACTATAAAGCCATTTAGACGAAAATCTATTGACTTTTGGACCATGGGTCATATGAACTTTTTGACTTGTTTTGACCCCCCTATTACCCATTTCAATAATGACTACCATAACGTTTACACCCTGTATAATGTAGTAGTAAGTATCGCTACAGTAATCCTATGTTGTGATGAACGGCACTCCACAGATAACACACATATGAGCGAAGTCTTGAGAACTACTAGAGTCTATAGTAGTGTCAAAGGTTAGTTACGAGGGATGTCTTTTAAGTTTTGCATATAGAAACATAGTAGGCGGCGCGGATCGAACGTCAGTATTGAATCTTAACCTTACTCTTTAGTAAACTTAAATTCAAAGTGTCATAACAATACGTGCAGTGTTCTCACTACAGTGAATTTTTAAGTGTCACCAAGTCATTAGAAAATGGAACTCAACCGAGAACATTTTACACCCTGTATTTATACGTACTATATACATATCTCTCATATCAAAGATTTCCCGGTACATTTGCCCTTATAACAGAGATATTTATAGACGCGTCACGCGGGACAACGCAATGCAACAACGACTTTCATACCCCGACCCTGTCTTGCGTCTGATAGCATCGCCGGCAGGGAATGTTATGGTACCATGGCTGCCGCCTATGTAACGTTTGACTCTTGTAGTCCAGAAGCATTTTCAGATTGTCCGTACTTGGGGTAATGAAGAAACTAGCGTTAGCGTTATAAAATGGAAGAGCATTATATACTGATTGTGTGTGGACCTGTTTGACTGATTTGGTCCATTTAATTTTTTTGTTAAGTAGTAGTTAGCTCAAAGGCACCAACATAATCTTTTATGAACCGATGACAGCGTTGTATGGAAAGAGCAGAGTCAACCTACTTGACGCCATTTTTTACGCGTATGTTCTTGAAAAAAGTATTTTTAAATTAATTACCCATTAAAAGTCAAAGCTAAATGTCTGAAGAAAAAGCACTGTAATTTTTTTATCTAATTGCTATGGAAACGAAATGTATCACTACTTCATGAAGTTGTTCTGTTCATTGAACTACATAATATATCCAGCACCACAGAATATTTTACTTATATCACAAGTACATGTTAAACTTACCGTTTATCTGATTTTTGCAGGAGTTCTTGATCCCGAGCCCCCTCTAAAAAAAAAAAACATAAATCCATATGGGATGTTTTTATTGATATGCAGGCTGAAATACTGTACAAATAGAATTACCTGCTCTCTCGCTTTTAGATGTTTGATTAATCGATACGGGTAAAGCCGAATATTTGAAATTATCATCACTTCTAATTCTTCTAAATGACGGTTTCGGTTTTGTCTGTCCATGGTCATTCTCGTCATCTGAGCTATCAATAATGCCATCTAATGAAAGGTATTGGCATTTTTTTATTTTTTCATTATCTGGAAAAACGTTGTATCAATACGAGATAACAACAATATACCCTGTATCCAAGATAATGGTCCTATGAATAAGTTTCTCAATACCTGTGGGAGGTTAAACTAGAAAAAAGCTGCGTTCTCTGGGGCGTACGAGGGATGTCTTTTAAGTTTTGCATACGGAAATAAAACAACACGGTAGGTAGTTTTAAATGACTTTATTGTTTTCGAAGTATTCTCCACGAAGATTAATACACATCTGCATGCGCTCGAACCAATTTTCGAAGCACTTATTCCACTCGTTTTGCTGGCAGATCCAAAACGGCATTTTTGAATGCGTCAACTGCTGTTTTTAATTTTCGGGAAAGTAAAGAAATCGTTAGGACTTAGATTGGGACTATATGGAGGATGGTCCAATAATTCCACGTTTTCTTCCGTTAAATACTGCCTTGTTTTTTGGGCTGTGTGCGAGCTTGCATTGTCCTGGTGGAGGATGATTCTTCTTTCGGAGTTGATTTTTAGACGCTCGGTGATGACCTTTGGCAAACAAATGGTGGTATACCAATCCACAGTAACAGTTATTTGCTCATTAAGAGGAATTGTTGCAATATGACCCGCTTTTGACACAAATGTCGCGACCATCTTTTTCGAAACACTTCGAGAACGGATGACTTTTGTTGGCTTTTCTTCACCTTGGAACACTCAAACAGCCGACTGTCGTTTATTTTCTGGTTCATAACAGTAAATCCACAATTCATCACCACTAACAATGCTCTACACATTTTTTGAGTTTCCGGAATTGAAACGGCCAAGCGTTTTTTGACACCAATTAACCATGGCTGCTTTCTGCTCTTCAGTCAACAGGTGCGGTATCTAACGGGAAACTAATTTTCTTACACCTAATTCTTCATGTAAAATTTTTTGAATTGAGGTCTTTGAGATCTTCAAGGACGCCTCAATCTCGCGATATGTCACATGTCTATCTTCAATGATAAGTTTGCGCACAGCATCGACGTTTTCCTGGGTGGCTGCCGTTTTTGGTGCACCCACCCTGGGATCGTCGCTAAGACTCACCCGTCCACGTTTGAATTCTCCATACCAACTTGAAATTGTCGACTGATGTGGCACTTCGTTACCGAAAACAGACAGTAACTCAACAAGGCATTCTTGTTGCGATAATTGTCTCTGAAAGTTGTAATTAATTATGGCGCGAACACTGCACGTATTGTTGTGAAACTTTGAATTTACGTTTACTAAAAAGTGAGGTTAAGATTCAGTACTGACGTTCGATCCGCGCGGCATACTATGTTTTTATATGCAAAACTTAAAAGACATCCCTCGTATTCAAATGCCGCTGAGAAACTTATAAAATGCGGCCAAACCGGTTTTATTTTTTCTGAAATATCAAAAAATTAATGAAACTTTTTCACTGGCACTTTTTAGGCACTACATGACGGTGTTTCAATGATGTATCACATGTTACATTTGTTTTTTTAGTTATAAAGAAACATGTGTTTTTTATTTTATTAAAAAGTAGGCGTTTCAAACAAATGCATTATGTAAGATTATGTGATTACTGATAGATAAAATTTAATCTACTGTTATTCAGAATAATGAATACATTGTTTTTATTTTATTCACAATAGGTGTTCAAATAGGTTGGTATTATTTTCTAAACATAAATATGACCTTCTAACAGTAGAATTCAAAACATCATGTAACATTTCTGGTGTAATAATACTAAATGCTTCCATTACACATTATCATAACTGCAGCTCAATTTCAAAGGTATGCAGATATTCTTGGTTTTTAATAAAACCCCAAACAAGTCCAGATCAGTTAAATTCGGGGAACGTGCTGGCCAGGACACTTTAATGAAGGTTGCAATCCACCTTCCGGGAATTTGCTGAGAAAGATACTCTCAAACTTGACTATAGTAATGTGCAGCAGCACCGTCTTGTCGAAACCAACAGCAATTAACCTGTGCCAAAGGTAAACTTTCCAGGCAGCCTTCTAGATCGTTTTGCAACAATTAAAGGTACCGTTCTGCAGATAATGAGTAAAATGGAGCTAATACTTTGGTCCCTACAATTTCGCACCACCTACTAAATCCAAAACGTTCTTTCAGCCCGTAGATTTTCTTGATCCCAGTAATGAGTGTTGCATCGATACCATTATTAGTGACCATATTCTCGTCGGACCATATTATTTTTGAAGGGAAACTAAACTCTCCTGCACACGTTTGTGAGTACCACTCACTCAAATGCTGGCGCCGTTTGCTATCCCTTGGTCTAAGTCCTTGGCAAATCCTGCATTTATGGGAATGATATCTATTTTTACGCAAAATAAATTGGGCCGTGGATTTGGCTACACCCACATTTTTCTCAATTTGCCTAGTTGATATCTCAGAGTTCTCAGCAACTGCTTGTAAAACAGTATTCTGAGTTTCCTCTAAAGGTACCCTTTTTCTAGACGTAATAGGCTTTTTCGAGCCAACTATATGGGTGATACAGAAAGGTAAAGTTGATGATAATTTCCCAAAAACGAACCGCCCGGTTAAAAAATTTAAAAACACCATCTTGTAGTGCCTAATAAATGCCAATGGAAAAGTTTTCAATCGTTTTTTGGTATTTCTTGAAATAAAAATGATTTGGCCAAACTTTGGTTTTTCCAAAATATCTCGGTAAGCTGTGGAATATTTACAAGTTTCTCAACGGCATGTAAATACACCCCAAAAAACACAACTGCATTATAATTTACCGTAAGCTGTATCTCCAACAGGTATTGAGATCCGCATGCATAAGATCCTTATCTCGGGCGCAATGTACGTATATTTCGTATAAGGATATGATCTTCCCATCACCAAGTAATTAAATGAGCAGGCAAATAATAAAACATGCTTATATTAATAATTACTCTCCCACACGTTTAAATAGACAATAAAATAGTTATACCATAATTCAATATACAAACCACGTAAGTCATACTAAATTATTTAGGTATAATATATACGAGGTTTGTTCAAAAAGTATACGATGTTCGATTTTCGATCTTTGCGTGGACGGGTTTTAGCTTGTCTCAGATTTTTGTCTACTCCAAAAAATGGATCAAAGAATTTGTATTAAATTTTGTGTAAAAAACAACTTGTAGTGCGCGGACATATTCCAAATGTTGACTGTTGCGTACGGCGAAGCTACTTTGGACAAAAGCAATGTTTATCGGTGGTACAAAAAGGTTCTGAGAGGGCCGAGAAGATGTGAGAGACGAAAAGCGTTCTGGACGCCCGAGCACGTCAACAACAGACGAATGGTCAATAAGGAATATTACCTTCAAGAAATGCGCACTTTGCGAGAAGCAATCCGCCAGAAACGCCCGGATTTGTGAAAGAACAAAAATTGGCTTTTGCACCATGATAACGCCCCTGCTCATGCATGGTTACTTGTGCCCGAATTTTTTGCCAATAACAACACTCCAATAATGCCTCACCCACCGTATTCCCCAGACCTGCCCCCCCCCCTGACTTTTTCTTGTTCCCGAAACTGTAGAGGCCCGTGAAAGGACGACGCTACGCCACCATTGAGGAGATAAAGACGGCATCGAAGGAGGAGCAGCTGAACAAGATCACAAAACAAGATTTTTCAAAATGCTTCGAGGATTGGAAAAAACGTTATCAGAAGTGTATAATGTCTGATGGGGATTACTTTGAAGGGGACAAAATAGATATTCATGAATAAATAAATAATTATTGAAAAAACATGAAATTCGCGATACTTTTTGAACAAACCTCGTATACGTCCGGATGTGGCCTGTTACACCAGAATTTTCCAAGTACAAGAATCAAGAACTTAATCTATTAATATATGTGTATCTAAAAGAATTCGGCATGATATACGTAATGCCAATTACATTTTCAAGGATTTGTCACATTTTGTCTTCTCAAACTAAAGCCTGCGGATATTCAAACGAGTCTCGATCTTGGAGTTTTACACACCTACGAGTACACGAATCTAACTTTTGACCAAAACGGTTTTTATACATGAGAACGTGTGAAAGAACATTTATATAAATGAAATGTTAATAAGACAACTGATGGCTACAAAAATAACTCAAAAATAATCCATATAAATAATAAAAAACAAAAAATATATTGAAACACGAAATAGCCAAAGGTAGATAAGATAAAAGGAGACGAGTCATCCATACGGATTCTTTATTATTCCCTCCTCAAACTCACCAACCAAATTCTCAATTCTATTAACGATTTTCACTTTTTTGGTGTATTTCTGACTCTCAGTATTTCTCATCAAGGTGTTGGCAACATTTTGTTCTAATTGATAATTTCCACAAGAGCTGCTACCAGCTATTTGTGCATTTGTTAAGTGCCTAATTCTACTCTTTTGTGAGACGTTTTTGATACATTGAGACTCGTTCGAGTTGTTCTCAATTTTACAAGTCTTGCACTTAATGTATTCATCGTCCTCGAGTTTCCTTTTTCTTTTAACATCATCAGAATGTTTACAACTAACTGGTTTAAATTCTTTTCCTTTAACACCATTGGATAGGTTGTAATAATCTGTGTTGTTATTTTCAACATGCTCATCACTCAGATACGAGTTTGAGTTATCAGTTTTGCTCGTCGATTCAGTACTCAATAATATTTCTGGTTCTTGATATCTCTTTCGCTTAACAGAGCTGGAAAGTTTATGGCAAAATGGCTTGTCATCAATACCTGTTGCGTTAATTTCTAACTTTTTTCGACTCACTTTCATGTTGCACATCGGCGGGCTGTCGATTGATTCGTCATTTTTCCTTTTGACACCTTTAAAATGTTTGCAAGAAACTGTGTCGTTATTTTTAACGTGCCCATTTTTAAATCCTAAACTGAAATTAGTCTTCATCATACGCATCAAATTGCAATCCACTGCATTTTTTCGCTTTTGATATCTCGTCTCAGTGTTTATAGCAGGTCTGCAAGCCACCAGGTTGTTATTTTCAACTAATCTAGTTTCAAGTTCAGAATTTGGGTTATTCATTGCACTAGCAAAATTGTTACCAACAGACTTTTCGTCTTGTTGTTCGAAGTTAATAACAGTTCCACAAAGTATGTTGTTATTATTAACATGTGAGTCATATTTTGCTCCAGTAAGATAATTTTCCGAACTGGTCTGAACAATAGGAAAGTATCTACCGTCATTGTAACTATAATGGAATAGTTGCTTAGTAGGATATTCAACAACCAAGCGCAACGTTGGTTCTATATAATTCGATATTCCTGCTGCCATATACTGTATGGCATTTACAGTGGAAATGCGAATCGGTTTATCCTGTTGATACCTGGTACCTAAAATTGTTTGAGGATGTTTTATTGCCATATAAAGTTATTACCGGAACATAAAACTGTTAACGGTGCACCATAAGGAACATCATAGCCTAGAAAATCACGATCATAACAAATAAGTGCATTTAAAACCTATTAATTGGAACTGGGGCATGCTATTTTTGAAATGTAGCAAAAACTAAATCATACGAATTATTCAAAGAATCAAGCGCATCATGCTACAGGTTAAATAGCTGTAGTATACAAGTAACAGTAGGAGCTCGGTATTAATATTATAAGACAAAAATTGGATCAGTAACTTCAATCCATTTCAAAGGTGGCGTGTATGTAATAAACCTTCGCCAGTTCAACTTCTGTCACAACTCCTAGACAATGAAGAGAATGCTTAGGAGGTCAAATATAGTTGGTCCCACTGACAACACAGCGTTACAGTAACGATCAGTTTGAGCAGTTTTCAAAAGCCATCTAACCAATGAACGGTATTCTGCTACGCGTGACTGGGCTTGTCAATTGTCAGACTTCTGATCTAAAGTTAAAAAATTATTAAAGACTTGGTATTTAGCACGGAATGAACCTGTGCTAATTCAGTGACTAAATAGAGGTTGTTTTTTACTCGTTAGTTATACACCTAGTTTCATTCCTTCCTCCTATTTTCTCCTAATTATGAAATTGTGTATTATAATTTTCTATACAGCTTCATTTTAATAAGGCATCTACACCATTTCAAGCCAAGCAAAGCAAACACAGAGCACTGAACCCCTTAATAGCCGAAGAGTAATGATGTCTAGGCAACTCGTACAGCTACAGAACGAGTCCACATGAAGTGGACAACAGCTAGTTCCAAATTGACATCTTGTAGAAAAACCTACATAATGTCACAAAAAATATATATAGGGTGTAAACGTTATGATAGTCATTATTTAAACAGGTGATAGAGGGGGTTAAAAGAAGCAAAAAGTTTCATATAACATGGGGGTCCAAACGGCTTTTTTTTAGAGAAAAGCGAATTTAAAGTAAAATAAAATCTGACAACGCCGCAATGCCAGACGCAAATTACGAAGGAACACAGTGTAAATAAAGATAGAGTTTATTATTTTTGGTTCTTAGGTATAATTTCATTATTTGATAATGTACTCGTAAAATGCAAACAATTAATAAAAACTTACTTACCACTAACTGTCTCAGCGCTTCACCTGGTGTGTGAAAGTTTATTGAACGTATTGAAAAAATCCACTTATAAATTGGGAACACAATTTTGATACATACATTGTTTTTCTTTTTAAAACCACAGTGCACTTTTTTTGTATTTAAAGAAGATGTTCACAATGTCGTCCTCCACTTTCCTAACAAGCTTCATTACGACGAACCCAGTTTCTTCTTACTCTAAGTCCTCGAAGTTGTCCATTTATTATTTCAGCCGCACTAATTTTTTTTTCCGAATATGTGCTTCAGTTGTTATTGGACCAGCCCCATAAACTATCCCTTTAAGTTCTCCACAATACCAGAAATCCGTCGTATTGAGGTCAGGAGATCTTGCTGGCCATTTTCGAGGATCAGCAGCATTTCGACCGATCCAGCGATTTGGATAATGTTCATTCAAATACTGAATGACGTCCCTAAAAATGTGTGCTGGTGCCCCGTCATGAAGAAACCTCAAATTCTGTCTCCGTTGTAATGGCATGTCGTCTAAGGTCTGTTTCAAAAGTTCTGGTAGGTTATTGGCTAGAAACCTAAGGTATCCATCTCCTGACAACTTTGGGGGTAACAAATATTTATTTTAAAACGTTCTTCGAAATGATATTCAAGAATGGTATGAGGATTTTCTTGGGCCCACGTGTGAGTATTATGGAAATTTAATATCTCGTCTCGCGTAAAAGTACATTCGTCCGTCGCTAGAATGTTTTTCTGCGAGGAGAGTCTTCTGATAACAAGGCTTGCACTCGTTGTACATGGTAGGGATAAAGCAAATTTTCCCGTAGGATTCTATGGACTATGGTATGCAATAGTCCTACGCGGCGGCCTAATTCCCGAGTGCTGATATCTGCATTGATTTCCACGATATTTAAAATATGTTCCTCCTGCTCTACAGTAACCTGTCTTTCACGAGTGCGAATATTAGTGGGCTGAAGACTTCCTGTATCTCGAAGTCTTTGGTACACTTGCACAAATGTCCTTCTGTCTGGGTGTACCCGTTGGCGAAATCTGTCGCGATAAATTTGAGCTGCAAGATTTGAATTCTGACGAGCTTCACCGTAAACTAACAACATATCGGAGAACTCTTGATGCGAGAACATAGTAAATAAACACGACGACGTACGCGAACAATAACCAACCACTGTTACAGTTTGCGATCGATTGCCGGTTCGATAAGAATGGTGAATGACCGATGCGCTGTTGTCAGGTGTGTTTTAAATATTTAATTTAATGAAACTTAATAACTGACTACAAATTTTGGCTTAGAAAAATTAATGCCATTAATTTGTTAACTACCCGATTTAAAAACGTTTTAGATTAGATTATAAAAATTAGTAAGATTGTGCTCGATATAAAGCACTTAAAATTGTAAACTATAAAGCCATTTAGACAAAAATCTATTGAGTTTTGGACCATGGGTCATATGAATTTTTTGACTTGTTTTGACCCCCCTATTACCTATTTCAATAATGACTACCATAACGTTTACACCCTGTATAATGTAGTAGTGAGTATCGCTACAGTAATCCTATGTTGTGATGAACGGCACTCCATTATGTCAGTGGAAAGAAGTATAGCTATGTGGTGAGTAAGTGCAACAAAGTGACAGATAACACACATATGAACGAAGTCTTGAGAACTACTAGAGTCTATAGAAGTTTCAAAGGTTAGTTACGAGGGATGTCTTTTAAGTTTTGCATATAGAAACATAGTAGGCCGCGCGGATCGAACGTCAGTACCGAATCTTAACCTTACTTTTTAGTAAACATAAATTCAAAGTTTCATAACAATACGTGCAGTGTTCTCACTACAGTGAATTTTTAAGTGTCACCAAGTCATTAGAAAAATGGAACTCGACCGAGAACATTTTCTTGCCATAATTTATTACAACTTTCACAGACAATTATCGCAACAAGAATGCCTTGCTGAGTTACTGTCTGTTTTCGGCAACGAAGCGCCACATCAGTCGACAATTTCAAGTTGGTATGGAGAATTCAAACGTGGACGGGTGAGCCTTAGCGACGATCCCACGGTGGGTGCACCAAAAACGGCAGTCACCCAGGAAAACGTCGATGCTGTGCGCAAACTCATCATTGAAGATAGACATGTGACATATCGCGAGATTGAGGCATCCTTGAAGATCTCAAAGAACTCAATTTAAAAAATTTTACATGAAGAATTAGGACTAAGAAATTTAGTTTCTCGTTGGATACCTCACCTGACTGAAGAGCAGAAAGCAGCCAGGGTTAATTGGTGTCAAAAAACGCTTGACCGTTTCAATTCCGGAAACTCAAAAAATGTGTACAGTATTGTTAGTAGTGATGAATAGTGGATTTACTGTTATGAACCAGAAAATAAACGACAGTCGGCTGTTTGGGTATTCCAATGTGAAGAAAAGCCAAGAAGAGTCATCCGTTCTCGAAGTGTTTCGAAAAAGATAGTCGCGACATTTGTGTCAAAAGCGGATCATATTGCAACAATTCCTCTTAATGAGCAAAGAACTGTTACTGCGAATTGGTATACCACCATTTGTTTGCCAAAAGTCATCACCGAGCTTCGAAAAATCAACCCCGAAAGAAGAATCATCCTCCACCAAGACAATGCAAGCTCGCACACAGCCCAAAAAACAAGGCAGTATTTAACGGAAGAGAACGTGGAATTATTGGACCATCCTCCATATAGTCCCGTTGTAAGTCCTTACGATATCTTTACTTTCCAGAAAATTAAAAATAGAATGCGTGGTCAAAGGTTCCAGTCACCAGAAGACGCAGTTGACGCATTCAAAAATGCCGTTTTGGATCTGCAGCAAACGAGTGGAATAAGTGTTTCGAAAATTGGTTCGAGCGCATGCAGATGTATATTAATCTTCGTGGAGAATACTTCGAAAACAATAAAGTCATTTAAAACTACCTACCGTGTTGTTTTATTTCCATACGCAAAACTTAAAAGACATCCCTCGTAGTTAGCTTGTTAGTTCCGAATGTCGCATTGAAACTCCTAAAATAGCACAGGAGGAAGTGCAATGGCCACAAATTCGCAAACATAGCACTAGGCTCTGTATTTGAATGCATTTAAAATCACAAAGCTATATTTATGGTCTTAAGCTTCAATATCTTCAACCTTATTCGATGATTATCACCAAAGTGTTGTTACTCAATCTTTCTAAGAATAACCAAGAATGGAACATTAATTATTACAAGTCGATCTTTAATAAAGAACAAATGAGACATAATTATGTACTTACTTGGGACCACTTTGAATTTTGGCTGACAACCGCTGGACACCAACGAAGCTATAGCCCTATCCTTCCTATGGATTTTTGTCATCAACATCCTTATATGATTTCGTCGATTAATTCTTTTCACTTGGTTTTCAAAACTTCTGACTTCTATTTCTGTAGGTGTCAGATCAAATGTTACAGGCGTCCGTCTCCCTTTCTTTTTTGATTTTTCCGCTAGATTACGATTCAAGTCCAAATTTATGATTTGATTCTTCCTAATACTTGTACTATCTGATATATCATTATGAGGATTCAGTATTTCTTTATCTTCATTAAAACTTGGTATTTTTGTCTGCAGATGAGTTTCTTCGTCGAGTTTAAACTCAAGATGTGATGGTTTCGGTCCAGTCCTTTTATCTTTAGGATCTTCAAATTTACAGTTCTCATCTAAAAGTGGCATACTCTTGTTAGCACATCTACAGTCTATCAATTTAATGTACATAGCTTTAGGGACGAAATTTCTTTTGGTACAGACGCGTCTTCTATGTGTATCCTTTCTTCTTTTAGAATCTTTCTGGACAGTTCCAATATTTTCTTTAGGAAACGGCAAGATGCTTTCTGTAGGAACCTCCTTAAAAATTGAAGTAAGTAAATGCCTGGACTCTAGTCAAGCGAGTAAAAATTAAAAAAAAAATGGTCAGATTGACTCTGCAATGCCGTCATCAGTTCGTAAAGCACAAGTTAAACTCTCTGAAAAAATGAGTTATGATGATGTACAATGGAAGAATTAAACAGATCAAGTCAGTCAAATAGGCCCATACAATTCGTCCATAGACATTCTTTCCCTGCCCTTTCGCTGGTTAAGGTCAATTTGACAACGTCGCCCCTTCCCGTATCGTCAGATACGGCAGCACCCACCGAAGCACCGCCGCAATACGAACAGAACAATCCAGCAGATTGTTACCACTGACTGGGGGTCTAGATGGCAGAAGGAAACACGTCTCGAAAACATGTCTCTATCATTTTATGTTTTAAAGACAAATGTACGAGGAAACCTTTGCTCTGAGAGACATGGCTAACACACGCGTGGAATTAATGCAGGCTCTCTTGCAGTGAGCCTCCACCAAGGAGACTTGAGTATGCATCAGCAAGTCATGCCTGTCTGTCTCATTGTCTTTTGTAGATTACGATGGACTGTGAGATGGTGATGAAGTGGTTCTGTTTACATAAGGTAATTTTGATAAATCCCTCAGAATCAGTCTTGAGCGCTATCGGGCAGCAATGTACCATCATCCTAGAGACCTCTCAGCGTATAGTAATATGCGATGGACGATCCGCCGGGTTGATGGAGTTGGCGGATTGACTATCCATAGCTAGTGATGGATGGCAAGCTATATGACCTGAAGGGTTATGAAATTCGAACTCCTGCAGATTCTCGTTTGCCTTTTGTCGACGGTTGTTCATCTGGGACCGGTATACCTGGTCCAGATGATGGTGTCCATACAGCATTTCCAAGCGCTTGACTAGCTGCTCGTAGTCGTCCATGTCCTCCACTGATATCATCTGAAGAATATCTAGGGGGCGTCCCCTCTGCTGGACTGACCATTGCCTAGAGCTGCTGCCGCGAACTGCTTCAAATGTTGGAGGTTTCAGCTTGGCTGTAGAAGGTAGAGGCTTTTCTTGCTTTACGGGACGCTCCACATCGGCTATCACTTCTTGACTGATGACTCGATGGATCTGCTCTTCAAGTCTTCGCAGCTGCGCGTCTCTCGCTTGAAGCTTTTCCACCGTCGGATAACTCGATGGCAAATTCATCCCTGTGAGCACGATGATGTGGCCCATCTTTTCCGAGAGGGCCTGGTTTTCTTCATGAAGGCGGCTTGTCTCATTCAGTTCTTTGAAAGGACCTAGTTCTCTTCCTTCAGCAACTGCGACAGGCCCTGGTTCTCCTGCCTCGGCGCCTGCATCAGGGACTAGTTCTCTTCCCGGAGGGCGCAGCTGGTGTCAAGTTTCTGGGTAATAGTCTGGTTCTCCTCCGTCAGCGTAAACAAAAGCAGCGTCGCGTCGACGGATCCTGGAACCTCGAATTGGAAGGTCTCTGGATGTCCCCCCGACTCCAGAAGACGGACCAACAGCGTCGCATTCAATCCCGTAGTCCCGAGATCAGCCCCCTCTAGCTCCCTGTTCAGGTCCACCATTTTCAGAATGCACAGCTTTTTCACAAACATTATTGACTGTCACATGCAAATAAACGTTAAAGGTCACGCAAAACAGTCAGTCACTTCCGATACGCGAACAGTTCAGTCTCTAAAACGGTCAAAGCCACTCCCGACACACTCACTTAAACGATTAAAATCACTCCCAATGCGCACACGTACATTCACTAAACCGTACGCCTGACAATACTGCGAGGAAAACACAATTAAACAGTTCACAATTGTTCATAAAAGATAATGTTCGACACAAACGGCAAACGAATTGAATGATCAAGTCAATCAGATTCGCCCATTCAATTAGTCCCCAGTACGAACCCAATGTTGCGATCTAGAAATTTGTTTCAAGCCCTACCAACCATCCGAACACGTGGCCATCACAGTTAAAATGAGTAAACCGCCAGCGACAGGTTTTTGTTTCAAATTTTGTTGCGTTCATCTGGGTATCGGAAATATGCTAAGCCTCAAGGGCAGTTATAGGGAAATCTACGCATGAAATATGTAGATACAATTACCGGAGTTGGAAGCGTATAAATATCTTAACGCCAAAAACTGAGATATACCCTTACCCACCTCCTGGAAGACCAAATTTTTACCCTTCGGAAAGGTTTCCAAAAATGAGGAGTATCTGAAACATCATGAAGCGAAGTTTGAGCATTTTTTGTCCGTAGCTCCACCGCCGATGGATTGATTATCAAAGACTACAAAGCTGTTTCTTCCATCAAAATCCGAGTGGCACTTCCCAAGAAAGACCGATAGACCGACCGAAATGAGTTACATGGTTTCTCGTGATGAACATATGTAATATCCGAAAAAACAATATCCCATTTTCGAAATAAAGGCATATGCTTTTCGGAACAATTATTTCCTGTTATCAAAAAGAGAGGTCTGAAAGATCTTTGCACTTTTCAGAGCATCGCTAGTTTTTCTCCAGACTTCTCTTTGCCAACATGGCATCACAAATGATTAAAATGTCAAAAATACCTGAAAACCAAAGGTTTCCTCATCACTATCTAAGCACTGTCCATCTAACTGGGGTATTAATGTTGTGTCCAAATCCATATTTTCTGTATCATCATCACTGAAAACATAGTGACTTGGCGAATTTGTTGGTGTGATAACTGATTCCAAAGGTAAGGTCATATCAACCTCTTTTTCATCATCATATTCTTCCTCCTGCATGACTTGAGATAGAATGCAGTCATCCTCTTTTCCTTCCTCTACACTTCTCTCTGTAGTACAAAAAGGGTTTTAGTTTTAGTTGGATAATGCCTAGATGCCTCTGGAGCTTCATTCGAAGACGTCAGACGCTTTGAAATTGTAGCCTATCGCGACTCTTAACATAAAAAATTAAAACAGTTATAGGTTAATATAACAAAACTCAATCATTTCACATTAAAAATGAAGGCATATCTATTTGCTTCTTTTAATGTACGAATTTTGTCTTAGATCTAAATGTTGATTTAGCAACGTACCCAGTTGTTTCAGAACCTTTAACATTTCTAACGCATCATCATCCATGGTAATATCATACTGACTTGCTTGCAAAGTATCATTGATGCTGCTATCATTTAGGGACGATGTACCTGTGCTTAGAGGTAAGTCTGAATCTATCATTGACGATTGTTGGATGTTAGCGCCATCTGGTGTTTCGACTGGATAAACTGGAAAGCACATCAAATGAATTAAGCTATACACTGATGGTGATGGTGCTGGCACCTGACGAGTGGTAAAACTAAGTAGTACTTGTTATTTTTGCACGTCAGCGTCACATAAAAAAATGTGGCGTCAAGTAGGTTGACTCTGCACGTCTCATGCAACACTGTCATCAGCTCATAAAGGATTATTTTCAGCATAATTTACCCCTCTAAAAAAATTAACTACCAACATGTATGTCAAAGGTATTAAATGAACCAAAATATTTAAATAGGCCCATAGAATTAGTCGTTAGAGCACATTTGGCAACATTGCGATGACTAAACCTCAGCAGCAGCCAGCACGCGATAAGTCCTTTTTCTATCTTCGTTGCTCTTACTGGTGGATATCACCGAAACACAACGTCGACTCAACGCGGGTATTGAGGAAAAATGTGCGGGGAAATCTATGTGTGAAATATGCCTAATAGTTACATAAGTGGAGTTACCGGAGTTAGAACCGTATCAATATAGTAACGCCAAACAATTGAAATATACCCTCCCTTACTCCCTGAAATCCTCCTGTCATCCCCACTTTTCTACCACTCAAAGATTTTCTATAAATGTGCAGGAATCTCTGAAACGTCATAAAAACGAAGTATCAGAAGATTTTTACTTTTTCCATTTTTCCCTGAAGGAACTGTATGAAAAATGGCATCAAGTAAGTTGACTCTGTACTTCCCTCTCTACGCTGTCATCAGTTCGTAAAGGATTATGGTTGACACAAGTTAGCCCTTCTTAAAAAAAATTTACCCACGAACATATGTAACATAAAATTAAATGACCTTCCTCCTCCCCCTGAGAAGAATTGTTGCAGTTGCACATGATCATTGCGATGACCAACCCCGCGATATTGGCCTTCACCATTCACAGTTCACGCAACCAAAGTAGTGTGGAAGCGATTGCCGACTGTACCGTACGACCACCGACGACGACGGAGTGGTATTTCTCAAGTTATAGGCGCTTATAAGGTTAGTGGACAGGCAGATAAACCGACGGAAAATAGCGACATGGTTTTTCGTGATGTACATGTCATGTAACATAATATCCCGTTTTCGAACATTTGGCGATTATAATACAGTAGACATGGGAAGTAAAAATGTCCATATTAGATAAATAACGTAAAATATTTGTGCTGTTAAATTAGTCCTTGTCAAATATTTGTATGATCATTCAGGTCTAAAAACAATATTTAAATAGAAATATTTATCAACAAATGCATAAGCAGCTGAAAATTAATACATGCATACCGAAACATTAGTTTAATAAATGTCTCATCATACTTTTCACAGGATGCTTTGCAGTATTCAGTGCGAAGTCAACATACTTGACCCCTCCAAAGGTAAGGGTCGAATTTGAAACATCCGGTATTACATCTCATTTTCAAAATCTTTACGATCATAATATTTCCTCTCTGGTAGACATGGAAAGTAAAAACAAAGTCACTACGTTTTTGATGCTTGGTCCAAGAAACTTGCTCAAAGAATCTATGAAAAACAAAAATGTTGCCTTGAGACTTATCACTCAGTACGATAACTAGTATCATAATGTGAAATATAGGTACGTATGTTTATTTAGATTATACAATTACCAGTATCATTTCCGCCTACTTCCTCTTTATCAACCCCTGTAACCCAAACGCATAGCCTTTCCAGCAACACATCCTTGAATGCACTGTGACTAGCGGTAGGCGGAACACATCGACTAGTCTCTAGGAATGCCCCCAGTTGTGATTGGCCACCATGGTCCCGCCTTCGCTGCCGTTCGTCCGCCCATAGAGCAGCGATGCCGGGATTGGCTGTCACTTTCCCGGCGCATGCCTCTTCTCTGTTGAGGATATGACGCGAATAGGCGTCCGCCTCTAGTTCGCATGACGTTGTACGTTGGACGGTGTTCCCTTAAAAATGAAGTCAGAGTTTGTGGTGAAAGTTGTCGAAAGGAACAAAATTACAGTGTTTAGTCTAGTCTGGTAACAAATATGTTTAGATACATTATACGAAGCTCGGATATATTATACGGACACTAAAGCTGGCAACGGATGGTGAGCGATAATATAATATATATTATATCCTGCATATTACAGAAAGATGCTCCATGTGTAAACCTATTGAGACGCCACGCACGGACGCTATAAGATATATTTACATCCCAGCGATATATTACGTATTTGTCGGGATATGCTTATCGAGCGATATTCTGCACTATATCGCGCTATATCTATTCTCCTCTTGCGTCGCGTCACCCGTAAATGCCCACGAACCGCTCTTGCTGGCAGCCGGCTTGGCGCGATGTTGCTATTTTATTATTTGTTCTTGCACTTCGGAATTCGCAATAGACAAAATGAAGTATTTTATTGAAAGTGTAAGAAAACATTCATGTTTATGGAAGGTAGACTCGAACGAGTATGAAAATAATGAGATTAAAGAAGCAGCTTGGAGAAGTATCATCACTGATTGCGATATATCCGTTGGTATGAACTTGTTCATATTCATTTTTATATACAGGGTGTCCGCAAAGTTGGGGTTTTCCTTTTCAGAAACAACTACCCTTGAAATAACAAAGGTAATGTGTAGTGAAACGAGGGCGACCAAGTAAAAAAAAATAAAGGAAAAAGTACTCACTCTCCAGTTGACGAGAAGGGCTAAGTACGTCTCTGCCTGAAATCGAAAGTTATTCACCCCATTACGCGTAAACGTAGATTCGTCTGTCACCAATATGCACTTCAAAAAGTCCGGATTATTGTCATGTTGATGCAACAACCACTCACAAAACCGCACTCTTGCTGGAAAATCGTCAGGTTGAAGGGCTTGTACACGTTGGACGTTTGCCACACTTTAGTTTTTGATACTTGCACTTCTCTAGCCACGTCTCTAGTGCTTGTTGAGGGATTCTCGTCTACGCGATTCAGTAGTTCTTCCTCAACTTGCACCATTCGTGGTTGTCTAGGCCTCCCACTGTGCCCACCTCGAAATTCCTCCAAATGGCTCGTATGCCTGACTCTCTGGACCAGGTACACAAATCTGCGGGGCCTTGGATGATGTCGTCTAGGGAAATGATCTGCATACACTCGCGACGATTCTGTATCATTTTGAAGACATTCGCCATGAATTAACAACATATCAACGAGTTAATCATTGGTGTATGAGTGTGCCATTATTATTTTTTTTTGAAACGCAATCGATTATACGGGTTCGTTACCTCTATACGCGTGACCCTTTACCGTCGGTTGAAGGTTGCATACTGACCTGACACACTGACCCCGACCCCCGACCCAGTTCTGTCGTCGGGTTCAGCTAGTAGCCGGTACCAGTGTGGGACATCGCGGCTACAGGACGGTATTAAGATATTTTTGATGTTGCAGAGCCCTTTATCTCGGTTCCCTTAAGACATTGGTGTATATGGTACTAAGAAAAATTGCTTATGTTTTCAAGATCTACACGTCGTGTAAAGGAAATCCCCAACTTTGCGGACACCCTGTACATAGGTAGTTTGAAAGCTAATAGTAAGAAAACCCAAGGCGAGATTTTGAGATTTACTCAAGCGCGGCAGATTAACATATGGGGGATATCTTGTTAATTAAATACACTGTGTACAGCACAGATAAGCAGATCAGCCTATGCACTGAAATGCTGAAAAATCGGTAGGTTCGGCAACACTGCTAGAAAGATATGAAAATATATATTCTATATCACCCACAGGTATTGAGATCGTTATGAATAGGATCCTTATTTTGGAGACCCTGTATACAGTGAAATGACTGACCATTCAGTCGATGCAACATTGATCGCATTACTATTTGGAGCCGGTCTTGACGATTTTTATGGAAATGGAGCATTTGAAACATGGTGCAGTGACGTCAAGCCATCCAAAGTGACAGTGAGTGTTGTCCTTTACAGCGCGTTTAACAGTCGGAGAACGCGAACACGATTTTCGTCCTGTAAATTTGCACTACAGGAATGCTATTCACCAGATAGACCACCGTCAACGCGGCATGTTTTACCATTAGTTTGGAAAAATCAGCTTAGTCTGCAAATGTCAAATGCACCACGGACATGGCAAGTTAAGTGGTGAGGCTACCTCATCATTGGGTATTATGAATCCCGCGATTCAAGTTTTGTTTGTCCAATTGAGATTGAAAAACGTTCAGCACCTTACCTGGTTGGCCTCTAAAGCTGACTTCTGATAAACTGATGTTATTCATACCATGGAGATTGTAATCTATCATGAACTGAAGAGTGAAATTTAAATGTGTCTCATGGGGCTGATAAATCTTTCCAAGAGTAGTCTCATTGAACATCAAAGAACTTACTTTATTTATCAATACTGGGTTATACAGATAAATTTTAAAAAACTGGTGCTTCTTCCTATGGTAGCCATACATTGGTCTGAAAATAATATTTATTAAGAGATGTTTAATATGAATAACACTATTTAAGGGCAAAAAATATATACTCCAGGGCATTCTAGCAGATCTTAGTTCTGAACCAATAATGTCACTCTACATTTGTTTGTATGAGCATACAAAAAACTAGAACAAAACTCTATCTAAATAGTTTTGATATAAACTGATCACATTCAATATACATTTTCTTTTACTAAAAACTGACATATGACTTTACAACAATAGATCACTGAGATTATTTACACCTATTCATCCTATTGCCAATTATTTGTTTATTCTGTATTGTGGGTATTAGGCTTTTATGATCTAGTTGAAATATACCAATATGGCAGTATTCTATTCTAATTTGATTGTCAAAGTGACTTATGTACAGTAATGGACAAAAGTATATAGACAAATATGAATGTTTACCTAAATACCTTTAGAAAACGAATTCATACTTCATTGCTCCATAAACAAATGCGTTATTAGTAGAAAAACTAAATTCCTTGTTTTTACATTATCTGCAATGAACACAATACAAGTCTGAATATAAGCACTTTTTTATGAGGGACAAAAATATGTACCTAGACAAATTCTTTTCAACATTAGTTTAGTACAGTTTCGTGTCAGAAGAGGATTAGTTTGTGTTCATCAAATATTGTGGAATAAGTTGAGTGATTTTAAGACCACGCCATGTGGTCCAGAAATTTATTTCGATGTGAAAACTAAGGTCATTGAGTTATACAAAGATGGTCAACGTCAAGTCGACATTGCCAAAAATTTGAAGCTGAAGCGTAAAGCAGTTTGGGCAATATTGAACAAATATAAACAAAAAGGTATCTTGGAAGCCTCTAAGAGAAGTGGCCGGCGTAGAAAACTAAATGCTAGATCAATTAGGTTAATAAAAGTAATTTCGTCCAAACATCCGTTTAAAACCCCCAGACAAATAAAAGCCGAAATCGAGACAAAAGGAATTGTCAGTGTTTCTACGGAAACTATAAGTAAAAGATTAAATGATCTGAAGTTATTTGCACGTCGCCCGAGTAAGAAGCCGCTAATCTCGAGGAAAAACCGTAAGGACCGATTACAATTTGCACGGTTGCATCTTGATTGGAGCATCTGTGACTGGAGTGGGGTATGCGTCAGTGACGAATCCAAGTTCAATATGTTTGGATCAGATGATGTTCATTACGTTAGACGTCCTAGTGAACAAATATTGAACCCCAAGTACACTTTGCCCACTGTCAAACATGGAGGCGGGTCTGTTATGGTTTGGGATGGGACCTTTACATAGAATAGATGGCATTATGGATAAGTTTGTATACACAGACATACTAAAGCATGTCATGTTACCGTATATGGAAGACAATATGCCCTTAAGATCAGTCTTCCAGCAAGATAATGACCCGAAGCACACTTCAAATCTCGCAAAGAAATTCTTTCCGGATGAAAAAATACCTGTTCTCAAATGGCCCACCCAGTCTGCCGATATAAACCCCATTGAAAATCTATTGGAATACTTATATAAGCAAATGCGAGATAAAAATTATTCAAACAAGGATGAACTTTTTGCCGCTTTAGAGCAAAAGTGGAGACAGATTGATGAATCTTATATCAAGAAACTTCTAAAATCTATGCCGAGACGATGCCAGGTGGTGATTGATAATAATGGTTATGCTACAAAATATTAACACAAACATGGTTGGTTTTCTATAATTCAATGAACTTTGCTTCTTTTTTCTATAATTGTTTTGCTTTGTCTAGATATTTTTGTCCTTCATAGTTCCAGTTTTTTCAATTAATTTTTTATTGAAGTGAGTCTAGTGAATTTATGTATAAGTGAGTATTATGCTATAAGGAATTGTGTATACAGGTTGGTGTATTAATAAAACAAGTTAAAAAAGAAATACAGCACAATATTAATTTGTCTATATACTTTTGTCCATTACTGTATGTCTACTTAAGTAGGGGTTTAATATCACTGCTTATACCAGGAAAGTATTGGACCTGAAATCTTACAGCAGTTGCTTCCCACCTTTTTACTATAAATGTTTATTCTTGTAACACCTGTAGTTTGACTACTGATTACTAAACAAACAGATGTTACTGTAACATCAATCTCATTCTGCTAAGAGCTGAGCTCATCCTGAATATCAGTAGCTATGGGGGAGCTATCAGTTTGACTGCCAGATTTGAATGTTAAATGCTGCAAACTGTTAAAGCATTCCATATTCAGTATAATAGCAGTGCACTTGCTTTACTTTGAACACACTCATCGTCATTTAATTAGTTGGTAGTAAAAACATTTCTTACATTCCAGCTACCAATGAAACTTTATACACATGTTGAATAGTAGAAGATGACTGATTAAAAGACAAATTTAGAGCTTTATCAATGGAAGTTGCTATTCTGTACATTAAACTGTTCGGCTCCTCGGTGCCATCATAAGGTATGTAGAAGTACGGAAATACACCATGTACATGCAGGCAAATCTTTTCACCTGAAACGAAACAAGTCGTAAAAAGGCATTGAAACATATCACAAACCCACCTGTTGATTTTGAACCAAATATACGGATTATAGGTACTTGACTCACTGGTGCTGCTCTGAATTCTGAATATGTAGCATCCAAGCCAGAAATTGGAGCTGACATGCAATAATCTATAGTAATAATTCTTATAGAAATTGTAGTATCCATTTTTAGCAGACCAAAGTTGAAGGTGGTTTATGTTTTCTATAAAGCACACAGCTCTGAAATATTTTTTGGATACAACAAATCGGTTTTATAAATAATACAAATACAAACAATATATTTCAGTTATGTGCTTTACGTTTTCAAAATACAATACACAGAAGCACAAAACATATACATGAAAAATGAGAAGTTGAGAAGGCAATCAACTGTACAGTCAGATGGCAGAACGCTAAATTAGTAAATTATGTGCACAATCCAATGTTGCCAGGTGGAGTCGAAGATATTTCGGTAGAATTGTATGGAATTTTTCGGTAGTTTTTCGGTAGATTGAATACCGAAGAGTAAATGAAGGCATTTACTTAAAACAATTTTATTGAACTCAAAATATACTCTAAAGCAGAAAGACGAAACAAAAATAAACAGTTTGTATCTCACTTTAGCTAACTAATAATAAAATATTCTTAATAGAAAACAGAAAAAGTGTATAAAATAAAAAATTTGTAAGCTATACTGGATAATCATTCTTCCGATTAATTTTTGTATAAGTTTTTATCAGTCATATTATCTACTACTTTTGCTTTGCCATACGGTCCATCAGCAGGAATGGCAATTTATGCTCGGCCAAAAATGCGCTCAAACGAATTTCTCCTGGAAATAATAAAATAATCTATATAATCTCAAATCTTCTCAAATAGGTTAATCAATTTTGCCTTCTTTAATATCATTTTCTAATTTCTTTAATGCACCTGCAACTGCAAATGACGACAGTTTTGGCTGTTTTGCTATGGTTTGTACTTTGTTATGAAATTGCCCATTTGCGTGTATCATAAGTGCATCTCTTCCAATTTTGATATTAATATCTTTATCATAGACTATGCATTTCGCATACATAATCGCGCCCTTTAATGCTTTTTTAAACCAGCCTTGGAAATCTGGCAATTCTTCCCAGACTTCCTTGTAATTTTGGGCACACGCACGTGAAAAAAAATTACTGCAAGACTAATACTGGCCGAGTTCGGAGTTACTAAGTACATTAAATACATTAAATCATACAAATCGTACAATACAGGCATGGACTTGTTACGAGTCGCTAGGCCTAGGCGATGTTGCCAAATCATCGAGTATCTTTGGTGATTCCCCAGATGCGAAGAATCAACGAATGTGGCACACCAATGTCAGGCAAATAGAATAAAAATATATCTGGACTAGTACGAATAATAATAGTACTTTTGTCATTCTTTTTATCGCTATGCATCAGAAATATTTCTCTTATATAGAGAACAAAAATTGTTCAATTGAAAGAAAAGGCCACTTTTCGGTAGATTTTGCTTTAAAATCGGTAGTTCGGTAGTCCAGGACCAAAATCGGTAGATCTACCGAAAAATCGGTAGACGAACACTGGCACAATCTGTAGTGTCAAGGTCAATTGTGTCAAAGTCAAATGTCCATGTCATGCAATGGCATGGCAAATTGTCAAAACAATTTTCTGATTTTCTTGTTACTTGTTTGTCGTTTTCCGCACTACTCCCTTTTCATCAGTCAAAATCGTATGTTAATGCGGAGTAGTGAAAATGTCTGCAGCCAGCAAAAAGATTGAAGAGGGTTTAGAGCACATCAGAAATGCAGAAAAAAGGTAAACAAATTTAATTTCCAAGACAATATAATACATATTTCATTACTCCAGCTTGAAGACTTCTTTGCTCAAGTGGCGACCTGATTACGAAAATGCTGCTGATGAATACAACAAAGCAGGTATTAAACGCGATCTATCAAAAAAATCCAATTCCTCACACAATTTATGTTTCAGCAACCTGTTTTCGAAATGCAAAGTCATATGAACAGTGTAAGGACTGCCTCCTGAAAGCTGTAGAATGTTTCAAGTACAACAAAACGCATCCTTTTTTACCATTGCCAGTATCAGACATATTTACACATTATTTTATTATCAATTTCCTTAACTCATACCACACAGTCTTTTCTATGCTGCAAAAGCATTGGATCAAGCTGTGTTGGTCAGCAAGGAGATGGGTGATCTGAGGGAAGTTGCACAGCTTGCAGAAAGAGCTGCAAATATGTTTCAGACACAGGGTAGTGCTGAATCAGCTGCAGCTTCATTAGATAAAGCTGCCAAGGTCTTAGAACAACAGAACCCTGCTGAAGCACTCAGGCTGTACCAACATGCTGCTGAGATATCTATGGTTAGTATCAAAAATAAATATGTGCGAATATACAGTCTTTGGGTTTTGGTAATTCTTTAGCTTAGCTACACCAGCTTTTATTGTTTATCCATCTGAATAGGCACTAGGTTTGGGTTGTAGATGATGGAAATGAGATTAAAAATACCTACAAATGGGTTAGTTGCAGAATATTGTTGACATTATCTGGGTTTTAAAAGGTATAAACACCTTCTTATCTGCTTAATAATGACATTGCAGAATTGAATGGATCCTGTACATACCGTGATGCCATATTGAAGAAATATAAGAAAATTAACGAAAATATGCATTTCTATGTGTAGCAGCTCTCCTCTTAATCTAGAATTTGTTCCCCTTTGAGTCACACTAGTGTGTTTGCCGTTATGTAGAGTTGTGTGGAGTTCTGGGTCAAAGATACAAATTTGATTATCACAAATATCCATCAACACAAAAACCTATGAAGTAATGAAATCTAGCAATATTGCTTTGAAAACAAATCTTCAATAAAAACCTATTATGTAGTAAAATATTTCAGAACTTTGGTGTTTGCGCTCATTTTTTCCATCTACACCCAAAAACTAGGGTCTGAAATCACTTCTTCATCAAAAACGGCTGGTGTAGTTAAGCTAGATAACTACCGTGATATTTGATAGGGTCAGATTATTTTGATTTTGATGGCTATGGTTTAGGCGGTTTTTTCCCGCAAGCGGTAAACCGCAAAACCTTCCGAGGCGCACACACTACGGATTTAAAATCAATCGCGGAAAAAAACCGTCAGTGCGGCTGCTTCCATTAGTTTATTTTACTCATAAAGTCAGGCGGTTAAAATCTGCGGCGATTTAGCCGTAGTGCGGCCTAAGCCTATTTCAGGTACCAGAGACAAATATGTGGTCAGAGTCTCCTAGATTTTCATAGTTTTCTAGTGTTCCATGTCAGCACTCTATTTTGAGGTTATGTTACAAATATCTAGCATTGATCATGCTTTTTATTTATATCATCCTGAAATTTCCTACAATTCAAAAAGAAGGTATAGTCTCACAATAGTAGAGCACTGACACGGAACAGTAGAAATATAGAAATTTCCCATTCTGAAGGAGAGAAAAGACTATGAAAATCAAGGAGGTCTTAAAGGTGTCATACAATTGAAGAAAGGACTGATGATTCGGCTCTTAGACTATGAAAAAGATAATTTACTTTAAACATGATATGAATACCATTAGCTAGCTTCCATCAGTTGTGAACCCTCAGGATAATCGTTGTGTTAGGAAGTTAGACATTTTTTTTGATAGTGGGTCACAGACGTTCCATCCATTGTTGATAGTATATTTTGTTAGAAAGAAATGAAAAACTGCATTTTTGACGCGTTCCTGGTTTCAGTAGGCTAAATCGCGCTAGTCTCAAACTATCATTCCTTGATTAGCTATGCATGACTCTAGGTCAAATCGTGAAATGGACACATTTACATAAAAATGTGCAATTTGAATTCTGCCAGGTGAGGGTGACAATATTCAAGAACCACTAAAAATGTGTTTTTTATGCACAATTTTTAGTGTCTCATCACGACAATATTTTATAATGTGTATGTAGCAATACAAAGAGTATGCTGAAGAGTTGCCACATAGGGTGAAATACTTTCCACGGTTAGCCATCTGTGGTCAGATGAACCAAGCTATACTACAATTTGTTATACTAGAGAGATCTGTTGATATTTGTAGTGAAAGTCAAGAATGGAACATACCAGGGGCACATACATTTTGTTAATTTTCAAGCATATTATGCCTAAATGTTGATGATTACCTTAAGTTTATCATATGCTCTAAATAAAACAAATTTTACACTATTTGGATAGATTATTTCCACAATTTCCCAAATACGATATATATTATTCACCCACATATATGCAAATAAATACCTTATAGTTGACAAAATGCTGCACTTGGTAAGTAAAAAATATTTATTTTATGAACACTTCATCAATTGGAAATGAGTTGAACTAGATAAGTCATATATTTGTGGTGGTTATATAATCTTTGCATACTAAATGATAAATTGCAGTGATTACAGCTGGTGTCATAATTGGTTCCTGAAGTTATGAATCTCATGAGAGGCACACCTACTTTTATTATTGAATTTCTTAAAAATGATGTTCATTAAGACTATAATTTGAAATATTTGTCACAAAAAAATAAAACCTGACAGTCTCCAGTGTTTTAAAAGCAAGTTAGATCTATTTTGTGTTTCTTTTTTTAGACCCATGTTGTATTTAAGCCCTATTTCAAAACAATACGGCAATAAGATGTTCTTTATGTAGACAAAATTGGATTATTAATAGACAACTTTAACAAGTATGTGAATGGCTCAACAACATATTTGCTACACTTTTTCAGTAAGTTGGTGCTGAAACCATCCTCACCTGGGAATTAGAATTTTTTAGATTTCGAATGATTTTGGCAACATCAGGTTCTGTAGCTGGACGCAGGAAAAAACTATTTGGGTTGTTTATGTTAAATGGGATAAATTTAGGTTTTTGGGTTCCTCTAAGCTGTGCTGGTTCCTCTGCAAAATGTTCATTGAACTTATTTGCAATCTTAATGTCATCTATTACAGTTACATTATTTGTGGACAGCTCAGTCATCTTATTATTTTTCCATAGTTTTCTATATATCTTTTTGTACTTGGCATAAAAACCCTTAGTTTCATCATTATATGCATTATATAAAAGAAATCCAGAAGTACACAATCATGAAACTTGCGTGTAGAAACAAAAATGCTATACATGTAGGCACAGCCATAACAGAATCCTCCTGAATTACACATGATTTTTCTAATGAATTTTGTTAGTAAGATTGTATCAGATCTACTTTGCCTATGTAATGATGAACAAAAAGATACATTTTTGAATCTAGATCCAGGACAGTACCCGGCAGGCAGCAGAATACACCAGCAAGGTTGCAAGGTTGCATGTCAAGCTGCAACAGTAAGTTCACTCTTGAAGTAGATTCAGACAGATTGTCAAACAATAAACTTCTAGGTACGATCTGGCTGCAGATGCTATAAGAAGAGAACTGGGCCTGCACCAGCAGAATGAATCTTATCAAGCAACTGGCCGACTCACAGTAGCTTTAGTGTTGGTACAATTGGCTAGGGGAGATATGGTTGCAGCTGAAAAGGCATTCAAAGAATGGGGTGTGTTTATACTCGAGTACCAGAAAGGAAGAGAGCAGCGGAACACATTGCACGCCACTGGCCAACGCGACATCTTAAATACGACAGAATACTCACACTCCGAATTTGTCATTAATTTGCGATATGTTTTGCTGCTCTCCTTTTCGGTACCAAGGTATTCATTGTTTTTTATTTACATTTTTTAATGATGACATAGTCTTACAAAAGGTCTTTTCAGTTTCCCTTTCTAAAAACATTCAAAATAACATAAGTTTGCAGTTTTGGATTCTTGACTGTCGAATTTTGATATTGTTTTAAGTTCACCGAACGCCCACTGCGGCGAAGCAACACGAAGGGAACCGCGGCGACATTTGCCATTTGCGTCGCCCAGGACCGCTATTCTTGACTTTGAGCGAGTGGAAATTGTGAGAGAAAATGGCAAAAAGTGGATGTGGCCAAGAAATGTAGTATTCTTGAAATCAATTCTACCGAAAAGTGATAGAAATGAATTCACTTTAGAGAGTCGCGAAACTGGAAAAATTAGTAGAAAATAGCGCTATATAACCTAAAAATTGACGTGTGCATTGTTATTGTCGTGCCTGCTAAACATATTGCGAAAAATGGATAAGATAATTTCAATCAATTGATGTATTGGAACGATATTATTAACGAGCCTTTTATAATTTCGGATCGAAAATTTGTACAGATGTTTAGATTGACCAAAGATTTGGTGTATGAATTGCTGGAGATATTGACTCCATTCATACAACCACCCCCACGAGCTTTGGTACTTCCGATCACAACGAAGAAAAGAGTAGATATTAAGTTTTAGTCATTCTAAAACAGTATCCTTTAACGTATGATTGAATTTTCCCTGGTGCATTCGGGAGTGCTCTCAGAGAAATTCAATCATTTTGTTCTTTTGTTCATTTGTAATGTGTTTTTAAAAGTTTTCGGCTCCATAGATAAAATTATGAGGAAATCTTGACCAAAATCTTTGGTTACTTTTTGACTGTCAAAATTATCTCCATTTTGATGGGTTTAACACGTTTACCCAAACCTGGCAACCCTGTGTCTTGATTTCCTTTCTCCTTTCTATCGAGTCTTTTCAAGCATACAGTAGTTTCAAAACGATAGAAAACTGGGGGAGTAGAAAAAGAGAGGGAGTGTGATTTTCTATTAAACTCAAGAATAGGGGCACAGGTGAGCGGGCTGTCATTTGATTATGTGTAGCAGTACCCACGTGAAAAGTTTCGTTTCTTTTCGCTTCCCTGCCATCAATGAGCGTGCACCTTCATGGATTGAGTAGGATCAGTTTGATGTTGGTAAAACTTCGACCAACGATGGCAGATAATGGAAAACCGTGTTTTTGGGCATTTTTATCAAATTGTTCTCATAATCATTCAAATAGTGATTTCTGATTCGAAAAGTTATTTTCAAAAAGTGACAATTGTATTATAGGTAACTACTGTGAGGGTCCAGAAGTGCAAACTCTAGAAGCTCTCTTGCAAGCCTATGATGAAGAGGATCCTGAAGGCGCGAAGAGGGCTTTGAACAGTCCTTTTATCAAGCACATGGATGTGGAGTATGCAATTTTAGCGCGGGATATGCCGTTGCCAGAGGCATCTGTTGCTCCGGCACCAAAAATTACTCCGGGTACCGCGGCCACACCTAAATATGAAACTCCAAGAACCGACGAAGATGATGAGGTATGTAAACATGTACTGATTATACATTTCGGTTGGAAAACCGGAATCATCACTTCGATTTTTAATGAACAAAGCATTCCACCAGGAACTATAAACATATTTTATACAGTGGACTCGCGGTAATCTGGACCCTGACTAATGCGGCGTCCTCTGTAATTCGACACGCCTATCACTGTTGATTATACATGAACATTTCGGCAATGTAATGCATGATTGGACAGGTTGTAACTCTTATTTTTGGTAAGTTATATAGCACTGATGATGTTATTTTTATCATTAAATATTTGATCTCAATTGTGATGACATGTCTAGCACGTTTCTAGCGCTTCTCTGTCGTACAAATTACGACGTCAGTGATATATGGATTTCACTGTATTGTACACAATTAGTAGTATGATTGGCAGTTCAAATAGAATCTTTCATTTGTAATTTGTCGGATTACAAGATACTATTATTCACAAAACTTCCGCACTATACAGGGTTATCCAAATTAAGTGTCCACCATTAGTAACTTTGTTATTAGTGAAAATACAAAGTTGTTTGAATTAGCAAACTAGTAGCATTTTTAACGCTGGTAAAAATGAGAAATAAAAAAAAAACAATTGAGAGTCGTTATTTTGATTTTTTTCAGTAAAATAACATTTTTTTAAATGGAAACCCCTGTATATTATATTTTTTTCTGTTAAAGCATCAAATTTTAAACAAAAAAGCTTACAATAACTTTTCTCCTAGGTTACAAATTGTTGAAGTTATGGCCTCCAATCTGAAACAATTAAATTGTATCGACAAACTTTATTTTCAACATCAACTTATAATCTTACAAAATACAATAACAATTTTTTTTAAAGAAGATGCTCGAAAACACCACCTTGTTCTTCAATACATTTTTGGGCACGTTTTTCAACTGCTCGAACTGTCTTAAGTATGGTCCTACCATCTATCTGGGTTATCTTTTCCCTAACTGCAGTCTTTAACGCGTCAAGGTTATCGTACCTTCGCTTGTAAATTTGGTTCTTTAAGTAACCCCACAAGAAGTAATCAAGTGGGTTTAGATCTGGTGATCTGGGAGGCCACTGTATTGGGCCATTTGTTCCTATCCACTGATCATTAAAAGTAGTACTTAGAAAATGATAAGTACCTCTGGAGTTGTGGGCAGGTGCGCCATCTTGCTGAAAATGCAGATGATGTCTACTTATAAGATCCAATTCGTCAAAGAAATTAGTCAGAATTTCTGACATAAATTCCACATATCTTTCACCAGTTAGGGTTCCCTCATAAAAGAACGGGCCAACAATTTTTGAACCAATTATACCGCACCAAACGTTGAAACTGAAACGGACTTGTGGGCCTCTTGGATGTACTAACAAAAGATTTTCTCTTGACCAATAATGGTGGTTTTTTCTATTAAACATTCCAGAATTTGAAAAATTTGATTCATCTGTCCATAAAAGGTAACGAAAGTTATTTACATTTTGGCGACAGAAGCTAAGATACCAATGGCAAAAAACAAGTCTTCTCTCTGGATCCCCTGCCAAAAGCGTTTGAACTGGTCGGTACTTATACGGAATAAATTTGTATTTTTTTAAAATCCTTTGAACAGTACCATAACTGAAATTAGAGTCCTTGAGAATATCTGCTATTGAATTCTCACGATAAGCTTCAAAATATCCAATAACTGCAATTTCCGTGGCCTCGCTTATTATGAATTCTTTTTTTGCCCTTGTTTTAGCAAAAACATTTTCGTTGCCCCTAAATTTTCGATAGAGTCTCAGAAAATATCGTTCATACGGTTGAATGCGAGCGGGATATAATTCACTTGCTCTCAAGGAGGATTTTCTGCACACTAAATAGCATTCTAACATATCACACTTTTCTTCATGGGAGAACATTTTTCTTTAAATTAATGACACAATAAAGCTTATAAACAAGTATTTACACTAATGTTTGACATTATTTGATTTTATCATTGTTTTCCAAAGCCTTCTAGTTGCGAGTATGTCCAGTTTAACAATTTGTCGCTTATCTTAATGCTGTCAAATCGCGAACGCCATGTTGTTTTCATAGCCGTCTTAATATTATAATACTGCAAATAATTAAAAATATTTATCGTTATTTTGACTTTAGCGGAAAAGTCATTATGAACTTTTTTGTTTAAAATTTGATGCTTTAACAGAAAAAATATAATATACAGGGGTTTCCATTTAAAAAAATGTTATTTTACTGAAAAAAATCAAAATAACGACTCTCAATTGTTTTTTTTTATTTCTCATTTTTACCAGCGTTAAAAATGCTACTAGTTTGCTAATTCAAACAACTTTGTATTTTCACTAATAACAAAGTTACTAATGGTGGACACTTAATTTGGATAACCCTGTATAGTGCGGAAGTTTTGTGAATAATAGTATCTTGTAATCCGACAAATTACAATCCCATGAAGAAAAGTGTGATATGTTAGAATGCTATTTAGTGTGCAGAAAATCCTCCTTGAGAGCAAGTGAATTATATCCCGCTCGCATTCAACCGTATGAACGATATTTTCTGAGACTATCGAAAATTTAGGGGCAACGAAAATGTTTTTGCTAAAACAAGGGCAAAAAAAGAATTCATAATAAGCGAGGCCACGGAAATTGCAGTTATTGGATATTTTGAAGCTTATCGTGAGAATTCAATAGCAGATATTCTCAAGGACTCTAATTTCAGTTATGGTACTGTTCAAAGGATTTTAAAAAAATACAAATTTATTCCGTATAAGTACCGACCAGTTCAAACGCTTTTGGCAGGGGATCCAGAGAGAAGACTTGTTTTTTGCCATTGGTATCTTAGCTTCTGTCGCCAAAATGTAAATAACTTTCGTTACCTTTTATGGACAGATGAATCAAATTTTTCAAATTCTGGAATGTTTAATAGAAAAAACCACCATTATTGGTCAAGAGAAAATCTTTTGTTAGTACATCCAAGAGGCCCACAAGTCCGTTTCAGTTTCAACGTTTGGTGCGGTATAATTGGTTCAAAAATTGTTGGCCCGTTCTTTTATGAGGGAACCCTAACTGGTGAAAGATATGTGGAATTTATGTCAGAAATTCTGACTAATTTCTTAGACGAATTGGATCTTATAAGTAGACATCATCTGCATTTTCAGCAAGATGGCGCACCTGCCCACAACTCCAGAGGTACTTATCATTTTCTAAGTACTACTTTTAATGATCAGTGGATAGGAACAAATGGCCCAATACAGTGGCCTCCCAGATCACCAGATCTAAACCCACTTGATTACTTCTTGTGGGGTTACTTAAAGAACCAAATTTACAAGCGAAGGTACGATAACCTTGACGCGTTAAAGACTGCAGTTAGGGAAAAGATAACCCAGATAGATGGTAGGACCATACTTAAGACAGTTCGAGCAGTTGAAAAACGTGCCCAAAAATGTATTGAAGAACAAGGTGGTGTTTTCGAGCATCTTCTTTAAAAAAAATTGTTATTGTATTTTGTAAGATTATAAGTTGATGTTGAAAATAAAGTTTGTCGATACAATTTAATTGTTTCAGATTGGAGGCCATAACTTCAACAATTTGTAACCTAGGAGAAAAGTTATTGTAAGCTTTTTTGTTTAAAATTTGATGCTTTAACAGAAAAAAATATAATATACAGGGGTTTCCATTTAAAAAAATGTTATTTTACTGAAAAAAATCAAAATAACGACTCTCAATTGTTTTTTTTTATTTCTCATTTTTACCAGCGTTAAACATGCTACTAGTTTGCTAATTTAAACAACTTTGTATTTTTACTAATAACAAAGTTACCAATGGTGGACACTTAATTTGGATAACCCTGTAGAGGGTCTTAAGCAGCACTATACAGGGTATTTTCAAAGTTGAGTCACTTATTTTAACTGCTTGTAGGACTCAACAGGAGTTGATAATAATAAATAATTTATTGGTGCTGTTACACAGAAATAATGTGTTTGCACAAGTCAGCCAAAGAATGTAAAACATAAAAGAGTAAGTAAAAATAACAAATAATACGTAAATGAGACAAACATAAAACTCAAAGTGACAATAAAAGCTAAATAAAGAGTTGATAAAATTAAAGTTAAAATTAAAAATTATGCTAGGCTGCAAAAAATTAGGTTAGGGAACTCTTCTACATTAAAAAAATCTTCAGATAGTAGGAAGCATTTAATAGTTCAACATCCACAGATTTTATTTGATTTGGCAATAGGTTGTAGAATTTTAACCCGTGGTAGTTAAGACCATTTCTAGTTTTGGAAAGGCGATGACGATTTCGACACAAATGTCCTTTGTTTCTGGTGTTGTAATTATTAATGGCTTGATGAGTTGCGTAATTGTGAGAGTGAGTTTTAACTTGCATGAGGCAAGCATGGATGTGTACACAAGGCAATGTCATGATATTCAATTTAATGAATTCATTCCTGCAAGGATCCCTATACCTCATGTTTGACATGTATCTAACACATCTTCTCTGCAGGCTAAAAACTCTAGGCATGTGTGGAGAATGACCCCATGAAAGAATGGTGAAAGTCATTCAACTGTGGAAGTACGCATGGTAACTGGTGAGCAGTGTTTTCTGAGACACAAAATTTATCAGATAGATAGCTTTTTTCAAAGATTTTGTAGCATGATTTACATGCTAGTCCAGGAAGAATCAACGCACACCCCGAGAAACTTTACTGTTCTTGTGTTTCTGTCAAAATTCCGTACAGAAATACTCATTGTCTGAATTTTGTCTTCATTTGATGTCAGCCCGTTAATAACTAACCAGTTTTGAACGTCTGCTCTGCATGCTGATGATTCGTTGTCTAGGTTTTCTAAGGTGCTGTAAGTTGAAAGAAGAGTAGTGTCATCGCCATTCAGGAATAGTTTGCTACTAGTACTGTTACTGAGACAATTTTGTATGTCATTGATGTATAGCAGGAATAACAATGGTCCAAGTACAGATCCTTGAGGAACCACATGGAATAAAAAGGAAGCTTTTACAGTAGT